CACTTGAAACAACTTCCTGTTTCCCTCAGTCTTCATGATGGTAAAGCTTTCAGACAAATAGTAATTGTAATTTTACAGAGTAAACATGATTTCTTATTTGTTTTTGGAGGGTGTACACATGGTGTCCAGTTAAGTCTGAGATATTTGTTATGGAGGGACATTACACCTTGTATCCTGTAAGGCCTGGAATATTTGTTTTGGGAGGGAGAACACCTTGTATCCTGTTAGGTCTAGAATATTTGTTTTGGGAGGGAGAACACCTTGTATCCTGTTAGGTCTAGAATATTTGTGTTGGGAGGGAGAACACCTTGTATCCTGTTAGGTCTAGAATATTTGTTTTGGGAGGGAGAAAAACCTTGTATCCTGTTAGGTCTGGAATATTTATTTGGGAGGGAGAACACCTTGTATCCTGTTAGGTCTAGAATATTTGTTTTGGGAGGGAGTACACCTTGTATCCTGTTAGGTCTGGATTATTTGTTTTGGGAGGGAGAAAAACCTTGTATCCTGTTAGGTCTGGAATATTTGTTTTGGGAGGGAGTACACCTTGTATCCTGTTAGGTCTGGAATATTTGTTTTACACCTTGTATCCTGTTAGGTCTGGAATATTTGTTTTGGGAGGGAGAACACCTTGTATCCTGTTAGGTCTGGAATATTTGTTTTGGGAGGGAGAACACCTTGTATCCTGTTAGGTCTAGAATATTTGTTTTGGGAGGGAGTACACCTTGTATCCTGTTAGGTCTGGAATATTTGTTTTGGGAGGGAGTACACCTTGTATCCTGTTAGGTCTAGAATATTTGTTTTGGGAGGGAGTACACCTTGTATCCTGTTAGGTCTGGAATATTTGTTTTGGGAGGGAGTACACCTTGTATCCTGTTAGGTCTGGAATATTTGTTTTGGGAGGGAGAACACCTTGTATCTTGTAAGGCCTGGAATATTTGTTTCGGGAGGGAGAACACCTTGTATCCTGTAAGGTCTGGAATATTTGTTTTGGGAGGGAGAACACCTTGTATCCTGTTAGGTATGCGATATTTGTTTTGGGAGGGAGTACACCTTGTATCCTGTTAGGTCTGGAATATTTGTTTTGGGAGGGAGAACACCTTGTATCCTGTAAGGTCTGGAATATTTGTTTTGGGAGGGAGAACACCTTGTATCCTGTAAGGTCTGGAATATTTGTTTTGGGAGGGAGTACACCTTGTATCCTGTTAGGTCTGGAATATTTGTTTTGGGAGGGAGAACACCTTGTATCCTGTTAGGTCTAGAATATTTGTTTTGGGAGGGAGAACACCTTGTATCCTGTAAGGTCTGGAATATTTGTTTTGGGAGGGAGAACACCTTGTATCCTGTAAGGTCTGGAATATTTGTTTTGGGAGGGAATACACCTTGTATCCTGTTAGGTCTGGGATATTGTTTTGGGAGGGAGAACACCTTGTATCCTGTTAGGTCTAGAATATTTGTTTTGGGAGGGAGAACACCTTGTATCCTGTTAGGTCTAGAATATTTGTTTCGGAAGGGAGAACACCTTGTATCCTGTAAGGTCTGGAATATTTGTTTCGGGAGGGAGAACACCTTGTATCCTGTTAGGTCTGGAATATTTGTTTTGGGAGGGAGTACACCTTGTATCCTGTTAGGTCTGGAATATTTGTTTTGGGAGGGAGAACACCTTGTATCCTGTAAGGTCTGGAATATTTGTTTTGGGAGGGAGAACACCTTGTATCCTGTAAGGTCTGGAATATTTGTTTTGGGAGGGAGAACACCTTGTATCCTGTTAGGTATGCGATATTTGTTTTGGGAGGGAGTACACCTTGTATCCTGTTAGGTATGCGATATTTGTTTTGGGAGGGAGTACACCTTGTATCCTGTAAGGTCTGGAATATTTGTTTTGGGAGGGAATACACCTTGTATCCTGTAAGGTCTAGAATATTTGTTTTGGGAGGGAGAAAAACCTTGTATCCTGTTAGGTCTGGAATATTTGTTTTGGATCCTGTTTGATATTTGTTTTGGGAGGGAGTACACCTTGTATCCTGTTAGGTCTGGAATATTTGTTTTGGGAGGGAGAACACCTTGTATCCTGTAAGGTCTGGAATATTTGTTTTGGGAGGGAGAACACCTTGTATCCTGTAAGGTCTGGAATATTTGTTTTGGGAGGTATCCCTGGAATATTTGTTTTGGGAGGGAGAACACCTTGTATCCTGTTAGGTCTAGAATATTTGTTTTATGAGGGAGAACACCTTGTATCCTGTTAGGCCTGGAATATTTGTTTTGGGAGGGAGAACACCTTGTATCCTGTAAGGTCTGGAATATTTGTTTTGGGAGGGAGAACACCTTGGTAAGGTCTGGAATATTTGTGTATCCTGTTAGGTCTGGAATATTTGTTTTGGGAGGGAGAACACCTTGTATCCTGTTAGGTCAGGGATATTTGTTTTGGGAGGGAATACACCTTGTATCCTGTTAGGTCTAGAATATTTGTTTTATGAGGGAGAACACCTTGTATCCTGTAAGGCCTGGAATATTTGTTTTGGGAGGGAGTACACCTTGTATCCTGTTAGGTCTGGATTATTTGTTTTGGGAGGGAGAAAAACCTTGTATCCTGTTAGGTCTGGAATATTTGTTTTGGGAGGGAGAACACCTTGTATCCTGTTAGGTCTGGGATATTGTTTTGGGAGGGAGAACACCTTGTATCCTGTTAGGTCTGGAATATTTGTTTTGGGAGGGAGAACACCTTGTATCCTGTTAGGTCTAGAATATTTGTTTCGGGAGTGAGAACACCTTGTATCCTGTTAGGTCTGGAATATTTGTTTCGGGAGTGAGAACACCTTGTATCCTGTTAGGTCTGGAATATTTGTTGTACACACCTACTCTAGGTTGATATGTATTGATAGATTTAAGTTCAGAAATGGCCATCTGCCAAATCTGCATGAAATTCCTTGGAATACAAAGAGAAAATGACTTGGCGTGAATGATATACCTGGAGGAGCTTGTAGGTGTAGCTGGGTCAGCACGGGCCGATAGGTATAATGTTTAAACTTTACATAGCCTCCAAACTGCTCACAACTGTAGGTGTACAATAATATCCTTAGATGGACATGATATATATATACAGAAGAACTGGTTATGATTTTGAATGTTTTCCATTAACATTTCATAACTCATGCTGCTTTATGTACTGTTAATTTTGTACATGTACTTACTACTTTGTTAAGGCACTGGTATTTTCTGTTTTGTGTTTACAGTCGTTGAAAAAATATTGACAAATAGTACTGTTAGGTTGTGTTGTTTATCTTGTTATTCAAAACAGATTTCACAGTTACTGACATAGATATATTATAACCAAGCAATATAGAAATGATTTTTACTGTCATTTGTACAATGGACACTGTTTTCATTTTTTGTTTAGGTTTTTGAATAGAACATGTTCCATAAATGCAAAGTTTGAAGCATTAAAATTGAATTAGCCTTTCATTCGTTAATTTTTCTGTAAAATAATATCATCCAGCATTGTAAAAGAAAATATATCTATTAATTCTGTAACACTGAAGTGGTTTTTTCCAAAGAAGATGGTCAACTTAGGTCTGAATGATGAATTAAATCATCGCTACATTTGAATTACAGAGGCATGGATTAATATTTGTTGGGGAAACTTTTGCATACAAAAGGTTTTAGGATAGGAGGTTTAACAGAATTCACAAATTGACATAGGGAGTCACAGGGTCTTTGATCAACTACACTTTTGATATTTAAAAGACAGCATATTATAGGCACTCATGTTTAAATATATCGGTACATTTTGGGCATTTTATTCTTTGGGAATTCTACCCAAAATGCTGATAGTAATAACATATTCTTTTATGAAGTATGTTTCAGCTTCTCTCATACCAATGAGTATTTACCAAACATATTCATCTTCTCTCACATCATTGAGTATCTCGCTTGTTGTTGAATATTCTGTTTCTCATACAGTTTTTCCAGTGTCGCTGTTGAGCCATGGCTTGGCAATGACTCCAGTTAGACAGTCTTGAATCACCTCCTTGAGTAAAGATTTCTCTGTAAAACCCTCAAGCTATGGAAAGAATGATTTAATACAAGTACAGATGCTTATATAGATTTGTATTCAGGTTCCTTGAAAGAGAAATAGAAACTAGAATGCTCCAAATATTATTATAATTATGGTTTACAGTCAGCAGGTAATTAAATAAATTACTAGAAAGCATTAAATCGTAAATCCATCTATATATCAAAGTCCACAAACTGTCAATAGATTCATGGTGCTACTTAATGTACGTTAACTGAATTGGCTAACAAAAGGCGATAATTTTCTACCACAGGAACTAGTTTTCATGCTGGGCACAATAGTTATTGATATTTTTAGATACCAGGAATGGTCCAGCCACTTGTAAAGACCCGAGAAAGTCAATCTGGAGGCAAATATTTTGTGTATAGGACAACAGTCTTGAAATTCCTTGTTGGATTTTTCTTTCAAAAGAAAAACAAATTAACATTTTTTATCTGTATATTTTCATGTCCTATATTGCATTTGTAAAATGTGAATGTTTTTGGTAGAATGAAGCAATGTTTTAGTGTCGCTGTGTGGTGTGTGTATGACTGGTAAATTATTCATCCATGAAGTGAAACATTACATTTATGGCATGCTGAAGGAGGAGAAGGGAAGTGACAAAATGAACCTAGTTGATCTGGAGTTTCAGTGGAAAATCATCACGTATAGTCACTCACCTGCTTGTGTTGTAGTCAGCATTTGGTTGTATGGTCGACATGCATAGAAACTACATGCTCATTTTAAGTATTTTGATGGGGCATGTAGAGTGGAGGAATGCAAATTTTAATTAGATGAATTCTGAGGGACTGTATCGGAAGGGAAACAAAGTAAGGAAGTTCCTGTCTATTATCCCCTGGCAATGAATGTCAGGGAGAAATATATATTTATATACTTGTACCAAGGAATTAATATTTGCAACATACATGTCATTGTAGGCTAGGGAACGTCAATGTCCACCATGAGGAAATCTACACCAAAGGGAGGTCACTCCAACCTTCCCGTCCCTAAGCCTTCAACAGGGACACCCGGCAACAGTAAGTCACTACTCAGGGGAAGTAACTTTGCCCACTCTGCAGAGGACATCCCCCGTCGGGTACAATACAGCCTGAGGAACAACACACCATCACCAACACGCCGGACAGGTTCCCCGGGCAATGAAGGGCGTAGTCGGCTAGCTGTGCCAGTTAGAGATCACAGTGAGTTGTGTTCTTTCTATATGCTTTCTTTTTATATGTGGTGATCATGTTTAAATATGGATGAAATATTTTTGGGAGAGATCTTTGTTTTGTTTTTTCTTATTTTTCCTCTAGCAACTTATTTGAATATGTTGTGTATACATATCTTTACTATCACTTCCATTACGCAGAAAATCTATTTTCACAATGGACAAATTGGCTACCAGGTAAATGGAATTACCTTGGTGATATTCATAAAGAAAATTTTCTAGTGTGGTTGTTATTTAAGCAGCCTGGTATATGAAAATTACAATTTTTTAAAAAGCTTTTTAGAAATGTGTAAAAGTTCTTTTATTCACAGTAATTACAATAACTGTGTTACTTATTTACGATATTTACTGACAGGTACTTAAAGCAGTCAAGAACTCTTTGTAGTGATCTTGTAGTGATCTTGTACCATAATTTACAGGCACTTTAAACATGTTTGATGCTACAGATTGCTCATTTTCCTTGTTAGTAGAAAGCTCACCACAAATCAATTGCCACATTTATGGTATACAATTTACGGTCTTTTAACTGAAAAAACAACAAACTTTCACATCTATCTTGTTTTATCCCTTTTTTACCCAAGAGGGTGCATTCAAAATCAGCTCTTGGAAAATGCAAGGACAAACTGCAGCAACATGTTGATTTATTTTAATAGAAATACGCTGTTCATAATGATAGAATGTGCAGTGTACCAAATTCAGGGGCTGCAATCCTGTAATTACAGAGTTAGTGCCCTTTGTAAAAATTTTGTGTCCAGTAAATTTGTTTTTCGGGAGCATTCATCAGTTCCATTGATACACTTGTATAATCCTCTTGAAATAAAAATAGGTTTAATTTGCAGCATCTGAAATTTGTGATGTGTGCTTAACTTTATTGGAAAGTTCTGACTTGAATCTAGGTCCAATTTCATTACTAATACAATGTGATGAATATTGTTATGTTACTTATACACAGATAGTCTTTCACTTTCTGGAAGGTATGGTACAATATTTGGTGTGTATACTTAAATAGCCAGCAATGTGTTGTGTGTTCAGATTGCATGGGTCAGAAATATGAGCACATTTTGACTTTTTGAGTGTGACAAAACTTCTTGAATTGGTTGTAGACCAAAATGCTAGATTGTGTATTTATTAATAAAATATGAAAACATCAAGCTAGTGGAGGCACAGATATATATATGTTAATTAAATATCCAAATTAATGTTTATCAGATTAGGATAAAAATGGGTAACTGACTTTAACAGTTTGTATCCTAGTATGAAGCCTAGGGGTATATTTTAAAGGAATTTTAAACAGATTTATCACCAAAATAAAAACAGGATTATTACCTAGTCCTTATTATTCAAGATCTAGGCTGTCTGACTAGGTTTTTATTTAAATTTACGAGAAAGGATACAGTTGCAAGGAAGTTTTATTATGGAAACATGCTTTGATTTTTCAAAAAGAAGATTTTTACTGGTAACATTTAGCTGGTAACATTAAATTTGATCCTGACTTTTAGGTCCAATGTCTGGGGTGCGGTACATCACAGAAGATCTTGTCAGGAAACTAGCCAAGGAAGAAAACCTGGAAATGATCACCGTTCTCAACCTCACATTGTCCAAGGAAAACGGCAAGAAAATAAAGGTTTGTTGTATTACTTGTGGAATTATTTGTGTCACTGCACCTTTATAGATGGCAATGTGATAATTTGTTTTTTATCATTGGAATAGAGTATACTAGGTGTGCATACACATGTACGAGTAGTGTGTTGTAGAAAGTATATTGACATCTACCTAGCTGAGAACCCTGGTGGTCGTTGAATCACAAATTTTAATTGCCTCTTCAATTTCATTGTTCACTGAGTTAGAAATTGGATAACTGAACTACAGAGAAAGGCGATCTGTAAACTACTTTCATTAAACCCAGCACCCAAACATGCATACCAATATCATTAACTAGTTAAAACTGTGATATAACTGCCCCTAACACAGGGAAGGACATGTTTAAAAACCACTTCTTTATCTAACTCAATATAGTATTAAAAGATTGTTAAAAAAAATGCTTAATCTCATTTATTGTATTTTTAAACAATTACTTTTTGCTGTAGTTGTGTTAAACTGACTATACTGTATTAATATTTCATGATTGGTTTCACAAAGACTTGTTCTGAAAATATTAGCATCAGGTCCCGCTGTGATATACATCACATCACAGCAGTAAATATCTGATTCAATGGTTAGCGTTTAACTAAGTTGAATGTTATGCTACAATATATATTGAAATGTCATTCATCGATGGGAAGGTATTGTGAACAAATACTTTCACATGAAAAAGTGTCATTAATTGCTGAAAAGGTATTGTAAACATGAAGATTTAATGTTTAAAGTGTCAGCTCAGGTGATCCTACAGTCACTAATTGATTTCCACAGGTAACAAATTGATCTGACTTGCTAAAAAGAAATCCTGTTAAGCTATTTGGAATCTGTAGACGATCGATGATAAATACAGATAGATTGGGATGTAATATTGGAAGTGGTTTTTTAGATCCAAATCTTCTTCTTAAATGCAAAGTTGATATGTATATGGATGTATTCTGTGCATTTTTAGCTAAATTTCAATGCAAGTTGTACAACATATGGTAAATACTTGTTTTTTAGACCTATTTAACAGCTAGATTTTTCTTTTTCACATGTTAGTAAACAATACAATACAGTAATATTCACATTTACTTGGCAATGTCAAAATATAAACTAACCAGAAAGGATTTATGTTACAATAAATGCCATCCAGTGTTAGATCATTACAACATCATCATTGTAGGCATGGGAAGCTGTCTACAAAATGACTGTTTCTCCAGATGCGTCATGCTGTTGATAATGAATGTTTATTTTAGTCTAAGTCATGTCAGCAACATGTAGGGAATGTAAATAAAAGCATTTGACTGTCATGGTATGGTATTTATGGTGTTATTGCAGGCAAACATACCATTATTTCACTTCTGTGCAAATTGATGTTTGCTTGGAAATCTTGTCATTTATATAACACAAATAAAGCCATGTCATGACTTTTAAATACTTTAATATTTTCTTTTTCTAATATAAATTACAACTGTCTTATGTCACCTGAAAAGTTGACATCAAGGGGGTCATCCTGTGAGTTGTGTGAATAATGTGTTTTCTCTGTCAATCAAACCTTATACACAGTTCTTCTTTACTGAAAGTGCATGCTTGGAATTGCCTTCCCTGTCTGAGGATTGGGTTCAAGATGACTTAATGTACATAGAAAAGTTATTGCTGTGCAATTTTAGCTCCTTAAGCCCATAAAACTTGAACTTTACTTACTACTGTGCATTTACTGCCTCACAAAAGTACTAACTTAGAATGTCTCTAGGTATTTCTTAAATACATTTATAACTTGTGAGTGACAGAATAGTACCAAAACGATAGTGATTGTACAAGCCATATCTACCCAATAGCAGTCTTGTCCAACGTCTTTAAAAGTCATGTTTAAACAAGTATTTAGTGTGGTTTGTTTTTTCATGATTATTTAAAAAGGTACATCTTGTTTTAAAAGTTGCAGTAAAGTGGCTGTTTTTTTCTTCAGTAGTAAATGATATTTAATCTTCTTTTGTTCTGTCACATTCACAGAAGCTTACACGAAGTTTTAATGAATAGCAGTATGTTGATGTGTTTTAACATTGTTGTCTTATACAACAGCTGTAAAACCTGATCTCACCAGTTTTCTGCAAAATTCAGTTCCCAGGTAGCCTGGCTATGTTAAAACCAGTCTGCACAGCGTCTTCCTTGCTTGAGTAACTGTTAACATTACTCCTTTGTTGTTGCCCTCTGTCTCCATGAAAATGTAACCATCAGGTGAACTGGGCACTTTGAATAATTGATATCATAATTAGTGTGGTATAGTTATCGTACAAAAATCCAATTTGAAAAAGACTGTACTTGGTGTTCATGTAATAATTGCTCAAAATATTCTTCTTGTAAATTTTGCTAGATCTCTCAGGTTTTTCGTAATCTACATATTTTTCTGAAGTTTCTGTCAACAATTTAGCAACAGCTTATAGTACGGAGGCAAATCTTTGATGAGCTGTTAGTTTTCAGGTGATATATGGTTATATCAATATTGGTTGATTTATGGTTTTTCTAAGAGTCCCTGTACCAGCCTTTTTATTAAATGTTCAGAGGCCTGATATCCAAGATTAAGAAAACTTGTTGTATTCCTGAAACAGGACCTTATCATATTTTTATGCCTAAATGTTTTATCTGATACTTTGACCAAAGTCAAAAGTTACATTTCAGATTGTTTTGCCCTTGCCTAGAATGTTGGTTATTGATGAAAATGAAATTCGAAGTATGATTTAGACTGTCATTTTAGAGTCCAGGAAACTGAAACTCAGATCTAGGATTGGTCTGTCATACATGTCACCTCAATCAAAGCTCTCATTTTTAGATATGTACCAGTTCAGTTTCAATGAAAGCTGTTTTTAAGTTTTCAGAAAGATGGATATTTTATCAAAACTCTATTCAGGGTGTTAGAGAGAAAGATATCTCATGTTGTGTTCAGGATATCAGATTATTGTTTGTAATAACTCCTTATTCAGTAATGTGTGATAAGGTGGCTTGCTTTTCTCTGAAAAGTGACACAATTTGATAATGGTACTTGCCCCTTTCCTGTATCCAATCATTCAAGCAAAGTAAATGATAAAACACCATATATTACAGGTAAATATTTCCTCCACACACTCCTATTAAATGTCGCTCGGTAATTTGACTGGTAGGGATTTGATCTTCAGACTGGCCCACTTTACATTTTTTGTTTTCATATGAATAACTTGGAAATTTCTCAATGATGTATTTGACCTTAGGTTTGGTATTTTCAACAACAAATTCAACCCTACTTTCAGTGTTGCATCAACATGTATTGTGATCCAGGTAGTAAAATTTGCATAATTAAATTATTTACTGTGTATCTAGCTCTTTCAGTGTCCACTTATCTCGTCATGTTTTCCGGGCAGTGGCCCAAGCTCCCAGTGAAACTTGAGTGCAATATTAGATTTTTTAGGAGGCTTGAAAACTATGATAAACATATCTCGGACAAGTAGGCTTATCTAGTTTCTGAAGTCTAGCCAGGTGCTCTAGAGTCCAATCCAAGTATTGTTAGTAACAGAACTGATCTAAATGTTACATCCACAACAGAGATCAAGAGATTACTCAAGCCTTTACCGGTGACTGTAAATCTCAGCAATATAAAAACATATTTAGTTACAATGTGTAATATAACAGATTAATATTAAAATTGTGCATTCCAATGATGTGTAGCATTAATATCATACAGTTATAATCAGAAATCAAAGATGTGAAGAATTTTCTATTCTGTTTTTTTTACTTTTTGTAAATTTGTCAAAAGGAGAAAACCAATGTTTATGTTATAAGTTAATCACTAGAAAATGGATAACAGATTATATATTATTTTTCATCCATTGACTTCTTTTCTTTTATTTTTCTTTTCTTTTATTTTATGGAAAAAAAGAAATGAAATATTAAGAAATATTCAATAAAAAAAAAAAAATTCTCCATAAAATTCTGATTAATTCATGTGAAATTTGATATTACCGGTAGTACCTCAATACAGAATTGGTATTTACTATTTCTTCCATGATTAAACAGGCTTTTAATCATGTGCTCTCGTATGTATGATTTAATAATATATACTGGACAAGTTAATGAAGTGTACCTCGCATGCAAAATTGTGATAAAAATCTTTGGGATAACAGAAATACAAAAAGAATTTGGTCTCTCTGTTGTATAAATACATTCCAGCTATTGAGGAAATATTGTCAGCCCTGTCAGGTAGAGCTGGTATAAAACATAAATAATTAATGAGTTGATCAGTATTTATAGGTATTGTTGATCTGTGGACATACTAGCAGAATATTTGTTTGTAGGATCTGAAGTATTGTATGTCAGGATGGCCTATAGAAATACACAGATATTATTTATGTGATAGACTGTAGAATACACACAGGGCAGGTAATAGTACAATAAAAAATTTAAAATCTAGTTGCTTATAAAAATGTATCCCTAAGCTTTATCATTCTAGCAAACAAACTAAAACAAAGCGTGTTAAAGTTAAATAAGGTTTTTCTTGCATATGACAATAAACATTAAATTTAGGAAAACAATTACAATTTGTATACAGATGTTAATTGTGTGAAATATAGCTATACCTGCATAGAAAATATATATACTTATAATTATTCATAAATCAATTAACTGGTATTAAAGGGGTTTTAAGAATGATTATGTTATTAGATATTCTCCTGAAAATGTTTTTTTTCAAAATGGCTCTACTCTTTGCCTTTTTTAATTTTTTTTTTTATTTACATTTTTGATATTTTACAGGTAGAAAATTTTATGGAAAGGAATAATTATACTTTTAAAATGTATTGACACTGCAGGAAGAATCTTGATAAAATATTCCTTACTGTATTTCATACCTTTATGTAAAAAGGGAAATGGCATGAATACCTATCTATAGGTAGCTTTATGTATGGCTGTTGAAAATTTTAAATGGACGATGTTGTCATTTTGATATTTACCTGTAGAATGTTAAACGAACAGGTATTTCAATTTCATGATCAATACTATTCAGTCCAGTTTATATGGTCTTCTCAAGAGTTTTATAGCCAATTCAGCACATTTAAGATTTCTGTATAGGCTTCCTACCTTACTGGCTGATCTACAGAATATAGGTATATAGATAGAACTAACACAGCAAATGTATAACAGCGTTTGAATCAGAGTGCTATTTCATAATACTATAGCATCAATAGAGTTGAATAAGATGAAAGGGTACAAAGTATTTTCTAAGATTAAATAGAAAAGAGAAATTCTCTAGAATCAACATTTAATTAGCTGATGTATGTTTGGTTTTATTAGCTGTGTTTCTGGAGAATTAAACCCAGTAGTGCACATTAGCATCTTGAATAAGAATAAATGAAATTTATGAGTCAAGTTTCTAGGTTTCTGATCAGTATTTACTATTTCTGCCTTGAGCTGATGCTGAAACATGGTGACAACTGGCTCTAGCCGATAGCAGAATTTGACTGTTTTGAGATCTAGCTTCATGAGTTGCTACTTTCCGTGATTTGTTTGCCTTGTTCCCTTGTGAGGTTTTCATTAGTAAGAGATAGCGGTAAAACTCCTTCTGTTCCCACATAATGTCAAATGGAACGTGAAACAATTTGAGAACTGTATATATGTAATACACTATTATTTTATTTCACTCAAAAGTGGCTTGAAATTACTTGACTGATATTAGTCTTTGTGACAAATTAATTTTGAATTCAAGTCTGAATTTGCTGATTTAATTTGAGTATGCTATGGGGGGCTTAAAAGTTTTGAAATTTTAATTTGTTCCTGAAGTTTAAATATCCATTGTAAAATTGTCTAGACACCTTAAAAAATTTAATAAAATGTTGAACCAAATGCTGTTCAAGCAAGTATTATGCAGGCTAGTACATTTAAAATTAGGATGAATTTGTTCTCTTTGACCTCTTAATGAAAAGCAGTGCCATGAAAATTTAATAAGGATTATCAAAAGTACACTGTTAGTGGTTAGGCTATTATAAGGTTTGAGGTTGTGATAGTTTATTACATGAAGAAATGATATCAAATTTTATTTGATTGTTTTGAAATAATTTTGAAATCTTTATCATTGAAACCACCTGTATCATTGATGTTTTTCTGTATACACCTATAACTATCAGTCTCCTGCTTTCATTATCCTACAGACTAACTGTTATTGTAAAAATTGACCTTGTCTCTCTTGTGACCATGCTTACATATTGATTATGAAGCTATTTGTTTTCTCACCTTTATTAAAGTTGTCCAGATTGGGTAACTGTTGGACACTGTGGTCAAGCTTAATATTGTGTATACATTTTGACCAAGCAGCATTACGATCTTTGTAAACTGGAAAAAAATTCAGTTTGAGTGCATATCTATAAAGAGACAAGCCAATGAAAAGATCATTACAAGGACACTCAAACCAAACTGTATCAAAACCAAATGATCATGTTTGTGTCCCTGTAAATCTTCGTTTATCGGAAACTTTCCCTTTAGTCTTCAGCACCCCTTATTTCTTTTAATGGAAAGTTGATCCTCATCTCTATCAAAAATTTTAGATAATTGTATGGACTGATTTATCATGACTGTACAAAAGACCTTGACATTGATTTATGTACCTTATCTTTTACAATATACAGACAACCTTAACCGATGTAAGATTATCTGGCTGTGTTGAACCTGAGTTATAACATGATTGGAACAGTAAAGAGGCCTTGACCTTGACAACTATGACCCTTTTGACCTCGCTAATTTTGACCTTTTGTTTACAGTACATAGAGAACCTGGACAGATGTAAGAAGCTGGCTGTGTTGAACCTGAGCTGTAATATGATAGAAAGAGTAGAAAAAGTCGAGAAGCTTATAAAACTGAGGGAACTTAATTTGGCCTACAACAATATCACAAAGATTGAAGGACTGGAAAATCTAGCAAATTTACAGGTAAGCATGTTTTTATGTACATGTATTCTAATTTAAATAATATTTTTAATAAGTCTATAACATTGTAAAAAGGAAATTATATATATAAAGTTCAAAAATTTTAATTGAATATGAAATTAAAATTTTAGATTAGAGATTAGAGGATGTAGTAAATATGACTTTTCAAAGATTTACATGTAAGGAATGTTAGATTCATTTACAATAAAATGTTGTTTTTTTTTTTTTTTTTGTTTTATATCGGATTGATATGAGGTTTCTCTGATTATATGACAGATGCTGAACCTGACAGGGAATAACATAGAACACATACCTATCTGGCTGGGCAAGCGACTGAAAGCACTCCGAACGCTACATCTGGGGAAAAACAACCTACAGTCGGTCAGTGTAATGTGGCTAAATCTAGAGTAAAATAAGAGTTACTTCCCCTGGTCTATAAAAAAGACATTATTTTTAACTTGCAAAGTTAGGGAGATATTCCTTTCACATTAGTTTCTACTATTACCAATGAAGATATCTTACTTACTTCAGGTTTCTGTAGTCTACATTAGATATTCAACTGTCATCCCTGTCCTAGCCCACCAACATAAATTTCTTTGCCATGAAAAACTCATATAACAAGACCTAAGAATGTGTGATTCCTGTCCTATATGTAACTTTTATTAACCATTCTTCAGTACGAATAAGTATGTGTGTTAACTATTTCAGATGAGTGAGCTTGCAAAGCTGAAGCCATTACCAGACCTGTTGGAACTTACGGTGGCCGAGAATCCTTTGTGTCAGATTCCCCATTGTCGCCTCTACCTCATTTTCCACCTGCGTACTCTACAGGTCCTCGACAGTCAACCTGTTACAGAAGAGGAACGTAGACATGCACGGGACAGATTTGAACAAGGTAAACTGATATTATGAAAATTGCATACAGATAGCATTCATGATATAAGTTTGTTGAGAAACAATCATTGTGTGATAACATGCTGTGTATACCTTAGGAACTTAAAATGTTGTAATTCTCATTTGTTAGTTCTCAGATGACAACGACTAAAGATGTTCAGATAAATTTTAAGATCTTTGAAAATAATTTGTTCAGATGAGATTGAGAGACTGGAACGCATGCTGGAGACAGAGGAGGCTCGGTGCAGGAAGCTGGAAGAGGAGCAAAATCGCTCTGCTCAGGAATCATCCTTCTCCAAGGCAGCTGAAGAGGAGAGAAAACGTCAGCAAAAAGTCACAGCAGATCGTCTCAATGAATTGGAGCGAGAACTGGAAACCAAAAATGACTTGGTATGTGTAGTAATGTAAACATTCTTCATTATCTCATGTGTGTTTGATTACAAACACTTTCATGCAAAGTGCCTATTAAACACGGAACAAGTTTCCACATTATGCAATGGCTTGACAGCAACCATTCAACGATGAATTATATAGTGTTTCAAGTCTTAACTAACATGACAGTTAGGCAATGTATTGCTATGCTAGTGTAAACAAAAGAAAATTTCAATGTTAACAACTGGTGATTTTTTTAACTCTGCGGTCTGGATCGCCGTTACTTTTCTGCACTTGGCAACTCATAGCCTTTTGTGCACTTCCGCAATAGATTTGTAACAAAGCGTCTGGCAATATGACATACATTGAAATATATATACACACAAAGTTTTCATTTTTTCTAAGAACTGCCCAGCTAAAATTACTGCCCATGGGCGGTTTACTGACTGGGCAGTTTTCCATTAGATCCCAGTAGTCTGATATCTATTGTGTTTCTAGTGACCACATCAAAAACATACAAATTATTTGCATACATACTTCAACATTTAAGGAGCATTTTGATTGGCAAGGTCAGATAGGTAAGGTATTGGTAATATCACCACCTAATTACACAAAAATACAATAAAATGGAAAAGAAAGGCCAAATCATGATATCTGCGATATACATGTGTATGAAGATAAATTTTAAGACTCGTCAATAGCTAAATAAGAGCTTGAGACCTTGTCATGCAAATATTCTGTAAAGTAAATTAAATATTCCGATCCAACGCAAAACTTAATAAATTATTGTAAACATCATTATAGACTTGTGACATTAATCATTTTATTTTATTCTTTTGCCTAAATGGTATTGGAAAAAAGTAGATTTAAAGGATGATAAATGGTTTTCAGAATGCAGTGATAATGGTATTTTGGTGAGGTTACCTGTATTGGTGCTTTATATCTATCAGAGAAAAGATTTCCTCTCTACACAGATAGAGTCATTCTCTGATCAGATGGAGTGTCTCCCTGTTACAGTAAAGTGGCAGGCTTGATAGGACTTAGTTGAAGTGTATATTAGACATGACTGCCACTGTCAAGTGGAGAGTCTATGACTTCAGGGGTTTTAAACCATATTTCATTATGGTAAAAGCCTTTATGAAACTTGTATAGTAAATGTTTAAGAATATGTATCCTTGAATTATTTCATACAGTCTAGTATACATAATCGTGGTATCCAACTCTCCAGTCACCACAAATCCAGTTGTTCAGCAGGCAAGTCACCACTTGTCTTGTTGCTCCTCTATCCAGCCAGCACTAATCTGTTTGCCCCAGTATCTGTTTTACTACCACTAATCTGGTTGTTCTGCTGTCCAGCTAGAAATAATCTGGTTATTCCAATGTCCAGCCAGAACTTATCTGGTTGTCCATCTATTCAGTCACCTGTGCAAGTTGTTTGACTATTGAGCCATCTGTATTCAGTCACCACTAATCTTGCTGTCTCACTATCCAGTCATCACTTATCTGGTTGTTCCATCACCCAATCACCACTAATCGTGTTGTCCTTCTCTCAATTCACCACTAATCTTGTTGTCCCATTATTCAGTCACATTAATCTGGTTGTCCCACTATCCAGTCACCACTAATCTGGTTGTCCTTCTCTCAAGTCACCACTAATCCGGTTGTCACACTCTCCAGTTACCACTAATCTGGTTGTCCTTCTCTCAAGTCACCACTAATCTGGTTGTCCCATTATTCAGTCACATTAATCTGGTTGTCGCACTCTCCAGTCACCACTAATCCGGTTGTCACACTCTCCAGTCACCACTAATCTGGTTGTCCCATTATTCAGTCACATTAATCTGTCTGTCCCAATTTTCAGCCATCACTAATCCGGTTGTCACACTCTCCAATCACTACTAATCTGGTTGTCCTTCTGTCAAGTCACCACTAATCTGGTTGTCCCATCATTCAGTCACATTAATCTGTCTGTCCCAATTTTCAGCCATCACTAATCTGGTTGTCCCACTCTCCAGTTACCACTAATCTGATTGTCCCATTATTCAGTCACATTAATCTGTCTGTCCCAATTTTCAGCCATCACTAATATGATTTCCCGAATATTCAGGCATCATTATTTTGATGATTTGTTGACATTTTGGTCCTTTTCTATGCCAACTACTCTCAATTATTCTCAGTGTCATTTTGATTAAGCTGTTCCTATTTTTGAAGTAATCATGGCTGTGTTGGTAAATCTTTATCATTTTGATGATCATGAGGAGAATCAATTTCAGGTAGATTTTATTTGTTATGCAATATTTAGTAAATTTTTATTGCTAACACAATAGAAAAGAAGAATAAATCAGCATTACTTCTAAAAAATGAAATAAATAAAAATAAAGTAAAGATCAAATATAAAAAGATGTTTATTATGACAAGAAATCTCTCAAGTATTATTATTATTATTTTTTGTTTGTTTAGATTACAATGATCACATTTGTGTTTGCAGTACTTTCTGGTTGGAATTGATGATGCAATATTTTTATTTCATACTTTTTGGGTTTAATTCTTAAAATTTTGTTTTTGTTTTTGTCCTTTTTCTTCCCAAATGTCTGATCTGAGGCTGATATTTTGTGATTTATCATAGCCCCCACCTTGAAATTTACTCCACTGTAAATGCTCTATGTATTAGTAGAGTTAATACAGGTGTTAAACACTCAGGTAAATTTTATCTCAGTTGTAACTTCTGATAACTAGAATATCACACAGTCAATTCTATACACACAATATCTTAAATTTGAAATCAATCAATAAATAAATACTTAGAGAACAGTGAGGGCTCTTGGCTCTTGGCTGCCAGTGATATTTTGTTCCCTCTTGATTGGTCACTGTATGGGAGGCACAACCACACATTTAGTATTCTGTACAATTTTTATGTAGAAACAATTATTAATTTTTTTCAGCATCACTACTGTAGTTTTGATTGCATTGTCACTTACATTGATGAATATACAGTCTTATTGATAAAATTACTTAATGAATATGTGTACTAACTGTATGACATATGTGACAAAGTCAAGACTTTTGAAATTTTTGCCAATATAAGCACTAAGAATTGTAATCATTATGATTAAAATATTTGTAGTTTATTTCTGACTTAATTAGTTAGAGAGAATTTCTCATCAGTTCATTCAGTATAGCATACAGGTGATAAGGCAGTGGTCCTAAGTACATCTAATGATCGCATTTAGTTTTAAACAATATTTATTCATTATTCAATATCACACATACATGTATTACATATGGGATTGGAAAATATTCCCTGTAAAGAGTGAAGTGTCAAAGTGAAGTGAAACTGGACTGAAGTATTTCCAGTGTCTCAATAGGTTAGGGTCGGAAGTCCTGGATTTAAATGTCAACTGATCAATATATTCTTCCTCTCTTACTGCACAATTAAGAAAACGTTTTTTTATAAGGGAAATTGTCCAAAAGCATTACCACTGTCAGTCTTAGAACTGTTGTGAACACAAGTCTGAATGAAATTACAAAGCACATTTCTATGCTAGACATATTTATATTGGTTTATAACAGGTGCACTATGAAATTCCTTGAAGAAAAATCTATGAATGTTTTCAATATTAATCAAAATATTCAATTGTCTATTTTCATCCCATTTTCCTCTGATTATTATGTTGACTCTTTCTTTCCTGTCTTTTTAAGCTGTTGACTTTTCTGTACTGTGTTTCATTTCCAAATCAAAATTTATCACTTTCATCCAAATCACAATATATAACTTCCAGTTCCAGAAAATTATTTCAGTTTTGATAAAAGAACTCTGAATCTTTTCTTGGTATCAATGGTATTCTCTGGGTATTCTTGACAGCACTACAGTGGTGTCCCCACTGTGGTCGGCAGTCAGTTTCCTTATCAGTGCCTGTACACAGGCACTAGTAAATTAGCAGTAGTTATTTACCTGTAATCTTGTGTCAGCCCCAAGGTACAGTGAACACTTGTATAGGTAAGACTCTTGTTACTGGGGAGAAAGTCTGTGTTTCATGGAATTGACATCTACAGGATTAATTAAGTGAATCCTATAAGAAAATTTAGGTAGGTCATTGATGTCTTATTAGATTTAATAATGTCTCACATTTTCGTTATACTTACCTAAAAAATGTCTGTTGATTTAAGGTTGTACTCTAGTGTTGATTTGATTGCTGCATTGTAATATAGATTAATGTATAAGTGAATTCTCACATTTCCATCATCTTCAAAATGATTAAATGCCTTCTGATTCCCTAGTTTTATCCATTTATGGATGCTCAACCCTTTTGCAATTAACTGCTAGATCTTTCAAACATTAATATGATTTTCTGAAAACCTAAGCCTTCCAAATTTAGGTTTGTCCATAATACCAGTTCAATGTGTGTTTATCAGTCTCTCTGCCCATTTGTCCATAATACCAGTTCAATGTGTGTTTATCAGTCTCTCTGCCCATTTGTCCACAATACCAGATCCATTTTTTATTGTCCTCTCTGCCCTTTTGTCCATAATACCAGTTCAATGTGTTTTGTTCTTACTGCCCATTTCTCCACAATACCAGTCCCATTTCTTATTGTCCTCTCTGCCCATTTGTCCACAATACCAGTCCCATTTTTTATTGTCCTCTCTGCCCATTTGTCCACAATACCAGCTATATGTGTATTGTCCTGTTGGCCTTACATTTCGCTATGCCCTTCTCCTAATGTCTATACACAATATTCCCTAACTCTCTAAAACCTCTCAGTGTATCAAGTCCTATCTGTTTCTCTGATAATTCATTCATTTGGGCGATGTATAGCTTTCAGTGACTTGTTTGACTCTCCAAGGCTCAGAACTGTGGTGTATATCTGTATTGTTCAGTGACTTGTTTGACTCTCTAAGGCTCAGAACTGTGGTGTATATCTATATTGTTCAGTGACTTGTTTGACTCTCTAAGTCTCAGAACTGTGGTGTATATCTGTATTGTTCAGTGACTTGTTTGACTCTCTAAGGCTCAGAACTGTGGTGTATATCTGTATTGTTCAGTGACTTGTTTGACTCTCTAAGGCTCAGAACTGTGGTGTATATCTGTATTGTTCAGTGACTTGTTTGACTCTCTAAGGCTCAGAACTGTGGTGTATATCTATATTGTTCAGTGACTTGTTTGACTCTCCAAGGCTCAGAACTGTGGTGTATATCTGTATTGTTCAGTGACTTGTTTGACTCTCTAAGGCTCAGAACTGTGGTGTATATCTATATTGTTCAGTGACTTGTTTGACTCTCCAAGGCTCAGAACTGTGGTGTATATCTGTATTGTTCAGTGACTTGTTTGACTCTCCAAGGCTCAGAACTGTGGTGTATATCTATATTGTTCAGTGACTTGTTTGACTCTCTAAGGCTCAGAACTGTGGTGTATATCTATATTGTTCAGTGACTTGTTTGACTCTCCAAGGCTCAGAACTGTGGTGTATATCTGTATTGTTCAGTGACTTGTTTGACTCTCCAAGGCTCAGAACTGTGGTGTATATCTATATTGTTCAGTGACGTGTTTGACTCTCCAAGTCTAGGAACTGTGGTGTATATCTATATTGTTCAGTGACTTGTTTGACTCTCCAAGGCTCAGAACTGTGGTGTATATCTGTATTGTTCAGTGACTTGTTTGACTCTCTAAGGCTCAGAACTGTGGTGTATATCTGTATTGTTCAGTGACTTGTTTGACTCTCCAAGTCTAGGAACTGTGGTGTATATCTATATTGTTCAGTGACTTGTTTGACTCTCCAAGGCTCAGAACTGTGGTGTATATCTGTATTGTTCAGTGACTTGTTTGACTCTCTAAGGCTCAGAACTGTGGTGTATATCTGTATTGTTCAGTGACTTGTTTGACTCTCCAAGGCTCAGAACTGTGGTGTATATCTATATTGTTCAGTGACTTGTTTGACTCTCCAAGTCTCAGAACTGTGGTGTATATCTATATTGTTCAGTGACTTGTTTGACTCTCCAAGTCTAGGAACTGTGGTGTATATCTATATTGTTCAGTGACTTGTTTGACTCTCCAAGTCTCAGAACTGTGGTGTATATCTATATTGTTCAGTGACTTGTTTGACTCTCCAAGTCTAGGAACTGTGGTGTATATCTATATTGTTCAGTGACTTGTTTGACTCTCCAAGTCTAGGAACTGTGGTGTATATCTATATTGTTCAGTGACTTGTTTGACTCTCCAAGTCTCAGAACTGTGGTGTATATCTATATTGTTCAGTGACTTGTTTGACTCTCCAAGTCTAGGAACTGTGGTGTATATCTATATTGTTCAGTGACTTGTTTGACTCTCCAAGTCTCAGAACTGTGGTGTATATCTATATTGTTCAGTGACTTGTTTGACTCTCCAAGTCTAGGAACTGTGGTGTATATCTATATTGTTCAGTGACTTGTTTGACTCTCCAAGTCTCAGAACTGTGGTGTATATCTATATTGTTCAGTGACTTGTTTGACTCTCCAAGTCTCAGAACTGTGGTGTATATCTATATTGTTCAGTGACTTGTTTGACTCTCCAAGGCTCAGAACTGTGGTGTATATCTATATTGTTCAGTGACTTGTTTGACTCTCCAAGGCTCAGAACTGTGGTGTATATCTATATTGTTCAGTGACTTGTTTGACTCTCTAAGGCTCAGAACTGTGGTGTATATCTATATTGTTCAGTGACTTGTTTGACTCTCTAAGGCTCAGAACTGTGGTGTATATCTGTATTGTTCAGTGACTTGTTTGACTCTCTAAGGCTCAGAACTGTGGTGTATATCTACATTGTTTCAGTGATTTGTCTGTTTTGGAGAAAGACCTGTGTACCAGTATATACACATGTAGTTTAGATACACCTGCATTTCCCTGAAGCTTGGATTTAGATTTGTAAAACTACCATTGAAATCTTTGATATTAAAGTATAATCTGAAAAATCATATGTTATTCTAATGCAATGGGGCTTATAAAATGTGCTGTTTGACAGTTTTGTCTGAGTTATAAATTGTCATATTGAAATACGAGTGCTAAGTTTTAATTTCTATTCTTATAATGGTTACTTTACAGTACAAGCTTATTAAAGCTAAACATATATACCTATTGAAAGGAAGTTTTTATTTGAATATCAGTCTCCACATATAACTCATGTAAATTTTTATTTCATTTGTAGCCAACTGTTACAATTTACATACCAAACATCCAGTATTTCACTTTCAAAAGGTCTCTTAAATAAATACAACACTGATTTACACTTAATTCAGTATTTCATGTACGTCATGAGTGTTTTTGTCATCTTACAATGGTTGTATAGTAAATGATATAAATCTGGAAATGTCTGAGACTGTTTTCAACACATTTGTTATTATGGCATTCAATATCTTTATTTTGAGTCAATCAAGTTTATTGCCACTGAACTGTTTGAATTAACAATTATTTCACTTTTTTAAAAAGAATAAAGATATGGTTAGAAATATTTATTATTAAATATTCTACGCATGCATTTATTTTTGGTCTAAATCATGAAAGTAAAATTTCAAACTTGATTAATTGTTGTAAATCATAAAGTGTGTTGTCGTTCACTTTGAAGATTTTTCATTTAAATCAGCTCCAATAGAGAGTTTAGCTTCCTTTTAAATCTCTCCTCGATGATTTCAATAGTCGCTTCCTAGTGCGTTGAATAATATCAATATGGCCAGTGTGATAGAAGATTAAATTATGGCAGATCAGAATTGGTGTTCCATCTTACACTGGTCAACGTTGATGAATGGATTAAAGATCGTTAATGACAGCTATTTAAGGTCGAGGTAGTGGAAATTTGACGTTGACGGACATGTCTAAACGAGCGGGAATTATAAGTCTCTTATCAATGCTAAAGCATTTGTCACTGTTGATTTCTATAAGCATTCACAGAGGTATAGATTTGAAAAGCCAACACGTGTAATGTCTGCATGTAGTGATCTGCACTGGGGATATATTGTGGAGTGTGGTGCCAGTGTATCTGTATATGTCAGGGTTGACATGAGCTCTGGACTAAATATTTGTTTGGAATATATCTGAAACTTCTGGAACACGTTGGGAGAAAATGTCTGTGATTTATTTATATGTGTAAAGTTTAATTATGTGAAATTTGACCCCTAAGAGGTCAGTCCTGACATCTTTATGAATTTTGATTGGAGAATCTTATATAAGGGGTGATACTATTAAGAAGTTGAAGGTGAGATATTTATGATATTTTGATATTGTCCTTTTTTCTCTGAATTTTATTTCAGATATATTGATAATTTATACATATTTAAATCAGCTTGCCATACTCACGTGACTGGATGGAAGATTTACTGTAAAATATTGTCAGTCTGTCAAATCCTATTGATTTTTACTCAATATCTCGTTAGTTTCAGCTTTGTTTTTTCCTGTCTACATCAATATTTGATTATTTCTTCCTGTTAAATTATTTAATATTTTCTGATACAGTAATAGTAATGGAAAATGTAGTCTGACAGAACACTTATAAGTATTTAGTTGGACAATAGAGATATTTCAATGAAAATTTAATCAATTTTGTGACAAATTCTTTTTGTTTTGATTTTCAAGTTGAAGAAAAAGACATCAGAGTTAAACAAAGCATGTGAGAAGCATTATCAACTGGAACAGGAGCTAGCCTTCCATAACATTGACTCCAAGTTTGATAGTTTGGGGACAAGTCCACAGCGGAATCAGGTAGGTCTCTCCACACAGTGTAATAACCCTCATTGTTTCAATGTTTTATTTACTGAGGTGTAATAAGAAAACCTTTCATCTCTAAGCTCTGAGTATTTTGCACCCTAATTTTTCACATTTGGGAAGATGATAGTAAGCTGCTATATTTGTCTCAATAAGTAGTTTTTTAAACATGTAAGCATTAATTGGGCGTTGATTTAAGTGTCATACTTATGTAAATACATATTTTTGTCATGAATGTAATTACCTTTACAAAAACAGTTTTTTGATTAACTATCAAGAATTCTTGGTGTTAGTAATGCTGCTTGCTGTGAATGATGCAATTTGGAAAGATAATATTAAGTAATTAATTTTGATACTCATTCAGAAATTCTGTAAGTTGTTCTGGTACTAAACTATGTGTAAGGGAGATGGAATCTGGACAACAAAAAGAGCATGGCATGGTGATAATCTACTGGACATTTTTTACTTAGGTACTTACAGAACTATCTAGGCCTTTATACACTGTTAACATGATCTGGCATAATCTAAATTTAATACAATATAAATTCTGGCAAATTGACACATTAAAAATCAGGGCATCTATAATTTTTGTTAAATGAACAAAATACAGAAACTCCTATCATTGCAAAACTATTTTATTAGTGCAATATTTTTGGCACAAAAAGTGCTAAAATATAATCATCACTAAAATATGTACATTTACAGTAACTAGAAAGCAGTTTTTGTGGTATTACAGTATAAGACAAGAACATCATTTGATCCTGTTCATCATGAAAGATTTAGAAGTAAAGATTTAAACTAGCTGTGATATTAGACTTATCATCTTGACATTCATGGTTGAAAAGATGGGTCTTTATTCCATCTTTGACCTTGACATTAACTCATTGACCTTATATCAGCACATACCCTCTTACCAGTAAGTAATACTGAGACAATTCATTTTGATATTGAACATTGATCAGAAATGGGTGTATATATATATATATGGATTGCTTGCATTACTTTGTCTTTTAAGATTAAAAATTAAAACATAAAAAGTGGCCTGATTTACATGTATTTTATAGGTCCGGGATTGCAATCCTTTTTAATATATGTATTGTCAGTTCCTTTCGCATAAGATTATGATGATAAAAAAACTATTCTTGTAGCAGTTTCAATTAAATTTTTTATGCTGCTATTTATATTTAGTAAAAGTGGCCTTCAAAACCTGTCCCTTGCTAAAACTTACATGTTCCCCTTATATCGATTGATTGATATTTATATGGTGGAAATCTTAATTTTTTACTCATAAGTTTTATCAACTTTAACTTCAGTTTGGAGTTAAAATCTTTTTTCACATTCAGGATCAGTTACATTATATAAGGGTATTGACTTTTTTTGTCCAGCAAAAATTAAATAGTACGATTTATTAATTACGATTTGTGCCTTATCAATACTGTATTACAGCATGATGAAAGCTCAGGACTAGATGAAAGTCCATACATAGGGCGTGCCCGGTACAAGGCCAACCAGTACTCACGGGAGAGTTCTGTCGGTGTCTCCCCACCCCAGCAGGCTCGCTACCACAACGTATCATCTGCTAGTCCACAAAAGGCAGAGATCATGGACAAGATTCATGTACAACTGGACAATGCACTGGTGGAAAAACAGGAAAAGGTCTCCAAAAGTGAGTATTCACTCATAATAGTACATGTATGACTGGTTGTTTCCACCCCACCATGCAGCACATGTCTTTAGATATATTATTGCTGAAACAAACGACTGAATTTAGGAGCATTAGTAGAATTCCATGGAAATTCAGATATTTGAAAATTGACGAACTGTTTTCCTTACCAAATCAGTACTAAACAGATTTTAAACTACACTGTGTTAATGTAATCATACAATAAAACACAGACCATTCAGACATGGCCAGGTGTGTCATTGGATACATTTGTTATGTTTTACCATCTTTAGGCCTAGTAATTAGAAAATTCAATATTGAAAAGCTCTCTACAGAGTGGTACAATTCATCTTTTAAAGAATTAATATATCACTTAATGCATTGGTGATCAAAGTGATGAAGCAGCCACATTTTTTCTATGACTAACTTACCAGTATTGGTTTTCAAGTTTAATTGCACAATATAAAATGGTCTGATGGTGTGGAATAGATTCTCTTTCTGATAATTAGGGAGTCAGAGGACGGTGAATGTTGACAGGACAGATTGATTTAATGTTTAATGTCATTAAAGAAAAGTGCACACTCGAGATATTTTAGAATGTTAGGGTTTTTTTTATTCAATGATGCTGAAAGGAAGCAAATGACAACAAATATTAAAAATTATCAAACATTCTTGGATATCAAGGTATTCACTTAAATACTGATATACACATCTACACATTCAGTATTGGTATACAAACATATTCAGTCTATAAACAAATCATCTTACGTGATAATTAGCTGCATTAATGTAGGTTTTTCCAGTATTAAGGACACATCTTTTTCTCAAATTCTGTAAAATTTTGTTGTGTTTAAACCACTATTCTCTGATCAGAATCTGTGATGCTTTGAAGTTGGACAAAAACAAATTTGTTACCTACTGTAAATAACCTATTTTTCACAAGGGGGTATATTTCACATTTATTCGTGAGCAGCATTACCCGCAAATTCAAATCTCTCATGATTAAACTTTTGCATATGTTGTCTGTAAATAAATGACTTTTGTTGTGTGATACCTGTGAAATCATGTATTTGCTAATAAGAGAGTAACTTAACTTTCACAAAATTAAATACTCACTTAAATAAAGTGATTTACAGTATATCTTTGAGTGAAATATGATAAAGTGAAGCCCATGGTAAAGTGAACCCTTCACCGTAATAATCCATGAAATAGTGAAGCCGCTTTATACTTTGTTTTCAATTGATATTTCTTTGATAAATTTTTTATCAGTTTCTTTAACAATGTTCCTCCATACATACTAAAACAAAAAAAAATGATGTGGGGGTTGGGGGTGGGGGGAGGGGGGGTGTTGGGAGGCTTTACAATACCTTGGCCATGTTTAACTGAAACATAACTGAAGCATAACACTAGTTTCTTACTAATTAACTTTTTTCGACCAATTTTAGGTCACCTGAGACAAAGTCTCAAGTGACCTATTGCTGTCACCTTTTGTCCGTCATTGTGCATTGTAAACAATTTACATTTTCCGCTTCTTCTCAAGTACCAAAAAGCCCAGAGTGCTGATATTAAGCCTGTATCATGCTGGGATGAAGGACTACCAAGTTTGTTTAAGTGATGGACATTGACTCACTTTTCAAGGTCACAGATGTCAAATATCATAGAATTTTTGAACAACTTCTCAATAACCATGGTATTAGAGGCACCCTTAATTGTTAGTCAGAAAATAGTGAAATGCTTCACTTTACCATGTTTGTGGTAAAGTTAAGCCCACCTTCCTCACCCTAAATTTCCCCACCCCAGACAGTGAAGAAACATCAATTGAAAAATTATTAAGTGACTTCACTTTACCATGAGGGGTTAATTTCCCATTATGGTATTTTGACTTCGGTTCATTTCACCATGCTTCACAATTCCTTGTTACACTGGTGCTGATGACTGAACTCAGCTGGCATAAAGTGTTTACATAGGTTCCAATAACCTCCAGTTTTAGTCCTATCTTGTGTGAATTTTTTTTATTTGCATCAGTGAAATAAACCCTCTTTTCCAAAATAGTCTCTTTTAATCAATCTTTCATTATGCTGATCATGATGTTGTGTTTACTTGTGATAGAAAGAGATTAGAATTTTAATGAATTCATATTATCTTAGAAAATAGTAATATTCAGTGTGGTTACTGAGGGATGAAATTCGGCTTGATCTGAAACAATACCTGGTAGTTATTAACGTAGAACTTTATATTGCATAATTTGCAGATGTACAAGAAGGTATGCTTACTATATTTATACTCACAAATCAACAAAAAATCTTTAATAGTATAAAATATTTTAACAAAATTAAAAATATCGTACACAATTTAAAAATTATTAACTTCGTTTTATGTATTTTACTTTCCCGGTACATGTTTGGAGTCACTCTTTCTGGGTGATAAGAAAACTGTTCCGTTTCATAGCTCCTAGTGTCTAACTGTAAGCCTCCCTGTGTTTCATACCTTCTGATTTCCTTAATGTCCTCTCCTTTATTTTGTGCCTGAAAGGTTCCAGTTTTCTGTTGTGAAGGTATTCCTTTTTGTCTTTACTTTTGTCCCCTGTTCCTATTGTCTTTTTGTTTACTCTGCTGCTTAGGTTGTTTTGTTCTTTTGACTTCTATTCCTATTGTTTTGTTCTTTTGACTTCTGTTCCTTTTGTTTTGTTCTTTTGACTTCTGCTCCTATTGTTTTGTTCTTTTGACTTCTGTTCCTATTGTTTTGTTCTTTTGAAGTCTGTTCCTATTGTTTTGTTCTTTTGAAGTCTGTTCCTATTGTTTTGTTCTTTTGACTTCTGTTCCTATTGTTTTGTTCTTTTGACTTCTGTTCCTATTGTTTTGTTCTTTTGACTTCTGTTCCTATTGTTTTGTTCTTTTGACTTCTGTTCCTTTTGTTTTGTTCTTTTGACTTCTGTTCCTATTTTTTTTCTTTTGACTTCTGTTCCTATTTTTTTTCTTTTGACTTCTGTTCCTATTGTTTAGTTCTTTTGACTTCTGTTCCTATTTTTTTTCTTTTGACTGCTGTTCCTATTTTTTTTCTTTTGACTTCTGTTCCTATTTTTTTTTCTTTTGACTTCTGTTCCTATTTTTTTTCTTTTGACTTCTGTTCCTATTGTTTTGTTCTTTTGAAGTCTGTTCCTATTTTTTTTTCTTTTGACTTCTGTTCCTATTGTTTTGTTCTTTTGACTTCTGCTCCTATTGTTTTGTTCTTTTGACTTCTGTTCCTATTGTTTTGTTCTTTTGAAGTCTGTTCCTATTGTTTTGTTCTTTTGACTTCTGTTCCTATTTTTTTTTCTTTTGACTTCTGTTCCTATTTTTTTTCTTTTGACTTCTGTTCCTATTGTTTAGTTCTTTTGACTTCTGTTCCTATTGTTTAGTTCTTTTGACTTCTGTTCCTATTGTTTTGTTCTTTTGACTTCTGTTCCTTTGTTTTTTGTTGGTCTAGTACCTTTTCATTTGTTTTTGTGTTCACTTCATTCCTGTTGTTTTAATTTTTGACCTCTTTAGTTCCTATTTGTTTTTTTTTATCTGTATTGGTGTCGCATCATTTTCTGTTGAATCTGTGTTCCATTCTCCATTGATGCAAGAGGCTGTTTGCTTTTAATTGTTCATACCAAATAATCATAAAATTTTCATAGAGCTTTCACATGAATGCATGTCAGACCATTTCTGCAAAAACAATTTTTGGTCTGAATTTTCAAACTAGCTAGAAGATCCTGAATTTTCAAATCATTTATTAACATAATGATTCATCATTTGTTGTCTCCAATCTTCAACTTCCATGATTGATTTTTGAGTGAATATTGTAGTTGGCTTGTTATAAACACTAAATGATATGACAGAATTCCTCTTTGCCAGTAACTTAAAGTCATCAACCATCACTTTGAAGAGGAAGAAATTTTCTTGGTAAAAGAACAAGAAAGTCAGAAACTCAATACATACATGTATTATATTATTTTGTAATGATATAAACAACTGACAAAATGGCGGACTGGAGTGAAATGTACTTGCCTAATAAAATATCTATCTATCATTTATATGTTTATAAGAGATTAATCAATCAATGGTTGATGTTGACATAGAAAACAATCTCTCATGGTAATAGCACTAGACTATAAAATCTTGGTACCATCCCAACCCTTTGATTGTCCTCTCAGGCTGCTGTCATCACATCACAACATCCACAGCCGTAGTTTTTTGAAAAATTCACTGTGTGTATATGTTATCCCTCTATATAATGCCAACCCTTTTCGTAATGCCACTAGGCACAATGGTTCCCAGTATTTCATAAAATGACTTGTTGTTAACTTAGCTATATAACAAGAAGATTAATTAGAGACTTAGTGAAGAATTTGCTTTCCTGTTTACATACAACAAGATTTTGACACTTTTATCTATGTTTGTTTCTTTTTATAAATAGAGTTAATTCAGCTGAGTATTATCCCTCATGTTATAACGCCACAAACAAATTAATGTGTATGTAGCATCCTTAATATTGTTATCAAACTGCCCTTTAGTTTCATAGTTCTAATGATTTAATAAGTCTTTAACAAACCAAAATAACTGAGAAATAAAATATACTTACATTTGTACCAGTCAAAGTGTAGAATTTCTACTGACAGAGATGGTAATGAACTATTCCACTTACTGGCAGCAATGTTTTGGGTCTGTACTATTATTTTCAAGACTTTAAGTTTTAGAAGATAGATTGAAATGTAGATTAAGATGTATGTTTTGTCTGTATTTAGATATTTATATTTGTATGTTATTGTTGACTTATAGTACTGAGTGCTTTTGAAACTTGATATTAGTTCTATATTAATGCATTGGAAAATATTCTTCAAACAAAAGTTACATATAAAAAAATTACCATGTTGGTTTGTTTGTTCTGTTATATTTTAAAAGAAGGTTAGGTTGAAGAGATTAAGATAAAGCTACAGGTTGATAATTAACTTTACTTTGTAGCGGAGGACCGACTTAAGCGTCTTACAGATGACTTGATGGGCACAGAGAGGAAGCTGCTTCAGGCCACCAAAGACCTCAAACGTATGGGGGACATCACAGAGAAGGATGATGTCAAGGTGCAGCTTCGTCAGAGAATGGCAAAGAAAATGCAACTGGTTGGTATAATCTTATCTTACAATGACATCTATATTGTGTTGTTGTGTAACAGGTATTGTGTTGTGTATTGTCTATGCTTTGTGGTATGTCTCTTGTATATTATCTTTATGTATGTTACATTAAGTGGAAATCAGCTGTGTGTTTTATCAATAATAGCTTTTGTATATCAGTTACCTGATAGAAAATTGGTTACAGGTACAACATGTCCTAAAATAACCATAGATGTTGATAGGATGCTAAAGAAAATAAAACCAAACCATGTAATTGCTATCATTCACACTGAAATTATCAATTCATAAGTACATTATGTTTTGACTTTTCACAAAACCTGTGTTATCTCCCTTTGTCATCCCAGTGATTAGCATAAAAATTTATGATCCTGTAAAGTTGAAATGGTCAACAATTGTTTATGGTGTTTACCTAATTTATAACATTGACCATACCACACTTTGTTTCCCTTCTCATTGTAATGGAATCTTCATTGCGTTAGAAAATGGACTTGTCCATTATTGTTTTTGGGGTTGTTCACCAAATGTTTGTAAATGTACTACAAGTATGCATGAATATTTACATGTAAGTTTGTAAGAGCTCTATGGAGAAATGTCTGTACAATAATTATACTTAGGATGTTCCAAGTTCCCTTCACACAGAGTGGTTTTCCTGTATATGACTTTTGTATCTCAAAGGTAAGTTGTTATACAGAAGTCATCACACTTTCTTGAAATCTGACTTTCTGGAAAGTGGAGTTTTTGATACTGCCCTGTGAATATTTATCTATGAAAAATAGTTATCAGAGTTTATAGTGAATAATTGAAGTTTACATGTAAACTATCAAAATTCATTCTTGAGGAGGTAATTTTAACATAGACAAATTAGTCTAAGAAGGTAATTTTACTATCAAAATTAGTCCTAAGGAGGTGGGAGTGTTGTTTGTTTATTACTTAAAGCATAATTTGAAACCCTTCAAGTCATGATATTGACAAAAAGCTGATAACAATTTTCGTAGAAGCCATAATAATTTTCCCTAATGGTTTATCATGTAACATTTATTTATAGTAAGTATTGTAGGATTGACCTGCAGGTTTACCTACCACTGAGACAGTGTTAGGGAGAGAAGGGGTATTTTCTCACTGCCCACTGCTGGAGTGTACTAGAGTTAACATTTGTTTGTCAGGAGTGGTTACATTTTATCTGCATTGATTGTTTGTAGGTTAATGACCTGAAGGACAGTGCCACCCAGATAGAAGATGAGATTGAGAAGACAGTAAAAAGTATGCATGACAGTAAGGTAGACGTAGCCAGACTTAAGGGTCAGCTTGACCGCCTGGACAGCAAGGATCCAAAATATGTAAGCTCCAGCTCAGGGTGTCTGAATATGTTAACTTTTTTATATCTATAAAATAAAAAATGACATGGTACTTGTTAGACAAGCGATGATCAATAGTAAATAAATCACAATTTTGTCACTTATAACATTCACAGAAAAATAAAGCAACTTTTGTATCGCTTTGATCTAAGTTTTCCTTTTTCAAAAGTTGACTGCTAATAAAGCTTGTGTCATGACACCATCTTCAAATTTTCCAAAGGTTGTTAATGTGTGAGGATTTTCTTTAAATGTCCTATACTGAATGTATTGTGTGTATGTTGTAAAATATCCAGCAAAGTTTTTGTAAAAATGATATTATTATTGGACAACAGAGGAAAGTGTATGCTGAAATGGTGGACAAGGAACAACAGATCAGTGAGAGTAACCAGATGTATGGACAGTTACAGCAGCAACTGGAAGTCATGTTGGACACCATTGCCAAGGAAACTGCTGACATAAAAAAACTGGAACAGCAGCTTAATGATGGTAAGGGTTACACATAAGGTTTCCGAGTTTAACATCTACCAAGGTCTATGTTGGCCTAGAAAATATACTGCTGCCTTTGTGGTGTAACCAGTGACTTATTTCAATCACTAAAGTGAAAAAAACAAAATTATAAAACTTTGGCTGTCCATTCTTGTTCTTTTCAATAAGTAGTAAAGTCCTCTTAGCTGGGACTGTAACACTGAAGGTATAAAGTGATAAATTTGGAAAAAAAAAATTGATTGATGAGTTATCTTCTCCAGTTCTATTTATACATATAATGATATGTAAAGTTATATGACTGTTGATGGTTTCCAGACCAAATAGATGCCAATGAGTCACTGCGTACAGAGCTGGATGAGATCGTAGGGGGTTTACAAGGTTATTTGTCGAATGTCAAGCAGCAAGGCCTCCGTCGCCAGCGTGATTTTGACTCAGTTTTGGGAGAAAAGACACGTCTTGAACAGAAAGTTTCTCAACTGGAACAGGAGCTTGGTGTACTAGATGCAGAGGCTGGAAACTACAAAGCTATGGAAAAGGTATTAAATACTGATCTGTAAAGCATAAATAGAGGATCTGAACTTGTACTGAGTAAAACTCAGACACAATAACAACACTGACCTTCTACTCAGTATCTCAAATACTCATTAAACATCCTCATCAAATTCATCTTCATTCACATTCATATTTAATATAGTTATTGTCGCTAAATATTTACCACATACATATTAATTATACAACAGTTTTTTTTTATACTTCTTTAATATCAAGGTATAATATTGCATATCAATTTATCATCCCTTTAAATCAGTTATTTAACAAACCACAGGCTCCTTACATTCTCGAATACCTCCTATGGGCCATATCTGTCAGAGCAAAGATATTTTACATTTTGATAAAAACCACGGCAAAGAAGCACTTCATTACGTGTATGTTATGTCGTGTGTTGTGCACTTTTAGAATTAAATTTAGATCTTGTTTTAATCAGATTGCCTGTTTTACAATTAAGATTGGAGAGAATGCAATGTGACATAATTTATTTGGGCTGAAATTTTGCTGAAAAAAGATATGACTTCTATACTAAAGTGGTTATGGAGAACAATGTGTTAATGGTGTGTTTTCTGGTAAAATTGAGCTAAACTGAAGTTTGACTGTATTTTGTATAAAAGACATGTTGGTATATGTTCATATAGCAGAAGTAAATGTACACTATTTGTGATATTGACAGCGGCTAATAGAGATGGAACAAAACCTGAGTGACACACAAAATCTCAATAAAACACTGGAGGACCAGTTACACCGAACTCGCGCCAAGGATGCTGAATACCAAGACCAGATGGAAAACACTTCTGCAGAACTTGTAGACCTCAAGCGTGCACTCAAGGAGGCAGGCAGGAAAGCGCAGGTAATAAGTTAAAGGTTATAGGTCAATATTAAAGTTTATAGGTCAAAGAGGTAATGCTATTCTGTTACATGAATAAAGTTGAAAGTTATTAATACTAAAGTGAAGACTACAAAAAAGCGATTTTAAGGACATATCATGTAGAAGAGGTCAAGTTGTTAATTCAGGTAAAAATGCTCTGCAGATATTCTTTATTTACTTGTGCAAAATGTGGGAATAGAAGGATCAAATGTCAGTTTATCATGCATAAACTTATGATTTATGGAAGTTCATAATTTTTTAATGCTGTATAATTTCATTATTTCAGTATGACAAACAGGCAATTGAATCACAGTTGAAAATTGAGAAGGAACGTGCTTCAAAAGCACTACAGCAGGCAAATGTGGCATCAGCAGTAGATGAGGAAAATAGGCGACTACAACACCAGTTGGAAGCTATCAAGGTAAGATGATACACTGGTCATTTATCTAGGAAATGTTTTCTTGTCATTTACGGAGACTTTCCTCAAGTTTTGATCTTAAAGTATTATGTAAGACTTTCTCTTGCTTTATACAAAATTTATGATGTAATATTCAAATTATTTCATCAAGTTGTTCAGACCACACAAAAACATTGAATAACACTGATCTACTTCATAATAGATAAAATGAAATGTATGAGCCTCAATGATTATTACTCAGACCAGGTCTGAAAATCTTCAAGTCCTTGATTGTGAAATGAAGTTTACTTAAAGAAAGTTGGATGTAAGATTTATTTGTTATGATTAAATTTTAGGCACAGAATCTGTCATATAAGGAACAACTAGAAGGTGAAAGACAGTCACGAATGCGAGAAACAATGCCACATAATGAGATCAGAAAGAGGCTAAAAGATTTGTCACATTGTGTTAAATCAGGCAAGGTAAGAAATAACATTGCTTCTCATTTTCATGTGATATTTTTTTTCTCATTTCTGTCGAAAAAATGAAATGACATTTCCTTAATTGTCAAAAATATTTAATTGTACAGATGATTTATAGATGTTATGTATGTTTTTGTATTTTTTTATCATTGTTTAAACTGACATGGATATGAATTCTTGCAGACAAATGTCGAGCCTCACGATGACAGAGATTATCTGGGTAAAACTTTCAGAGATCTTCAGCAGTTTATGTCTGACAAAGTTAACAAGAGTTTTAGGGATGCAGATGATGCTAAGAAGAGGACTGACAAAGTAGGTTTTCTAATTGCTACCATTAAAGCATAAACATCATTCTGATTTTTACCATGTTTTGGGCTCATGAAAATTAAATCATGTGCAATTTTGATGAGGTAAATACATTGTTAATACCACAAAGAGTTATTAAAAGTATATTTAAATTATCCTCCTGCCTTTCAGGAAATCAAATACTAGGATTGAAAAATAGACTTTGTTGAGAAATAAACAGAATCATATAAAAGAGTTTTGTCTTACTGCAATGAACATGTAATTCTATGATTAAGGATTTGACCTGTATTGAATTTATTTTTAGGCGGACGCAGAAATACAAGCATTAAGAGAAAGCCTTACAAAAGCAGAAAATAAGATGGTTAAACGTGATGACAAAAACAAGGACAAGGAGAATAAGGTAAGTAATTATTTCTGAGAAAGGCAGTTTTTATCAGTGTTGATGGGAATGATGTTATAGGGCTGCAGTGTACTTATTACTGATATAATTGGAAAACATTGAACTGGAAACTGGTTTTAAAATCATTTTTATGATGTCAATTTTCTCATGAGATGTAGTAAGTTTAAGGGTTGGTTTATTATAGGATAATCAAATAGCAATGCTTTATAACTTTTTGGAACAGTAATGTACTTGGGTGGGCTTATTGCCTGAAAAGTACAGTGTATGGTGTTTTTTATTATATATATTGCTGAGTAACTGCTATGTAGCGAGTGATCTTATGACAACTGTGACGTTTGTAGCTCCAGGCTGAGAGGAAGGCCAATGAAGATGAGATGAAGAGGATGCAGAATGAGATACAGAAACTGAAGGCCAAGCTCAAGGAAACTATTGAACGGGCAGCTCAAGGTCGTCCTGTTACCAAGATTGTGTACCGCCCTGAGTCCGAGTCAGACCGGAGCTCAATGAACTCCGAGGAGAAGGCTTTGTTTGATGAACTACAGCGAGAGCTGCTGGAGCTGCGACGTAACATGAGGAACAAGGAGGAGGAAAATGCACGCAAGGTGAATGTTCTGACAGCTTGTGTCGGTAATAGATTGTCTCTTATTCTCCACAAGATTTTTATATTGTTCTAGGCAAGTTTATAATGATGGCACAAATGGCACAAGTATGATTAGATGCATCAGTTTTTCTTATGTAAGGAAGAATATGTAGTTTATCTTTCTAGGGTTTCATTTGCAGTAAGCTGTAAGTATTACTTCAGTGATTAGATTTCTTTTGTACTAACATTTTATTGAAATTCTGGAAGTTTGCATAAAATACTGTAGACTCTGGAATTTTGTATCAAATAAACATTGTGAAAGTACATATCAGAATAATCCTGGGAATGTTTCGTGGTTTTGAATTACTCAGTAATAACCTTGATGTTTTAGTTGGTTGACATGGAATCTGAGGCAGCCATGATGGAACAAGCGCTGAGGGACCAGGAGAGGGAGTATGAAAAAGAACTTGCCTTTACTCGTGATGAACTAGAAGACCAGAAGGTAATTTGTCATTATTTCAAAATCTGTCACATAAGCTCCAAAAAACATTTATAAACTTTTCACCATAATGATGAGTTTAAAACAAAGGTGTTTACCGATTTCTGTTTTGCAGTACCTATTTCTTCCTGAAGTTTCAGGGAAAAAAAGAAAAAGAAAAAAAAATCTGGAAATCCTTTAATTTTACCATTAAGCTGTCATTTTCTCCATTGCCTTTATTGTATTGATACTGTAGCTGACAATGTTATTTAAGGGAGAGAGATATGTGTATGATTCAAATCTAAGTCTTGCTAACAGTAAAATTGATAGAAACAGAATTCTGTTATTTGTATCTTAATTCATGTTGATTATTTGTGGAATGTAGGAGAAACAGGAGGCACGAATGCAGGTGATAGGTCAGGATTTGGAACAGGCACAGGTTGTAGCAAACCAACTGCGACAGTGTCTGGACGAGAGGGATAAACAACTGGCAAGCGAAGTTCAGACAACGAATATGTCTAATCAGATGATGAGTAAGTTCAAGTTGTCTCCCTTTGGTTTAAATCTCTTTTCTGTAATGAAGGGTATTTACATGTAAACAATTTGTGTTGTCAAATCAGTTAACATTAACTACATCTTTAAAACTTGAAAATTATATTCTGTTGGTGTGACGGTATAAAAACAATACCAAAACTTAATTGTAATATATGTAAAGTCATCAGATATGGAATATCATGATTGCTGTAATGATCTAGCATCAGTTAGCACTGTCTCAATTATTTCCAGAGGAAAATACGAAATGGAGAGGTAATTAGATATCCAATGTTAGAATCCACAAATCTAGTAGACGAAAATCCGTCGGGAATTTTGTAAATTTATTTCTTTTTACTTTAGACTTAAGTAAATGTAGAATTAATATATCCTAGTGTAGTTCTTTTATTTCATATGTTAAAGACTCTAACATGGGTACTAATATTCTAAGAAAGTAAGGCTTGTTATTTAAAAACACTCTAAACTTGGAAATGTAAAGGATGTAGGTATATTGAGTAATAAGTTTGACTTATATAGGTCACTTACAAAGGGTGAGGGGTGATGGGTGGGGTCAGATTGGAGGGCGGGGTCGGCTTGAATAATAAGATTATTTGTCCCTCAAAAGTTTTGTCTCCAAAAATTCTTGAAATTAAGAAAGGTGGCATTACTTTGTGTCAATTCAACATTTTTGAAGTGACTAGATCAAAGGTTAGGGACATTTCATTTGTTTTTATTTTTAGTATGAACTGGTAAATAGTTGGTTTGGAAATTATGAAAGTCAGATGCTCAGTGAGTCATTTTCTGGAGCGTCTAAGTCATTATAGGAGTACAGAATGTCTGTGATCAGTTGTGTATATATATCCTCTTTGTAATGTTTATTTAGAGGGTTTCCATGTCAAGTCAGGTAAGAAAATGTACCCCATGTCCATTCAGTAAGCACCAGTCTACAGCATTGCACAATTAACCAAACATCCCTTTAATCTACCCACAATATACTGATATGTCATCAAATATTTTCTTTTACTTCAAGTAAAATAAGACAATGAATGATAAATAAATAAACAGAAATTTAAGGATTTTTTTAATTTTTGCAGTATTTCCAGTGAGAAAAAAATTAAACTGAAACCATATAAATATTTCTTATAAATATGAGAGAGAGTTTTGACTATTTAATATATTACAAAAATCCTCATCTTTGTGGCCTTAGTCCTGAATTATAGCTGAAAAAATTGACTCCAATAAAGAATGCTATATATGCATGTACTATATATGTTTTTGTTAAATAAACACATATTTTTAGTATATTCATTTTAATGGTATCAGCTTTTTCTTTATTTGGATATCAAAGTTTTTTCCAGAAAAGGAAAATGCTATGGAATATTTTCTATGTCAGAATACAAACTCATTTTCAAGATGACTACCATTAAAATTGACCATCAAAAGGATTTAGTAGCAAACAGCTTCGCATGATTAGCCTAGAGAAATGTCAAACATTAACTGATGTAATACATGATCACTCGATCTCAATTAAATGATTTTTTTATGTTAGAGTAATGTTAAACTTTAAAACTGAGATTAGCCAACACTCAGGTTTGATAACTTGAGAATTGGCTGTACTTTACACTTTGTTTAAGCTATGTTATAATTTGAGAGGTGTCTGTTCTTGTATACATGTTTAAGGTATTTAATAATTCTATTTTCTATTCATATTTGTGTGTGCCTGACCATGATTTACACAGGTCTGAAACCCCATTTCCTACTGTGTAAAGTCTCACAACTTGGATGTGCACTAAATTTCAAACAAATCAATCTCTGGTTTTATTGTTATGTATGAACTGATAATGGATTGAATTCCTTGGTGTGGACGTTACAGAGAGTGGGTGTGGCATTGTGAGCATTACACTATTACACTGTGGGTGTAAAAGGTGCTATCATTGCACCAGTTAGTCACACACATTTGTCATTGGTAAAACTACACAAAAAATATGGTAATTTGTTTTGTTGATCTTTAAACAATATAAAACCATTCTGTAGTCTGTTCTAAAATTTAGGTATAGATTGAAACATTTTAAGGAAATGCTTAACACCTGTTTGGATTTTTGTATATTTTTGTCCTGTATAAGAGGTGACAAAGTGACAAGCATTTGTCCTAGTAAGGATAGATAATTTATACTACTCAGGTTCACTGATTGTTTCTGTCTTGTCTCACAGCTGCCCAAGAAGATGAGCTGGCACGCCTGTATGAGATACTGGATGCCCAGAGGGACGAGATTGAGCATCTGAACGGGATGTTGGACCAGATGTACAGTAGCCCACGTGGACCTGGTAAAACTTTCACACACATTCTGAAGAAGTGCCAATAAATCAAAAACAACACAGAAACCTGTTAAACTCATTTCTTACATTTTTGAAACAGAAGAAAATATGAATTTTATAAAAACTACAGGGATAATATAAAAAAAAATCTGATATCATCACTGGTGATGATATAACATTTCTAGTGAAGATATGTGTTTTCGAGTTGTGACCAATCAGAACAATGATTTAATACCGGTATTTATTTATGATTTATTGCTTTGAAATTCACTGATTTTGTTCCGAGACAAATAAAATGCAGATGGGTTATGTGGTGTTTTCACCAAATATTTGCTGTGCACACGGCTGGTTTTCTTAAATTCATACCTGTTACAGTTTGGCAGGGATTCCTTTCATAGAGAGCAATATAGAACTGTAGGATGCTGTGCATAGTGGTCAATAAAAATGTAATATCAAACCATTTGACATCAAAGAATGTTGCCCTTTTTCATGACGGATTTGGTTTGGATTGACTTTTTGCTTAATCTTTCTGCGTTATAAATATAATGAAAAGAAAATTTTGACTTTTTCCATTGAATGCCATATATATTTTGCTTGTATGGCAGAAGATATTGAATAATATTTTTTACTTGTGCCTTTTCACTTGTGGAAAATATGTTTATTCTGTCATACTCGCGAAATATATATATATGATGACAAATACCGGGTAGGAAACCATTTAATATCCTCTTTATAAAGTTGAAAAAAGGCAACAGTTACCACAAAAGTTATTCAGAATCTGTTGAAAGCTGTAAGCATAGAATCGGGTGAAACACAAAATTTTCAGCCTCTAACAAGTTTCTGTAGACTTTCCAGAACAGGATTTTGGTGAATATTTGCAGTCTATATTATCAAATATCATACTTTCTTTCAGTTCTGAGAATGGACAATAAATGTTTATATTTTTTGTCATTGTATTTGTCAGTTAACCCTGGTTTCGATGATGGTCTGTGGAAGTTACGTCAGGAAGTAAATCGGCTGAAGGAAACTCTTGCCATGCAGTCTGCCTACATACAGACAATGCCTAACCCCCTAAGCTCGGCCGGTACCCAGGTTCAGACAGACATTCCACCAGAACCAGGGTTTAATCAGGTATGTTTGTAGTGGATAAGTACAAATATTGATGGATATTGAAAATGTTTAAGATTTTTTGTTAAGGTTATCCAAAGAATTTTTCTAAAAAAAGAATAATGAAATAAATGATTCAGACTGGTGAGGCCTTCAGAGACAAGAAATTTTCAGATGACAGAAGTATGATTTAGACTGGTGAGGCCTTCAGAGACAAGAAATTTTCAGATGACAGAGGTATGATTTAGACTGGTGAGGCCTCAGAGAGGGCCGTTAGATTTATGTTGAAGAGGAATCAAGAGTAATAAAGTGTAAGGCCTAAGAACAGGAAAACAGTGGTTTAGGGTTATTGTGTTCTTCTTACAGAATGTTTATCCTAGCCAGGCAGCTGGTCCAGTGCCCCGACTACAACTGGGTACCCAGCCTGGGGTACCTGTGTCAGTGATGCCAACCTCTCCACATAGAACAAATCTGGTAAGTAACCATATCAATATACAACTTTTGTGTAATTTATTTATAGTAAAACTTTATTATGGTGCTACCATATTTCCTGCATAGTGCTGACAGTATAAAGAGGTTTGGTGCTATACTGAAATAGACTTACAAAGGGTATTTAGACTTAGCAAGTCAGCATGTAAAGTGAAGGTCAGTGAAATTGATTTCTTATTTACAAATGAAATTTTAGAAGTTTTAATTAACCTCTGCCAAAAAGATGCACCTTTTGAAATAAATGAAAAGTGGTTTACATTATTCAGTTTAAATTTGTATTATAATTGTTAGGGCCCTATAGTAATCAGCTGTCTGTCTGTGCTTGCTTGGGGTATGTAGCTTTTCATCTCCCAAGGTTAAAGGTCAAGGCCATTGTTGATAGAAAATCAGTTAATGCACAATATCTTGAGTTGTATTGGGCCACATGCACTCAGACGTTATCCAGTATTACCTCAAAGGAAGTGCTAGTTTGATTTAGCTTCTCAGCATCAAAGGTCAAAGGTGATTGCCACTTAATCTAAGTACCGTAATTAATTTCTACCATGTGACTTGGACAATGTACAATGTGTCTTTTTTTCAGGGGACCGCCTACTCACAGCCAACTTCCTACATGCCTTCCATGGGGGCAGTCCCTGGGGTACAGTCAGGCTATGCCAGTGATCCCCAGCAGCAGCAGACCCGCGTGTCCTCTGCAAGGGAGAGTAGTCACAGGCCACGTTCAGAGGATGCCAGGCCCGGTCACCGGTCTCGAAGGGACAGAGGTTAATATCTAGTGATGATATATTATGATATGTTGTTTTGTGGAGACAGTTGGAAAATAGATAATAATAAACAATAAACTTATATACTATCTTGGAAACTTACAATACATCAATCGTTTGAAACACAATGTTTGTGTAGATTTTTTTCTAACTTTTTTGTCTTTTCGACATAAAATATTTTATGAATATGTTAAATAGATTTATAAAAGTTAGTTTAAAAAGAATCACCTTAAAAGTAAAGTCACTTTCCATTATTATATCACTTATACAGAAGGACCAAGTGAACTTATGCTGTGGTGCTGTGTCCACTGTCAGTTGGCTATCTGGCATTAACTTTTTACTTTCAACAATGTTTCAGTAACCAAGAGGCTAATAATTACTGTGTTAAGCTGAAAGATTTCTGTGATGAATCCAAATAAACTTTAGGAAAAGGAATTAACTTGACTCATATTCTATTATCAAATCTGTTCAATCACTCTGACAACTTCTTATTTACTAAAAGGCCTAGAATCACGATATTTGACTGGTAGGTACCTGAGAATAACCTTAATAATGTTTGTGTAAAGAAATGACTTTGACTCATATTCAAGGTCACAGGAATACTAGTTGTTTGAAATAAACACTCAAATGGCTTCACCTTCTCATAAATTCCATTCCCTTTATTAATCCACAACAGGATTCATCAGTTGTTCACAAATTGTGTTTACCTTACAGTGTAAGCATGCCATTTAAAATTTTTTTTTTTCAAAATGGATTTAATCCACTGCATTTGCAAAAAAATATACTGAATGGAGGCTGTCATGGCCTCTAGTAATTTTTCTTAATTTTTGAAATAATTGATTATTTTCTGTCAGTTCTGATTTCTAACTTAGCTTATAGTTCTTCAACACTTATCTCCTGTAAAGGAATTTTTTTTAAGGAAACATAGCGTTGAATTAAAAAAAATTGTGTTGCTGGTCGTTTATTGGTGATGATAATTTTGGTGATTTGCTGGGCAATAACATATGATTGCAAAAAGTACACCAGTAGGAAAAAAAAAGATAGCTTTACTGACTGATATTTCAGCAACCAGGAAATTGAAACTTGACCTTGGAACATTATTTGCTAAAATTAGATATATTTTTATAATTTGTATTCAGGTTGCAAAACTTTGATAGCTTGAAATTGAAATCTCTTGTTTTAAGTGAAAATTGTGAAAAGTTTGACCAAAGAAAATAACTGCTCTATGGTAACTATAAACTGTATATCTTCAGGTGAAGATGATAGAATGAGCCAAAGAAGCCACAGAAGCCACCGTAGTCATGGCAGCAGTAAAGGCCGCAGTGGCCGCCATCATGATAAGGATAGACGACGACAGCACTCATCATCCGCAGTCCAAAATACAGCATTTGAACCTGTACAGCGCCCTCAGGTGTATCGGCCAGTACAGGGAGGAAGTGCTGCCTCAAACATGCCAAGTAGTGTCCCTGGTGGTGTTGTTGGAGGTGTACCAGGTGGTGTTGTTGGTGGTGTACCAGGTGGTGTCATTGGTGGTGTACCAGGTGGTGTCGTTGGTGGTGTACCAGGTGGTGTCATTGGTGGTGTACCAGGTGGTGTTGTTGGTGGTGTACCAGGTGGTGTACCTGTGCCAGGAACCTCAGGCCAGTATTTCCCAGCAGGAATTCCAGGTCAGAACATGCCAATCGCAGCTCAGACAAATATTGGTGGTGGCCCAACCACAGAGGGATATCAGGCCCCTTACCCAGGTCGAGGTGTACAGCTTGGCCCAGGGGGTACTTCTCGAGGGGTCCAACCATCAGGACAACGCCATATACGGGGCCTTACTGCAGATCCCATTCCCCAGAGTGGAGGAACTGGAAGCCAGACACCTGGACACACCTCAACTCAGACTAGTGGTGCCCCCTCAATAGTGATGGCCCCACCATATAACATAGGAGCACAAACTTACATACCAGTTGCAGCCACTCCTGCACAAAACGTGCCCTACAACAGCAGCAGGGTGTTCTTACCTGCCTATTCAACTTCCACAGATCGCCCTGGTGGCCGGATATACTATCCTCAGGGTGGAAGAATTCCTGCAGGTGGTTCTGGGGGTGGAGGTGCACCACCTCCCCCTCCACCACCTCCTCCTCCTGCACCAACACAGTATGTACCAGGGTCACCAGGGCCAAAAGTGACTTTCCTTCCAGTAACTCCCATGGCTACTGGAACACCAGTGAAACATTCTAGAGTCAACGCTTCTCTCAGTGCACCACCAAGTCCAATATGTAAGTAAAAGCACCTAATTTTTATAAAACCAGGTCATGATTGTTATAAAGGGTTGGACAGACCAAGGGAAATTCATATAGAGGTGGACAGGTCACAGGAGATTTGTAAAGGGTTGGACAAGGTAAGGGATATTTAAGTAATAATGGACAGGTCACAGGAGATTTGTAAAGGGTTGGACAAGGTAAGGGATATTTAAGTAATAATGGACAGGTCACAGGAGATTTGTAAAGGGTTGGACAAGGTAAGGGATATTTAAGTAATAATGGACAGGTCACAGGAGATTTGTAAAGGGTTGGACAAGGTAAGGGATATTTAAGTAATAATGGACAGGTCACAGGAGATTTGTAAAGGGTTGGACAAGGTAAGGGATATTTAAGTAATAATGGACAGGTCACAGGAGATTTGTAAAGGGTTGGACAAGGTAAGGGATATTTAAGTAATAATGGACAGGTCACAGGAGATTTGTAAAGGGTTGGACAGGGCAAGGGAGATTTATGTAATAATGGACAGGTCACAGGAGATTTGTAAAGGGTTGGACAGGGCAAGGGATATTTATGTAATAATGGACAAGTCACAGGAAATTTGTAAAGGGTTGGACATGGCAGAGGATATTTATGTAATAATGGACAAGTCACAGGAAATTTGTAAAGGGTTGGACAAGGTAAGGGATATTTAAGTAATAATGGACAGGTCACAGGAGATTTGTAAAGGGTTGGACAAGGTAAGGGATATTTAAGTAATAATGGACAGGTCACAGGAGATTTGTAAAGGGTTGGACAGGGCAAGGGATATTTATGTAATAATGGACAGGTCACAGGAGATTTGTAAAGGGTTGGACAGGGCAAGGGATATTTATGTAATAATGGACAAGTCACAGGAAATTTGTAAAGGGTTGGACATGGCAGAGGATATTTATGTAATAATGGACAAGTCACAGGAAATTTGTAAAGGGTTGGACAAGGCAAGGGAGATTTATGTAAAAATGACAGGTCACAGGAAATTGATATGGGGTTCGACTTATCACAGGAGGTTTATATAATGTTGGTCAGGCCATAGGAGATTTATAGAGGGTTGGATAAGTCAAGGGAGATTTATAAAGGAAAGGACAGGTCACAGAAGATTGTCTGGTCATACTTTCTTCAGTCTGGGTATGAATTGGCCTTCGCAGACTTCCACGCAATAAAGGTGTATACAGGAATCTGTCTAACAGTGTCTTTCTGTTGAAAAAAGTTTGTCTGGATATTGCCTCCTAAATTTATCAACTAATTTCAGTGAAACTACACTGGAATGTTTGGGACCATATATTGATGTGAATGCAGGTTTTTTTTTCAGCAGGAATCTCGGTTTTCATGGTAACCAGGTCTCAATTCACAGGTTTCCTTAATTTTCTTGAACTTAGGAACCGATTTCAATGAAACTATATAGAAAATTTAAAATTCAAAATCATACATGAGGTTGCTGGATCTTGAGCTGAAACAATTGTTGTATAAACCCTTTGCATCAGGGGATGACATAATTATTTCTTGATCATTGACGTGGATGTCATCACCATGTTAAACCAAAGTTATGGGTTCACTTAATAAGGTAACAGGACAAGTGCTAGGGAAAAAAGTTGACATGTAGTGTTGTATATATGACATGAATTAGAAAAAAAAATGACCCTGAAATGCCTTTCTATACAGTTTGTCAGTACATCCCAGATACAATGTACCCAACACAAAAGATTTACAACTTTGTAATGTTCATGGTATTGGTGTCACCAAGATATATTATCGAGCTCGTATCAAGATGTTGTGTGTAAATATTGGATATTCACAGAACTTCTGCCTATTTTATTTAATCCAAGCTGACAATTCAAAGACATTTATTTAAAGAATTTATCAATTAAGTTGATATCAAGAGTAAAAAGATTTTATTTGGATTTTTCAGTATCCATTTTTACTACCTTTTTTTTATGCATTTTTGAATGCTTGAAATAAATCTTAAGTTGAGATTTAAGCCATGTTCTTTTTTCAAATTAAGAAAAAAAGAATAAGTATAGGTGTCTATTGGCAGTTTGAAATGGAGATAGAATGTATTGGTGTTCTAGATATTAAGCTTAGGATAGAGGTATGTGATTTGATTAAAAGATCTTGTGCTTGTTAAAAGGAAATATAGATTTGATTGAATTGGATTTGTGAAGTAATCAACTGACTTATATGTGTTTTAGCAAAAGTGACAAGTTTTGCATCTCATTAGACTGAGTCGATTGAACGTAATTATAAAAAAATACCAGGAAATCAAGACCTATTGATTCTTGTTTTTCCCTCTTTAGGCTTACATCTCTGTACTGACAGGTTAGTGAAGGAAATCAATAGAGAACACTCAGTGTGGTGTATGGAATATGGAATGCTTTTGTTTTTTAATGGGAAACCTGTGTACAGTATGGAAGTTCTGTCATTTGCCACTTTGTCAGCTTGAAAAAGTTTCTAAGTCAAAAACAGGTTTATGTTACAAAACCATTTTCCATTGGGACTGTAATTTGTTTGGTCCTTTTTCTTTTAACTATATTTTCCAGGCTGCATCATAATAGATTTTCATGTGGCTTTTTAGGATGTGCTGGTGTTAAACTGATTAGATTTGACAGGACAATGGTGTACGGAAAATCAATAAAAAAAACATGAATGGTGACATGATAGCTTTGTGAATGTCATGTATAATTAATTGATATCTGTGTGTACATGTTTGTTGACGTGCATTAGGTTGATGAGCTGATTGTTAAGTATATTCTAAAGAAGAACAGGTTGTTCCAAGACTCTTTCATTTAGTATATATGAAATGTTAAAAACTTTCTGGAGTTGTGAAATCTATAGTGTTATGGCTTTTATGATAGTGAAAGATGCATCCAAAAAATCCAATTAGCTTCTCTGTCACATTTACCTGCGTATACATCACATAGGTGCCCGCCTGTCCGACTGACTTTTAAATTTTTGTTCGGACATGTTTTGGTCACATGACTTGCTGTTTGACATTGTGCAGATCAGAAGCCAGTCAATAGGCTTGAGTATTCTATTATCCTGTATTGTTAGCACTGTAGTACCTATACACGCTACCCTGGCTAAATACCAGTAATATGTCGCCTTAGCCTTGGCTAATGACAGAAAATCTGGTCACGTTTACCTCTTAATCTGTGCTTATAGTGTAATGGTGTAGTATGTACTACATAGAGTGTCAGAACTGGATGACATGAAGATGTAGTGTTTGGAAAAGGTGTGCTGGACCGCTGGATTGTCTTGTTGTGGTAGGTGTATAGCCTCCAAAATGTTGTTATCATGTCTGAATTGCTTGTCTTACACACTTAATGAGGACATTTATCAGTGTGCTGATTGGTTTTACTATAGATGAAGAGGTTTGCTATATGTTCAGTATTCTGATGATTTTATATGGGGTGGTTATGATTAAGTGGCCTCTAGAGATTTAATCTTTACTTACAAATTACCATACAAATGTACATAATAATGCAGGTGCATTCCTGTAGAGACAAATACCTGAGATAAACTGATCTGTAGTCATTTACACACAAGAATTTGCTTTTGTCTTTTCTGAATAACATGTTCTTAATTTAAGCTTTGCATTTTTAGCAATATTTTGTTGTAAACTGAAATGATGTTAAATAAATCTGAAATACACTCAGTGTTGAAAGAGTAAGGAACTTATGTCAGCATTTACATTCAACTGAAAAAAAAATGCACACTTAAAATATATTTTATACAGGAAGTTATCACGAAGGATCACGACTGTCTGAACGATTGCATCAATAAAGATGCCACCTTTCTAAATGGCTCCTCTACAGAGACCACCAAACGAAGTGACTACTGTTATAAAAACATCATCTCTCTAAATGACAACCTCTGTATAGAGACTACCTTTCTGAGTGACCTCCATATGTAAATTGTCCTGTGTAAGTGACCACCCCCATTTAGAGACTACCTTTCGGAGTGACCACCTCTATGTAGAGACCACCTTCTGAGTGACCTTAATTTGTCATGTCTTTGTGAACACCTCTATAATGAGACCATCTCTTAATGTCACAGAAGACTACTTTTAAACATATGTATTTGAGTCTGATACTGATTTTTTAATAAGAAAATCCAGCAATTGTGTCTTGTCTGAAATGATCTTTTAGGCAAAAATTTGAATTTAGGTATATATTAACATGTTTTTGCTGAACATGCATAACACTAAAGGTACATGTTTTGTAATTTTACAGTGGCAGGAGCCCTGGCCATGGACACCTCTGGTCAGCCCCGAGGAATCCTTAAGGGTGGAGTTGGGGGAAGTGATGATAGCTACCTGTTCTGTAATGTACCAGAACATCATGATCTGGTGAGTTGTCAGTGTTCTAACTTTGTGTACTTCAGTTTTTATATTGTGTGAAATAACAGTTGCCAAGTCTTAAATTTCAAGTTTTGTGACCTTAAGTTTACATTAAAAGAGACCACATACTATATTTAACCTGCAGTAAAAGTAAAGCAGTAGACTGATTCTAAACCAATGAAATAGCATTTGTTCTTAAAACAGCTAATGGTATTGGTGTGCTTATGTCCGATTGACTTATCATACAATATAGTGCCTGCTTATTTCGGGAAAGAGATGTTCACACCCTGGAGTAGTGATATCCACTAATTACAGATATTATCCTGTGTTATATAATAATGTAGGATCCACTTATTTCTCTGTATAGGTAATACATAGGTGTATTAAGTAATTATTAACAGCATTAAGGATAATCAGATAAACCACAGGTGATATTATGTATAGACATGTCCCTTTATTTTATGGGTTATAAAAGTGAAAGAATGTGTAGCATTAACTTAGGTATCCAGTAAGCACAGGAGATTCTTTACAATATTAGTGGTGAATTTCTCAAGCTGTACAAGGATTCACAGATGAACTTCATCATGGATCCTTATCTATAGTGATGCAAGCTTTACACCTTCATGATCTGGGAGTAGAAGAAATTGTAAACTGTGTGTAGGTCAGAATGTTTTATGTTAATTGTTCATATTATTAGATATTCACAATTTTAAAAATGATACCCTAAGAAAAATGACATTGCATGATGGAGGCATTTAACAAAATTTTGAATAAGTTGTGTAAAATAATGTGTTAAAAATATTTTTTTTTCTTAATTTAATCCAAGGTCAGAGTTAGACAAAATGTTACTTGTGACTTGTCTTAAAGGTGAATAATGTTTGGGAATTGGTTCCCACCAACTTTTCTCACACTGTATCGAAATGATAAAAAAAAAATTTAGTAGATAATTTTACAGTTTTAAATCCTGTCTGTGATTATAGACAGTATCAGTTAATTAATAGGATCTAAAGATATACATCTTATATGCTGCCATCCTATACACAAATATAGAGGGCTCTGCTTGTTGTATATAGAGTAGGGTTAACTGATAAAGAATTCTGAAGATTGTCTAGATTGGTATCAGTAAATGTACAAGACTGTTTGTGATCAAATGAGAATGATCAAATGCTATGTATAATAGATTAAACGTTATGGGCCTTTCTAAACAATATTCATGTGTAAAGCATTTTTTAGAATTTTATACTAATATTTTATTTCTTATTGACCTTAACTATCAAGTAATTGATTTTGAATTAATTTTAAACATTGTCTTGTGTTTTACCCAGACAGTCTTGTATATAGTCTAACTGTTTAAGTTTAATATGTTAAGTACAAGTTTACAGTACAGATATTAAATTTCAAAATCAGCATTATAATCCTGGTCCCCGAATCTCTACTGAAGTGTTTATAACATGTACCAGTAACAACAGTCTCTCTCCACTTCTAGCATAGAGGACAGGGTGATTGTAATGTTGTATTAGGATTGGTGAATAGGTGATAACTCTCCACGGTAAATATTGGGAGAAATACGACAAACATGTAATGTATAGTGGACAGATGTCCGAGTGTATACCCAACATAATCAATAACCAGATACAGGCACAGGATTAGGGTGTGAGCTCGCTGGAAATATTTACCTAGTACCTTTATATCTATGATATCTTCAGGTGGTATTTTAGATTCCCAAATGAAATCCTGAAAAGTTAATATCCAATCTTGGTAAATCATTTCAGTTTGATTGTGAATAAGTGACATTATAATTTTCTGATAAAAAAGGTAATGAACCAGATGGATATGATCAACATTTAGATATTTTTGTACATATTTTCCAGTAACCTGAAATTTTGATCTGTGAAAAATTTCAAATTTTTGAACCCTGTCTTAAAGAGACGAAGTTTGTCAGTCTAACATGGCTATACTCTATCTGACATAATTAGATATGAAAGTCATTTTCATTAATAAGATATATTTAAATGAACTGAAAGAATTTTGTCATAAAATTTCAGTAGTTAAGGGTATCAACAAATATCAATCTCATTCAAACCTAAAGATGAACCATTAGATTCCAAATTTTAATACCAGGGTATTCTTAGATTCTATTTGTTTGGTATTGACAAACTCTATTTCAGATTTAATCTAGTATTTAATCTTAGTGACTAAAAACTGATAATTAGGCTTTCAAACTTCTGGAGTATGCATTATCATAAAAGACCTTCATATTTAATATTGAACCAGTCTGAAATAATCCTTGAAAAAACTGATTATTTGTCTGAATTTTTTAATAGCAGTTAAACTTCAATTAGAATTCACTAAATTTAAATGCTATCACATTTCAATATACATGTCATTCATTTGCAACAATGCTGGTATCAGTATTACCTTTGACGGTGCCTTACTAATTTATCAATATACATATGTACCTGTGCTAATTTTACCTGCCCAAACTCGTTCAGTGTGTATAAGCTATAGGTATTTGGAGGGATTTACCTACAGTATTAAATTTCCCGCGGGAGGTGTCAAATCATTACTCGATAATGATTTCCATTTAAATCTAGACCAGGTTTATATAGGCAGACTATCGCAGGGGTCATACAGGCCAGTGTTACCCACCTAATATGGTGTGGTTGTTAGTACTAGCCTGCTTGTGGTCTCAGGCAGATCATTGAGCATAAAATTGTTTTGCTGTTTCTTGAAAAGAAATTTAAATGTTATCATTGAATACACACATCAATGGTATGCATGTCTAGAAGGTTACATCTATATAATTCGCTTCGCTGGAGGCCATCACCACACTATAGAGGTTAAATGCATTGAAATGAAATGTAAACAGTCATTTTTTAACAAGAAGGTGTAATGTTATTGTCACAGGAAAAGTTATGGATATAGAGTATGAATAAGTCAATATTTTTATCTGTCATTTATTTGTAATGTGTTGACTTCGGTATTTAGTGTGTTTGAAATTGATAGTAGAAGTTACTGAATAAACACACATACCAGGTTCTCAGAATTATTGTTGTTATCAAACTGTACTCTTTAACAATAATCAAATAGTAAGTAGTCATAGAACTGATTATGCTGCTGATAAAGCATTATTTTGGTTCAGACAAAAAATAAAACTGGAAACTTAAGATGAAATTTCTTAAAATCATACCACATTAACACTCATCACAAGGTTATCAAGGGCTATGACCCAGAAATGTACAACTTAAATAAGTTCAAAAAAAATTCAGACACCTAGAGTATCGATAACAATCTTTATTTCAGTATTAAATATATTACATATGAAAGAGTGAAAACTTAGCCGATGGTTTTATTTTCTGTTATAGGAGGACTACATTGCAGAGCTCCAGGAAAAGTTAAAACGCCTCAAACATCGCATTCTCAGAGAACAGGTGAGAAATTCTGTAAAGAATACTTACAGAGTTACATAAGTGACAACCCTGTGTTCCTGGAACTATAGACATGGTGTCAAGGAACTCCACTTAATGGAGTTTTACACTATAATCTTACACCATTACTTAGAATGACAACCCTGTATTGCTAGAACTATCGACATGGTCCTAAGCAAATTAAACATCTTTCTGTTATTGTTACATTAGATTATAAACTACAAATATGTAGTTTCCCCCCCCCCCCCCCTACCCCCTTTATTGATTGAGGAGGAGGGATAAGTATTGTCTATACAAGTATATAGGAGAATGACCTCAGACAAAACTGTCATGTTTGAAAGTAAATGGCTTGTTGTCTTACAAACTTTGTGAAGTAACTATATGTGGTTTTATTTGTTGTAACAGGAGGATGCTGCAGCGAATGAGGATCATCGGTTGATAAAGAGGCTACAGAACGAATTGGAAGATCGACGGGATGAGCTGGAAGGTCTTGATCTGGCCATTGACAAACAGAAGAAATCGCTGAAGAACTTGCGGAAGGAAGAGAGACAATTGGAAGAAGACAAGCTGGAAGCCAAGGATGAACTTGAGTTTCTTAAGGCATACAGGCTGAAGTCCAACAAGAAAAAGTAAGAGAAGATGAAAACTTCTTTCTGTCTAAAACAGACCAGTAGTGTAAAATCAATCTCAAGAAATTCAAAACAGACAAAACTGTCCCAGATCAATTTACTGGTCATACATGATGGTCTTACATTTACAATATGTCAAATAATCCTTCTTTACCCATACAAAGGGTCTATTATAATGAGGTAAATCCTAGTAATACAGAGGGTCTATTATAATGAGGTAAATCCTAGTAATAGAGAGGGTCTATTATAATGAGGTAAATCCTAGTAATACAGAGTGTCTATTATAATGAGGTAAATCCTAGTAGTACAGAGGGTCTATTATAATGAGGTAAATCCTAGTAATACAGAGTGTCTATTATAATGAGGTAAATCCTAAATACCTATTATAATGAGGTAAATCCTAGTAATACAGAGGGTCTATTATAATGAGGTAAATCCTAGTAATACAGAGTGTCTATTATCATGAGTTAAATCCTAGTAATACAGAGTGTCTATTATAATGAGGTAAATCCTAGTAGTACAGAGGGTCTATTATAATGAGGTAAATCCTAGTAATACAGAGTGTCTATTATAATGAGGTAAATCCTAGTAATACAGAGGATCTATTATAATGAGGTAAATCCTAGTAATACAGAGGGTCTATTATAATGAGGTAAATCCTAGTAATACAGAGGGTCTATTATAATGAGGTAAATCCTAGTAATACAGAGGATCTATTATAATGAGGTAAATCCTAGTAATACAGAGGATCTATTATAATGAGGTAAATCCTAGTAATACAGAGGGTCTATTATAATGAGGTAAATCCTAGTAATACAGAGGATCTATTATAATGAGGTAAATCCTAGTAATACAGAGGGTCTATTATAATGAGGTAAATCCTAGTAATACAGAGGATCTATTATAATGAGGTAAATCCTAGTAATACAGAGGGTCTATTATAATGAGGTAAATCCTAGTAATACAGAGTGTCTATTATAATGAGGTAATCTTAATAATATGCTAAATTTGAATTAATGGTGAAAATCATATTTGGATATTTTTGCCTTCCAAATATTACAATTTACAAATTGCCCATTAGTTGTGTTATTGTCTCTTGATTTCTGTACATTTGTCTCAGCTATAAGCTCTGACATATAATAATATCTCCTTCACAGACCATCCTGTGTTCTCCTGGCTGTGTCCTTAGACAAGACATTTTATCATTATTGCTTCTGTAAACATGTTGGGGACCTTCTGTAAAACCTCAAAATGACCCAGGCTACACATGGAGGCAATACACCAGAGAAACAAGCTATTTTATTGTGTTAACTAATTTATTTTTTTCCAAATTTTTGAATCAGGAAAATGTGGAAGAATGCCATGGATGATTTAGATAGTTCAGACGACTCACTGGGGGAGTACATGGTCAAAAGTAGGCAGCGCTTTGTCAGAAATGAGGTGGAGGGTATTGAGAAAACACTCTCCAAAAGACGCAGCCAGTTACGAGATGCTGATGCACTCCTTCGACAGTGTAACAGTGATTTAAAAGGTGCTAGGGATCAGGTTAGTTTCACAGAATCAAAAAGCAAATCATGAGCCACATTGTTCATCTTAAAGAAATATACTTTCAGGTTATACATGATATCGTTTTAAATAAATAGTATTTCTTTATAAATATTGGGTGTGTAGTTTTCTCTATACCAGACTGTTAACTTAAGAATTCTTCTAGTTGAAAGCACATGTGTGATTAGATATTTATAGAATGGTAGTTTTAAGGTTATAGAACACTGGTTTTGTTTTAGGCACGAGAAACTATTGACCAGTATGACACTGCTAACCACAACCTCAAGTCTACAATGAAGGAGACTTCAGAATTAGAGCGACGAGCCAATCTGGCTGGAGTGGAACTCCTCAAGGCTGCTGAGCAACTCAGCTCCCTGAGGTCAGAGGTTAAGGACATGGAGAGAAAACGTGGCAAACAAGAATGCTTGCTTCGAGATGTCAACCAGGTATTCATCAAGTGTTTGGTGGAATGCTCATCTCTGTCGGAACGACAATATATTTTTATGTTCTTTGCCTTGAGTGTTTAGAATTAGAATATTGATATCCAGGAATATTAACATAAATGTTAAGTTTATGTGACTCAAAAAAGTAAAAATATTTTAGCTTTAATAATTTTACTCAAAACTACGATCATTTTAATTAAAACTGCTATCGTTATAGTTAAAACTTTTATCATTTCAATAACATAAATATCATACAGTGATTCTCTCTGTTATATGTAGCTGTAGCTAATGTGTGTACTAATTTCTTTTGATGGAAATTGTAGGTGTTGTCTAAAAGGGATTTGGAATTCAAAGACCTGGACTCTCGCACCAAAGTTGCCTCCCAAAAGTGAGTTACAACATCAGATGAATCTTGCGTTGTTCAGTTTTGACCTGAAAAGCTTGCATTAGATTTATATTCAGATATCTGGAACTGTATCTAACCAAAATGTTCAGGCCAAATAGGTGCCACATATGTGACTTTCATGTTATAGCCAACTCTGGTAAAACACAATCTGTAAACAAGTCTATTTATAGTGCTTTAATGCTATCTTTAATTTGACATCAGAATGAATTGTTATAGAAGGTCAAAAGATTTTCTTCTGTTTTTGCTACTTTTTCTTTCTGTTTTTAGTCTTTCCCGGTTACAGTCCGAACTTCTGTCAACAGAGCAACAGGAAAAACAAACACATTCATCTCTCCGAGATGCAGAAGATGTCTTAAATAAACGACGTGCAGAAATTGCCCGCATGCGTGATCAGGTAAGCTTTTCTTTGTATAGAATGTAGACTCAACTTTTTTTATTGATTTTTCAGGTTTTGTGTGGGTATGTTTGTAGATTTAGCTGAAAACTATAGATAAACTTTCATAAAAATTCTGTGAAAATGCTTGAATGGTTGAACATTAAAATAAAATGCTACAAATATTTGATACTGTTGATTTAATAGCACATTTAGGTAGGATTTGCTGGCATTAGAAATGATAAAACATCACTAAAGTCAGGCCAGAAAATGCTTTATAGTTTAAAGTAGGTACATACATGTTTTTATAGTCTAATGCTATTTTTAGGATTCTGTTAATTAATATTCAATCTTTACTAGTCTCGTGTAAAAAAATCGTAGAATCTAGAACGCAATGTGGTATTTGTCATTGTAATGAACAGTTCTTATTCAGATATATGGCACATGCAATTATCTGCTTTATCAATAAAAACAAAAAATTAAAATCAGCATTTTATTTGATAAATGACAATGTTTCTCCCTTCATTTTAGGATATTTTTATACTCTACAAGTATTTACAATCATGATCATTCCTTTCTGTTTTTCAGTTATCTTTTTCGAAGGCACAAAAATCAAGGAGACATAAGTCTAAAGAAGGAAAATCCTGATAACCCAGAAAATATTGAAGATTTTTCCCAGCATCCTTAATTTTTGGCTAACTTTTGGTTGCTCTTTATATACTCTGCCATAGAGACAAATATACAGTGTGACTGTGTGTTTGTGTGTTGGGCTGGTACATACAGAAATTGACCACTTGGACCTATATCTTGAGTGACCACTGGTCTCAGCTCTTTGACCACATGCTTAGTTTTGCTTCGTAGATGTATAGATAATAATTTTAAGTGTTTTGTAGTCTTCCATAACCTGGCAGTATCTATATCCTCCTGTGTATCTCTAAGTGCTTCCTGTAAAAGTAACTGATATTCTGTATTTTAACAAATATCTATATTTATGCTTCCCAGAGATTCATTTCATTAGTAAAAAATGTTAGAGTACTAATTGCTGTCATATACTTTCCCTTTTTAGTACCGGCCTAAATAGCTTAAGGATTTGGCAAATGCAAAAGTTTATAAACAAAAATTATATCATTACAACATGTTTTGTTTTATTTTGATTTTTTTATTTTGTTTTATTTTCACAATTGTCCATAAGATGTTAACTAAAAAATAAATAGCCTCGCTCTTGATTTGAATGATGATATGACTTTAATGCTTGTTCACGTTTAGAGAAATAGAATTTGTACACACGTATTTACTTTGCTGTTTTTGCACTCTATACTTGCACCGCTATCCTCCCAATAGAATTCTTACGTTTCACTAAAACCAGCTTTCTGGTGTTAATTTCCATTCTAACAAGTTCATTTGTGAAGTTTATGACTATGAACTTTAGAAAATTGATTGTCTGCAGTACTTTACATTAATTGATTGCCTGGATTTTCTTTTTAATTCGTAGCTGTGTATTTCCTGTCAACTTATTTTCTTACTTAAATTAATGCATGCTATAATTTGCTTGATACATTTTTATGCTTTTCTCGTAAGTTTTTTATTATTTTGTAATCTGTATAGCAAATATATTTCTTCTTTAGAAATTACTGTTGTGGTCAAAGAGCTGAAATATATGTCATTAAAGAGAATGGTTGATTTATTGATTGATTTCTGATATGGAAGTATTTCAATGATCAATAAAAAAAAACTTGATTTTTGTGCCAACTATATCATTTGATGTTATCTTGTATCCAGTAGTTTTCGTTATGGATTTTTGTTAACTTGTTATGGGTCTTGAAGTGTACTATTTTTTTTCCTCAAAAATCAAATGTAGTTCTATTTTCAACAAAAATCTATTAAAATTCATTCCTTTTGTTTCATATTTGAAGCATTTCTCTTTCATTATTGATATTTTTGTAAAGAACAAAGTCATTGTTCTTGACACAAAGAACTAAAATTTACTTACACAGTGTATTATAGATGTTTAAACACATATCAAAGATTATCTGCAAAATCCTAATTTTTATACGAAGATAAATGATCTTGAGTAAAATGAAAAAAAATTCTTGTGAAAATTATACACCAGGACAACAATACAAATATTACAGATATATATACAGTGTAGTAGGGATTATTATTTGAAAATTTGTGAATTTGATTTGTTTACAAAATAGAGATGAAATACATTTACATTTTTAAAACCATTTTATATTATAGAAATAAAGGCAATCCTAAAAATTGAATTTCAAAACAAACAAAAAAACAGAAATAAAAAAAACCCCAAAAACCAATAAAGATTGTAAAAAAAAAAAAAAAATGAAATTATATTTTAATGAAGTTTACATTAGAAGTATGTTTAGTATCTATGGTGCAGACACTGATTCCTAATACAAATTTTTGTGATATCAAAGTGTTTGATAGACATAAAATGCATGTGATTTCATTTGATGATGTTATGATGAATAACAATAATAACACAAAGTGTTTTTTTCTGATTTTGTACTTTTGAAGCATAAAGAAAAGGTAATAGCATGTGCTCCTGAAAGCATGTTTGAGTGTCTTGTCAGAAGGTCAGGGGGTACTGCAAGGGAAACTTTGTAATTTGGGGTACATATGGGGATATTATTGATCAACAGACTCACAAATGAAAAACTGATGATGATTGAAAATTTGAGGTGTTTCTGTTTGGATTAAAAAAAAACAAAAACAGAAAAGACAGGAAAAAACTGGAAGATTCTCGGAGTTGAATCATCTTATTTAAACTTTAACTTTACAAAGTTTCCCGTTTCATTAATGACTTAATTGGTTGCATGTGAATAATGGTGTACATGATTGAAGTCCAACTTATGTATGAAAGAGAATTAACCAATCAGGTGTGAAACATAATCTTAATGCTTATAGTTATACAATGCATTTAATGAATGGAGAGCGTACTGGTACAGCATTGGACTTAACTTAATTGGAGAAAATATTATATGAACTTTTTTGAGAAATTTAGACATTTGAAAGAAAAACCCTTGCCTTTAATACATTCAGTGTTAAGTATTTACAAATTAAAAATTCTTCAAATGGTGTAGAGAATGTGTATAATTGATTTTTTTTGTCACTCAAAGGGGAAAAAACACTTGAAATCTGTGAAAGATGAAACGTCTATGGAAAAAAAATATCAATTAAGCTTAGGTTTCAATTTCTTAAAAAGATAAATGCTACATGATTAGGAAAAATGACATTAACTACCTGGTGTATATGATTTGACTATAATCAACATTATCTGTATACCCTATAACAATAAACCAGTGTAATTATCACTAACAAATACAACTGATACATTGTGAAGAAACAAGAACTTTCCTGGGAGAAATTAGAACACTGTTTTTATGGCTTATAACTTGTCGTCAGTGTAATATTACATTTCAATGGGAATTTTTAATCCCTAAACAACATAGTGATTTAATACAGATATAGTATACATTCACTTGTGTATTTAGTTGATGAAATACTAAGTACTTTCCTGACCTAAGAATGAAATACATCAAAGACAAAAGAGATAGCCTTTCAAACATAGATCTGAATCCAAGCATGTGATTGATCATGATATATCATACGTAATTATTTGTCTGTCAAAACTTGACTAATTCTTGAGTATTCCTTGTTTAACTGTAATAGCACTCTAGTTAATTATCTTTAGCACAGCTACAGTATGTAGTGTAGAATTACACCGCATGTCCTCACTATTGTATATGTATTAGTACTGAATTATATATAATTTTAGAAAAAGGCTGTTTTATATACATATGGTATATTGATATTGGGGATGGTACCAATAATGTTATTTTTTGCATACTTTTTGTTTTTAAATCCTGAGCTACAAATTGTCCTCTTTTCTTAATAAAAGATGCTTTTTAATTTAAATATTTGAAGTATTTAATGAAAACCACATGTTGATATTAGTCCATCTACGTAAACTTGAACAAATGAAATGTTCTGTATTGGGTAGGTAGGAGGGGGATGGAAGGTATCATTAAAATACAAAAAATTAGTAACATTGGCAATAAATATTCTCACAAATTTATCACACTATTAATGAGAAGTTTCTCATTTAAAGCTGTTTATTTCCATTGATAAATAGAACATGGGTTTTAATTTTTTCTGTGACGTATCAAAAGAGGAAACCAGTCAGTGTGACTTGGTTTTGATACCGGTGCTTGTGTTACTTCAAATCACAGTCATATCCTTTGTAAAATTGCTCTTCAGATATTTCATTAATGATAATTTGAATGGTATATATATGTGTTGTTGACTTTTAAAGGTGGCCAAATTATATATTTATGAACTGTTCAAGTCCATGATTCTTATGGGTGAATTTGCAAAAGTTCTAATATCTGGTAAAATGATTGTGATATTCAGAATGTGGTAACATAACTTTGGCCTGAAATTGTATTTGGTATACGTTTGTAATATAGAATATGTGTGTTTGATATTTTTATTGGGAAGCTGTTGTTTGTGATATCTATGTCTGTGATACAGAATATGTGTGTGCCAAGTGTTAGTGTGTAATATATAAGGAATACTTGCATGTGTACAAGGAACATAACATAGTCATATATATTTGTATTTTGTGTGTGACTACCCAGTATGTCAGATTTGGAGTAATAAAAAAAGTTAAATTATCTATTGATGTTCATTTGTTCATGGAAAGATGGAAACTGAGACTGGCATTGGGTTACATGAACCAGTTTTTGACTTAATAGACACACAGACCAGTTTTGGACAAGGGGATGCAAAAACTGGTTTTGAACTTGGGGATGCAAACAAATTGGCAACTTTATGATGGAAGTTTATGACTATTTCTATATATACATTATTCATTCCAAACTTTCACTGGCATCTCCAGCATGAATATCACCACCAAGGAAAATATTGAAAATGGAAATAAGACATCAAAATTGCTTTATCAGTATTCATGTTTCATATAACCTGTCATACTGTAAATGTTGCTATTTTGTAGGGATTTTATTTTTAGGGATCCTGTTTCTAGTAGTTACTATTTTTGAGGGGTTTTATTTTTGAAGATATAATAAAATCACAAAAAACTTACACCTTGAAAATAAGATTTAAAGAATAGACCATAGTCCATTTCATGACTTTTGTCAAAGATACATTACATTTGTTTTTTAAGCTTTTGGTATAACTGAAATTAGAATCATCGAAAAGCACAGCATTTAAATATGATTGTGATTGATAAAAGGATAAAAAGAATAATATACAAAGGTTTTGCTAAATCTATACCAAAAGATAATTCCAAGGATTTGAAATTGATGACACTATGTTGATATGTGAATTGATTTAATTGGATGTCCAGATTGAGGTACAGAGACGTGACCTTGAGAAAGTTGATCAACTGATGGGCAAGAAACGTACAGAGTTGCAGCTTCTGCAGGACACTGCTGAACGTAAAGGAAATGAACTTAACCAGGTTCTTCGTGACGCAGAAGGAGAGATAAGTCTTAAACAGCGAGAGCTCAAGGTAGGGGACATAACTATGACCTTTAGCTTTGTTAATTGGAATATATTTCTGTTTTAATTGGTGACTATAACTTCTTCAAATTTAAGTGAAATTTGATCTTTTTCCTCTTTTATGTTATAGGAATGTAGAGAACAGTTACGGGATCTAGAAGTTACCAAGAGTGACCTGGTGACTGCAATCAAAAGCAAGAGGGGAGAACTCTCAAAAGTAAAGGAGGAAGTGGAAACAGAAGATGAAGTGTTACAAAAACTGATCAGTTCTGTGAATAAACACAAAACAGAACTCAAACATGCATATGAAATGCAGAAACTAGAACAAACAAATCTCAACAGTGTTAAAAGTACTCATGCACAAAAAGTGGCAGAGCTGGAGAAGACACAGCGTGAACTTATAGCTGTAAGTGTATAGGTTGTAACAGGACCACTGATCCTTGGTACTAAACATACCATCATAACAGATACTACTATAGGGAATGTAGATGCTGATAACTCTTTACTACTTGTCATTAAGAAAGGTGCTCATTTGAACTCCTTCTGAAGAGAAGAATTAGGTTTTTAGAATTTTGAGTCTTGTCAAAGAACTACAATTTTATGTCTGTGATGAGATAAAAAGTCTTGATTAGTAACTGCCCAGACATGTCTGTATCGTTATAGGATAATTGTCATTTTTAATTGATATTTGGTTTATTGGCTATATAGTGCTATACCTCTCATGTTGGATGTTCATATCAAAAGGACAGTACCTATCACCCATCTGATTGACTTATATACAGCTTACATGTAGTTTCAATGAGAAGTATATTATGTATATACCTTTTGTAGGAAAAAGCAGAATTAGAACAACTGACAGCAGAAATTAATCGCAAAGCCTCTGAGTTAGAGCGGTTCCGTCAGGCACTAGATCGTGACCGACAGGACACAGAACGCCTTAATCTTGACAAACGTTCACTGGAGGACCGTATATCAGCCATGACACGAGAAAAGGAGATGTTGGATGATAACTGTAAATCACTGGACAACAAAATCAACCAAATGAAAAGGTTTTTTGTAGCCATCAATTTGTTCTGTTAACTGTAGCGTGGAAAATGATAGGGTCACAGTGATATTTACAAGGCAACACATGATGTAGCTCGTTACCCTTTCTTCTAAGTTTGTAATAATGTGATGTTACATCACAAAGCCAACTGATGCAACACAAATCCAGGTCTGTAGCTGCTGTTTGACCTGTCCAAATAAGCTATTCATATGTAATGCCTACGCTCTCCTTGTTAAAGAGTAAAAATATCACTGAATATTGTGTGTTATTCCTTTGCAGAACACATAATATCATAGAGGAAAAAATGGATACCTCTGCCAAGCGACTGGAATCATTAGAGATAGAATTACGACAACGGGAGAAAGAAATGGACGAGGCAAATCATCAAAGAACAGCCCTGCAGAAAGAAATACACTCCCTCAAACAAACATCTAAAGGTATGTACTGCCTCAAACAAACATCCAAAGGTAGGTTCTGTCTCAAACAAACATCCAAAGGTATGTACTCCCTCAAACAAACATCCAAAGGTATGTACTGCCTCAAACAAACATCCAAAGGTAGGTTCTGCCTCAAACAAACATCCAAAGGTATGTACTGCTTTAAACAAACATCCAAACGTAGGTTCTGCCTCAAACAAACATCCAAAGGTAGGTTCTGTCTCAAACAAACATCCAAAGGTAGGTTCTGTCTCAAACAAACATCCAAAGGTATGTACTCCCTCAAACAAACATCCAAAGGTATGTACTCCCTCAAACAAACATCCAAAGGTAGGTTCTGTCTCAAACAAACATCCAAAGGTAGGTTCTGTCTCAAACAAACATCCAAAGGTATGTACTCCCTCAAACAAACATCCAAAGGTAGGTTCTGTCTCAAACAAACATCCAAAGGTAGGTTCTGTCTCAAACAAACATCCAAAGGTATGTACTCCCTCAAACAAACATCCAAAGGTATGTACTCCCTCAAACAAACATCCAAAGGTATGTACTGCCTCAAACAAACATCCAAAGGTAGGTTCTGTCTCAAACAAACATCCAAAGGTAGGTTCTGTCTCAAACAAACATCCAAAGGTATGTACTCCCTCAAACAAACATCCAAAGGTATGTTCTGCCTCCAACAAACATCCAAAGGTTTGTACTACTTCAAACAAATGGCCAAATATTGCTTTAATAAACACTTTAACCCTTGTATCTGATGGTTTTTTGGCTTATCTTTCTCCTTTCACAGCAAGATAAGGACCAGTTACAGGGACAAAGTTAAAAACAAGATTGTGTTTATAAGTGAAGAGAAAATTATATGAAGTCAGTGATTGCTATAGGTGTGATTTACCTCTGTAATTTGAACTATTTCAGAAACGAAGGCAGAGCTGAAAGCATTAAAAGAACATGTGAGAGAAGCTGATGACCAGTCCAGACATCTAGAACAGGTAAGTTATACGCTACTATAGAACTTCCTAGGGTCTATGAAGGATGATCAGTGCAATATCTCTCCTCAGAATTGTCACATTTACATTTGTTTCGTGACCTAACTTCATCATCCAGAAAACACCTTTCTTGGGGTTTTTTTCCATAGTAGTATAGATAAATGTTATTGCTCTTAAACAGAAAATACTCCAACACATGTTAAACCATGTTACAAATTTGATTGAAATTATTAGGGACACAATCAGATTATGAAAATGTAGATAGCTCCATGTGTGAAAATAAAAGTATAATATAGCTGTTTAAGTTTGCTAGCTCAAAAAATGAACCCTGTAAATGTTTTATAATTTAAAATCATATTGCTGAAATCTATGAATAAATTACAATGAGATACCATCAAAAATTTCAAAGTAAAAAGTTTTTACGAAAACTTTGTTTTTTTTTTTATCAGGATCTTCGTGAAGTAACACATCAACGAGATGAATCTAAGCTGGAGATGGAACGTCTGAATGAAGCTATCCGGACGAGTCGGCAATCCTACGAGGATTACATACGACAGGAGAAGCAGAAACATGAAGAGCTTCAGGAACTTCTCAAGTCTGTGGCTGAGAAGGAATTTGAATACCAGGAGGCACGCATGGTAAATAGGCTAATAAAGTTAAAAATTGTGTTAGGAAGTACATCACCACTGATACTTAGTGTCCTCAGTATTAGAGGCATTCTGGGTAATCAGTTTACAGGCAGATAATTAACAGCAGAGCAAACTATAGAAAAACTATAAGGTATAGATACAAGACAGCAAACTATAGAAAAACTATAAGGTATAGATACAAGAAAGGGAACTATAGAAAAACTATAAGGTATAGATACAAGGAAGTGAATCATAGAAAAACTATAAGGTATAGATACAAGAAAGAAAAACTATAAGGTATAGATACAAGAAAGGGAACTATAGAAAAACTATAAGGATACAAGAAAGGGAACTATAGAAAAACTATAAGGTATAGATACAAGGAAGTGAATCATTGAAAAACCATAAGGTATAGATACAAGAAAGTGAACTATAGAAAAACTATAAGGCATAGATACAAGACAGTAAACTATAGAAAAACTATAAGGTATAGATACAAGAAAGGGAACTATAGAAAAACTATAAGGTATAGATACAAGGAGGTGAATTATAGAAAAACTATAAGGTATAGATACAAGGAAGTGGAAGGTATAGATACAAGAAAGGGAACTATAGAAAAACTATAAGGTATAGATACAAGGAAGTGAATCATAGAAAAACTATAAGGTATAGATACAAGAAAGGGAACTATAGAAAAACTATAAGGTATAGATACACAGTAAACTATAGAAAAACTATAAGGTATAGATCTATAGAAAAACTATAAGGTATAGATACAAGGAAGTGAATCATAGAAAAACTATAAGGTATAGATACAAGAAAGTGAATCATAGAAAAACTATAAGGTATAGATACAAGGAAGTGAATCATAGAAAAACTATAAGGTATAGATACAAGGAAGTGAATTATAGAAAAACTATAAGGTATAGATACAAGAAAGGGAACTATAGAAAAACTATAAGGTATAGATACAAGGAAGTGAATCATAGAAAAACTATAAGGTGTAGATACAAGGAAGTGAATTATAGAAAAACTATAAGGTATAGATACAAGGAAGTGAATTATAGAAAAACTATAAGGTATAGATACAAGGAAGTGAATTATAGAAAAACTATAAGGTATAGATACAAGAAAGGGAACTATAGAAAAACTATAAGGTATAGATTAAAATGCATCTGCTTAAAGCATATTTAAAGCAACTATATCATATACCTTGGAACTTCAGCATATTTTTAAGTTTAAATCATAGGGAGAAATTTTATGGAGATTCTTGTATAAAACTGACAAATTTTGAAAATATTATGGGAAGTCTTATTTACAGCTAAGATTGAATAAATGATAAACCTTCTTTTTGCAGGCTCTCAGCAAAGTAAGAAAAGAAGTGGAAAGAGAGGAAAATAAACTGAACAAGGTAGGGGGCCATTAAAGATGTACTAATCATTATTTCATTATGCATGCATCTCCAATTAATGCTAAAAGCAATGTGTGCTTCTATTCTAATCACAACCAATATTTTGGTTTCATCCTTTCTAATTTAACTTCGATATTAATAAAAGTAATTCATTTGACCTTGTCCTGAAAATAACATACAATTCTTTTTTTTCTACAATTTTTCTGAGCACTTTTGAAAAATCAATTTCAACAATAGGTGAATAAAAAGTGAATGTACCAAGTATAATGGTAAAATTATGGAAAGCAAAATGAGTATGAATAGGATTAACTAGAAGAAAAAAAAGTGGGTTTTTTTTTCTTTCAATTTCCAGTACAAGTAATTTGTCTTTATGGATATTATTTTCCAATAGCTGTTACTTCCAAAAGATAATGATTAATGATAAAATTCAACCGCTTCAACCTTTTGATGTACTATCAATTAATGCTGTAGTTAGTTTTTTTGATAACTCTCATAAATTCTATTGACATGGTTACATGTAGTCCTTTAAATTCTCATGGCACAAATTCAAGTTGATCAAAAAATAATTGTCAGATTTTAAGAATTCTTTCATTCACACTTGCAAGCTGTTTGGAGAGGTTTCACACATTTAAAGTTTCAAGTGTCAGAAAGACACAGACTTCAAACCTTTTGATAAACAGGTGTGTCTAAAACACCGAGTCTTTCCCTCAAAATATGGAGAGATGGGGCAAGTATGCTGAGATTATTGGAAAATGAATAGTTCAGATAAATGCAGATTACATCAGTATTCCAAGGTCATTTGTAACCATGGTAACTGACTTCTCACTATGACACTGGCCATATTTGTACTCAAAGTCTGTTCAGCCACCTTACAACTTTCAACTTTCAAATCTGTTTCAAAATATTACACTATGCCAGCTTTATTTTAAACTTTCTTTTGTTTGAATACATTTCCACATCCATGATTCTGTGGTGCAAGACATTGTGAAGTAGTGATTGTAAGTGGATATTTTCTATAGAATCAGCTGTCTTTTGTGCAATCAAAAATTTAGGACATACACTTAGCATTAGGTATAGTGACCTCCTCCATTCAGAAGTGTCTGTAGTTCTGAGAATGCCTGACTTTTGGAGGCTGGAATTGTTCCCTTTACAAAGGATCAGAAATGCTGTGGTGATGCTGAGCAGACTTTTGGGGGCTGGAACTGTTCCTATTTATAAAGGAACAGAAATGCTACGGTGATGCTGAGCAGACTTTGAAAAATGTAACCCTGTAATTACTGACCTATGATCTATCTCCTTTGTCTGATGGTGTTTTCAGCTGGTCAGTAACGCTAACCTTGAACTGGACAATATCAGGAGTGACCTTCATGATAAACAGTTAGAGCTAGAGCAGGCCACTCTCGCTATGGAAAACTTCAAGGTTGGTCTTTTGTCTGTAAGCCCCAGTAATTTAGCCTGTGTTTCTCTTTCTGTGACAGGTATTTAAATGTGGTGATAAAGAAGCTTTATGGTATTGATGTTGCAGATTGATAATTTTATTTCTATTGCATTAAAAGTTCAACCTTTCAATTTGAAATAAAATCAAAAAGTTTCCTTTTCATTGAATCAATAAATTTAAGTATTGTGACAGATTTGTTTGTATCATGTGAAATGTATTGTGATGATCCTCAGAGATGTGAGTGTATTTCATTACAAAGTCTGTAATACAAGTTAGATAGTTTTAACTTTCCCTCTCCCCTTCCTCAATTACAAATAACCAATTGTAGCCTGTTAATGCTATTAACATCCCAGGAATGATTTAATAATTAGTCTACAGGCTCACTGGTCATCAACATGTTCAGACATGTTTTGTACAAGTGAGGTTGACCAGTCTTTAACATCCTGATCAACATTCTGCCAACAAACTCACAATAGTGATAGTTTGGGGTAAAATTCAGGTTGGGAACATATCAAGAGCAGATTTTCTAAACTATCTGGCCACTGTATACCCAGTACATATTGTGGCCAAGATCATGTTCAATTCACAAGTCCTGTGTGGTTAATTCTGATGTTTCCTTAGAAGTGTTTTTAGATAATTTTATGTGAGAAGCAATTCTGAATTACATGTAAATAAACAGGGTTTTTTTTTGCTTGTATATATATATTTGTAATCCTTCCATACTCTCTATACCACAAACTTTTTCTTATTTTCTATAGAGGTGAAACAACCATTCATTATTCAGTAATTAGTATAGAGTCTGTTTGCTTTATACTTATTTTAACTTGATCACTTTTTATTTTATTTCTGTTTCTGTCTTGATTTCCTTCGTAGTACTCGTAAGTCCTTAATTAACACTCGCAGTATTCTACATAGTCAACAACTGACAGCACAGTGACTGTCTAAAATATAGCATTTATAAATCAAATTATGTGAAAAATCCCAGTGCTCTCGATCTGCCAGATTTGAGGCCAAATTCCCAATGCAAAATAGCATCTTTTTTCCCAATTTAGACTCCAAGTTTTCCCAATTCTATGGAAAACACCATTATTTTTCCCAATTCTAAGGGCCGCGGTCCCCAGTCCCAAAATGGGGTGTGAGAGCCCTGAATCATGTTTTTGTATGAATCTTTTAATTTTCTGTGTGATTGTTATAAAATAAATATTATTTACAGGAAATATATGGTTTGTTATTATTGTATTGGAATATTTCAGAGAGAAACTGAACAACTTCAAGCTAACGAGGAGAAATTTCATGAAATGGATAAAATCATAAAAGATTTAGGTAAGTCTTTTAAAAAGTGTTTAAAGATATTACATGTAAATTACCTTTCAGTGAAAATTCATCTACATTAGGTCTGAACACATTGAGAATATTAGGGCTGTTTTTCTGACTTAGACGGTCGGTACTATAGCAGTGATAATATCGCTAAATTCTAACAGATTCTCACTACTTTTATTTTAGGAAAGATTTCTCTTGTATTAAAATGGTAGTTCACAACAATTTAAAAGATATTTCATTTGATTAACATTTTTCTTGGCAGAAAGGGAAGTAGCTAACAGGAATGAGGAAAAAAGTGAGCTTGCAAAAGCCTTGTCACGATCCTATGAGGAGCTACAGAAACTACGCACAGAGGCAGCTCAGGTAATTATAAGGACCAAAAGATGTAGCTAGTCTTTTTGTATCAAAGCTACTTGTGTAGTGCAGCACGGCTCTGCTACTGGTTTTCTAGGTTTTTTTTTTAAGAGTGCCATTTCCAAAATCTTAAATACTGTTGATACAATTTCCTGTCTTTCATTTGTAGATTAAATGAATTCCTAAACGGTGGTGGATAGATGAATGCTTCCTGTAGATTTTCTTCAGATTACAATTATCTTATGCTGAAATTGAAATTGTCTCTAATCACACTTTTTATTTGATTTTTCATTCAAAATATCTGTTTTAGTTCTTTGTTTTTTAAATTCATTATTATGTATAATTATTCTGCTGCCTCTCCTTATTTACATAAAAGGGTGACAGTAAAGAAAAAACTTACTTCTTTTTGTTCTGTGTCTTCTTTTTTCCTTCAAATACCTTTATTAAAATTATGTGTGTGAATTTTAATAATTATCTCCCAATTTCCCAAAATTCTTCACTCATAAACTCCTTTAATCTGTTATGATTCTCTCCCTTGTATTTACTCTTTGGTGTTGTGTTGGAACCTCCTATTTATACCTTAACATGCCTCATGTGTTGCACCTATAGGATCATACAAAGACAACGAGAGAACGTCTTCAGATGGAAAATGCACTGCATGATATGCAGGTTCAGTTAGAATTAGCGAAACAGGTAACGACAGGAGAGTAGTGTAGAGTATGATATTGTGTGACGTGCATGGAATCAGGTCCAAGTTACTCAAAGCTAAACGTATATAAATACAACGATGCGGCAAGTGCTTTGTTCTTAAAAATTAGTTCTCATATTGAGAAAGTGATAAGCCCTGTATGATTTGGCCATGAGTACTGCAACAAGTGAACTTCTGTAATGGTGGTAAGTTGGGTTGAATTATGGCCCATCACAGCCAGCAGGCCAGGTGGTTCAGTTGTATGTACTTGATTATTTGATTGATATTCTTTAAGGCTTTTGTTTCTTTAGTGATATTTTTGATGGATGTTTTTCACACTGTAGAGTTACTTGGACCAGACACTTTTGCATGGCAGAAACTGCAGACAACTTGCTAGTGAAAGGATATAGTGGCTTTTATAACAAGTGTGCTTATAATTGGGTATAATATCTACAACCTAACACATTTGTTAAAACCTATAATATATATTACATCTCTAGATATATAACCTTTTTGACCTCTTGAGTTTTAGAGATATCAACATACAAACATTAGGCTAGGTTAAGATATTGTGATCCCATAGAAGACCTTTATTATGTTCCCCGTAGGGAAAGCGTATAGTCGCCAGTTTGTCCATCCGTCATAATTTTGTCCAGAGCATGATGCAAAAACCGAAGAGATATTAACATAAATCTTTATAGGTAGATAGATTTCAACAAGAGAAGTGCAGTGCACCAGAACAAACACTCATTTTTGCATAATTCAGAAGTTATTGAGGTTTATTATTTTTCATACTTTAATTTTGTCTGGAGCATTACACTAAACTATAAGAAGTATCAACATGAAAGTTCATAGGTAGATAGATCTTAACAAGGAGAAGTGCAGTGCATCAGAATCATAACTCCTCTTTGCATGATTTAGGAGTTATTGCCCTTTGTTATTTTTCATACTTAAAGTTTGTCTCATTTGGGAAGCATAACCTGTCTCTGATGGCCCTTGTTATGATTATGATGGTATGGGAGTGTTTGTTATTCAGTTATGTATCAATGTCACCAGTAGTGGTTTGATATTGTATTGATTATCAGTCCTAGGCCTGGAAACACCTAGTATTGGCACCTGTAATAAACACTACACCTGTCACATTTCTTCCTTGTCTGTACAAATGTCCTCCTTACCATGTATAATTCCAGCAATGTTAACAGGAATGGGGCTTCAGTATGTAATGTTCTATGAGAAAAGTATATATATTTATATTGTAATAAACCACTTCCTCCTCACATTCTGAACTCTACATTATTAGCTTTTACTTAATTAGAACATGGAGGAACAATCATTCATGTTTAACAGATCACCTTACATAAAAATTGTTCTGCCATTGTAGCTTATTACAAATGTTTGAGTATATTTGCTTGAGATTTTTTTTTCACACTGACATTTGAAGTTTTGTGATTGGAGTTTTCTCTACTGATAACCTTTTCCTTAAATCTAGTAGTTTGAGAACAGATATAATTTTATGTCCAGATTGAGATAAGATTTATAAAAAGTAAATATGGTACTGTGGTTTGTAGTGTTGTGTGGCTTGTACCATAATAGTTAAACTAATGTTGACCCCTACAGGAGATGAAACACATGCAGAAGAGAACAGCTTCCCAGGTTTCTGAACTCCAGAACATTGCTGAAGTCCAATTCAACAAAGCAAACAGACTAGACAGTGAGATTGCCAGAATCCGCAAGGACAACAAGGAGATGAGGAAACAGGTCAGCATAGGGTCAGATGTACAGGCCTAAGGTCAAATTTGGGGTCAGACATAGAGGCTAAAGGTCAACTAAGGATAAAAGTTTTCATATCAATATGGGAGCTTTAGTTTGGTACATAAATGGTCCCACAGTTCACAGACTGACATGAAGTAAAATTCCAAGGTTATCAGGATTGTGTTTACATTATCACAAGGAACATCAGACTAAAGGCCAAATGTGAGGCAACAAGGGATATATTAGGAAAATAATAAGAAACGAAAAGATTAGATCTAAACTTCATTGCTTCTCAAGATCATGCTATTGGGACAGCAGGTACAATTCTTATGTCATACATGCAGGCCATAGGGGTCAAGGGTTAAAGTGAATATTACTTTGATATATGAGGGTATCTTACAGGTCAACATGAGGTTTGAGTAAATGGGGGGGGGAGGGTACAAAAAAAACATTAGAAGTTAGAAAAGTCGCAACTTACAATGTCAGGTGATAGTTGATAAAGAGGTCTTATTGAAATAGACTAAGGTGTAAGGCAAAATATACTTTAGAGGTGTCACACTCTGCCCATTTCATCTACAGCTCATAGTTCAACATGAAAGTCAGCTTACAAGAGATATTTTCCGATGTCATCTTCTTGAGCTAAAATATTTCTCATCTACACATGCTTGACATGCCTGACATATAGATATCTCACATAAAAACCTGATTTTTTTTTCTGCTTGATTTTTTTTGCATCACCAGTCATATTATCTTAATTTATCGTAATTAATCATCATAATCATCCTCAGTTTTATAATTATTCATCGCGTGGCACTCTAGCAGCACGCTATAGATGATTTCTATAATTTGGTATCTGGGTGTCTGTCATCTGTATGGTACTACATGGCTTTGGTAACATTTAGTGTTGTACAAGTACCTAACTACATATGTATCTTCTCATCTGGTTTTCCACCTAATAAGAGCCATTTAGACACCACCTGTACTACCTCCTATTCAAATGTCCTTTCTTTTACCTTAATTGAACTAAGTACTTGAAGTATTTCATAGTATTTTTCTTTTATAGTTTTGTATGTCTCTGCAGCAATTTTATGCCAAAGGCTCTTAATAGGTTGAATACAGCATCAAACTGCAAATATATCAAATCATTGATGGGATATGGACTCTGTATTTAGAGTTGTAGAAAATTTCATTACAGCTACTAACCCAAAATGAACTCCTAGAAACTGAGAAAATGATAGAGGAGAAACTCAGAGAACTTGATTTTAACTGTGAACATGAGGAAGATAGTGTAAGTATTGGTGGGCTGTATCTAGGTCTGTAGTTCTACACCAGCCTTCAGATATAACACCTTGTTTCTTGCACCAATTCTAGCATGGGGTCTAAATATACGGGTCTTTTTATCAGAAAAAGAACATCAGTCTATTAACATACTCCCTAGTTACTGATTAATATCAACAACAGATAATTGAAAATGTTTCCATTAGTAATACACCACGGTCTCAAATTGCTCTGAATCAAGAAGGTTTCAAATGAATGGTCATAAGGATTTTGACAAGAAGCTTGACCTGAAGGCCCTGCTGGCCTAGACTGGAAACTCTCTTGTGTAGACTCTAGACTAGAACTAACATTTAGTATTAAATTGATGTCTAAATCTTCACTGAAGCTTGATCTTCATTATATAGATAGTAAGATATCAGAATCATATATTACCTGGTGTGTTAAATTATACAGGATATTATAGTACCTAGCTGTTCTCAAGTTTCACAGTTTCTCCACACACTCCTAACCCTTATCAAGCTCCCATCACACCTTTCCTACCTCAACCCAACCTTAGATGACCTAGACCTTATATAGATAAGTAATGTACTTATTGTAATCATTGGAAGTTATAGATGGCATCATATTTCCTTGGTGAAGTAATTTTATCTCTTGAAGTTTTCACAGCTGATTTTACTGGTAATGTTCACTCATCCAAGTGTTTGTAAGGTGTGGAGAGGATGCACTTGTTTTCTTCTTTTATCTTAATTAGTATTTATCATCATATTCTCCACAAGCACAAGCATATTGATATTTCCATTATTTATGTACACAAATGTAGATAACATTTACATAGTTGCATTTTTTGTGTGTTTCTTTTTCTTCATCTTCATTTGTCTCTTTGCCTTCATTGACCTTTTAGCAAGGTCCTGAAAACTCTTGTCAGAATGGGAAGTCTTCTGCAGAAGAGAAGCATGTAGTGGACCACGATCAGAGTGAAAAATTAGAACGTCACCTTGATTCCCTGAAGGAGAACCTTCCCAAAACATCTGAGGTTTAGATCTGTCTCTGTTAGCCACATGTAGAGCTTCTATTTAGCCACCATGTATACCATGTATCGTAGACACTTCTGTATTCTGTAGTTTGCACTGCTTGTAATTAGCTGCACATAGATAAACCTGTGTATTATATATAGGAAAAATCATGATTATTATATTTCATGATTAATGGAGAACTTCATGTATGGCTGTACAGTTAAGTGGGAAAATAAATAAAACATATCTGAGGTGATTACAATTTCTTATTGAGCTAAGATACATGTGTACATTTGTACTAAATTGTTCAGCTGAAGTATTGATATGAGGAGGGTATGTAAAATTGTAAAAAGGGTTATTCACAACCCAGTGTGGAAAGTTGGGTAGAAGCAATGACAGACATAAAAATGGGGACGATTCATAAGAATAATATAATCTGCTGCTACAATGTATACCAAGTTCTCTGAACACCTTATTAATGGTTGTCATGTATTAAGTTCTCCAAATTTGTTAGTGTATTTCTGTAATAAATTTCAGATAATTAAACTATATTTGTTCTGATGACAGATTTTATGTAGCATAGATTAGTTGTATATGTTTAATTCACTGAAAAATTTCATAGTAGACTTTCTGTTGATTTCTTTTGCTCAAGTTTGACCCCACTTTTATGTTCATACAGTTGACTTTCATAGTTGATAGTGGACATCGATTAGGAAATGATGGACATTCCATCAAATTCTAACTTTATATTTGACATAATTTAAGACAAAAGGTAAAGATGTTTTGAAAGCAGTTGAATGCTGATATTTGCCTTGGTGATAACTGAAATATATAAGTTATTAAAAACTGAAAAAAAAAAAAAAAATCTGGAAATAAAACTGAAATCTATAATAAGTTCAAGCACAATGTATTTATCCTGTATTTGTATTCAGCAAAGCAGCTGTCTTCCAGAGTCAACAATCAGGATATGACATTCATAGCTGTTATAATGCTCTCAGAATTTTGGAAGATTTTCATTAGAATTAAGCTGTAGTACAATAGGAATATTTTTTCAATATGTACAGCTGTACAGATAGATTTTGCACACAGGAATTTACCAACTGTTGTTATAAAAGTGTGAGAAAGTATATGAATTTCTCTACACATTGTAGCACCTGCTGAAAATAATTATGGAAATAACTATTACATACCTTTTAAATGACCATTAACACTGAGAAAAATCTACTAAAACAAAAAAATATATCCATTTTAAATTCCTGTGTCTTTTTCAGATTGTACATATTTCATTGACCATTTTTCATACATGATTTATGGATCTAATCCTTATTAGATTCCACACTTTGAAGTATACTTTGTGTTACTGGCAGTACATTTGTCCTGTTTCTGAAGTATACTTTGTGTTACTGGCAGTACATTTGTCTTGTTTCTGAAGTATACTTTGTGTTACAGGCAGTACATTTGTCCTGTTTCTGAAGTATACTTTGTGTTACGGATAGTACATTTGTCCTGTTTCTGAAGTATACTTTACGTTACTGGCAGGAAACTTGTCCTGTTTCTGAAGTATACTTTGTGTTACTGGCAGTACATTTGTCCTGTTTCTGAAGTATACTTTGTGTTACTGGCAGTACATTTGTCCTGTTTCTGAAGTATACTTTGTGTTATTGGCAGTACATTTGTCCTGTTTCTGAAGTATACTTTGTGTTACTGGCAGTACATTTGTCCTGTTTCTGAAGTATACTTTGTGTTACTGGCAGTACATTTGTCCTGTTTCTGAAGTATACTTTGTGTTACTGGCAGTACATTTGTCTTGTTTCTGAAGTATACTTTGTGTTACAGGCAGTACATTTGTCCTGTTTCTGAAGTATACTTTGTGTTACGGACAGTACATTTGTCCTGTTTCTGAAGTATACTTTGCGTTACTGGCAGGAAACTTGTCCTGTTTCTGAAGTATACTTTGTGTTACTGGCAGTACATTTGTCCTGTTTCTGAAGTATACTTTGTGTTACTGGCAGTACATTTGTCCTGTTTCTGAAGTATACTTTGTGTTACTGGCAGGAAACTTGTCCTGTTTCTGAAGTATACTTTGTGTTACTGGCAGTACATTTGTCCTGTTTCTGAAGTATACTTTGTGTTATTGGCAGTACATTTGTCTTGTTTCTGAAGTATACTTTGTGTTACTGGCAATACATTTGTCCTGTTTCTGAAGTATACTTTGTGTTACTGGCAGGAAACTTGTCCTGTTTCTGAAGTATACTTTGTGTTACTGGCAGTACATTTGTCCTGTTTCTGAAGTATACTTTGTGTTACTGGCAGTACATTTGTCTTGTTTCTGAAGTATACTTTGTGTTATTGGCAGTACATTTGTCTTGTTTCTGAAGTATACTTTGTGTTACTGGCAGTACATTTGTCCTGTTTCTGAAGTATACTTTGTGTTACTGGCAGTACATTTGTCCTGTTTCTGAAGTATACTTTGTGTTACTGGCAGTACATTTGTCTTGTTTCTGAAGTATACTTTGTGTTACTGGCAGTACATTTGTCCTGTTTCTGAAGTATACTTTGTGTTACTGGCAGTACACTTGTCCTGTTTCTGAAGTATACTTTGTGTTACTGGCAGTACATTTGTCCTGTTTCCAAATGACTATGTTTTTTTTTTAAAGTAGTTGACATCATGAATAAAACAACTAACACTGCATGGAACTATGTAAACATTGGCATTTCTGGAATTTCTTCTATACATCAGCATGTGCATGTCTGACTAACACAAGGAAAACAGTATTCTTTTATACCTGTGATTCTAGTGTATTTTGTACCTTACAGGAGAAAAAAAAAGTATTATGAAGTCAATCCAGTGTGTCTCTTTACAGTTATACAGAATATAACTTTTTATATAATGACAGTTCATAAAGGCTTTCAAAATTTTTTTCAGCAGAATAAAAAACTTTTATACACTAACTACAGAAGGCCTGATTCATTGCTATAGTTAGTTTCAACATAATATAGGTTAATTAATCTTATAGAGTATCAATCAAAGACAATATTTGTGTTTAACAAGAGTAGATACGGAATCAGATAAATCAACATAATGCGCTTTCTTGACCTTGTCAGCACTTGTTGATATCAGTCTTTTGTCAGTATTAAAATTAAGGACAAACTAAGCTGGAGAGATCAGATGTTGATGTTCATGTTTCCATTTTCAGCTTATGATGGAGAATAAAGAAAATGTCATTGATGCTGTACAGGATGATAACAGGAAGGAAGAATTGCGTGAGAAGCTGACACAGGAACAGGATTTTCTGCGGGTGAGTTAATCTGTGGGAGAAGCCATGCCACCAAATGGGCCTGCCTTAATTTATATTTAGCGATACTCATCTAGAGACCTTTAAATAATGCATGGGAGATATATCTGGATACCACTCTATTAGAATGGGTCAAATTCAGGGATAAGACATTTATAATTCATAATGTAAGACCACTGACTGTTCCTAGTAACAAGTTACTAGTTGTATATTTAGATGTAACTGATACCCTCCAATAAGATTCTATAATTGTCCCTGTATTATTTCCCCTAAAGGTATGTGTATCAAATTTGGCGATATTTCCGATACACCTATATTGTTCTTTATGAGATGTACCTGTTAGGATGAGGTTAGGAGTGTCATATTTAAGCAGGGGCTCTGTTTTTATACCACAATGTACAGAGTTATGGCCCTTTGTTGACCATGCCTTTGTCTGTAGAATTTCTCCTACTCTCTGTCACCTATAATTTGGTTACTGATCATTATTATCATGGATGTTATGTATTCAATGTTGGTGAGACGTTATCTGTTTTTGCTTGTCAATGGCTAATTAAAGTTGATTATACAATAGTACCAACACTTTATCTGGTTTTTATGGTTACTTTATAACAAAGTACAAGTGTTCGCTATCATTTTATGTCTCTGAAATAATCAGCTGTTGATGTTGGTAACAATCAACATTTCTGTTGTGGTACAGCACCAGCTGCAGGACCAGATGCAGCGTCATGCTGACAACATGGAGACTGCTCGTTTACAGTCAGAGGGCACAATAGAAAGTCTTCGCAAGAAACTCAACACTCTTCAGGAGGTATGTTACTATCCAAGCTCAGATGAATTAACCATTGATGATATGATATTGAATAATTGTGTAAAGATTTCCTCCCTATTACAATTGGTCACTGCAGAAGAAGTCTTATTCCCTGTTTACATTATGCCTGTCTTATTTATTTCTCTTTGTACATCAACAGGTATTAGTGAACACAGGAGAATCTAGTTTTAAACCTTACCGACAGGGCAGTCGTGCACGGTCAAGCTCCCCTGTTCAGTCCATCCTAGATACATCATTCCGCAAGGTAGGATATCTGCTGGCAGACAACTATCTCACAGGAAAACAAATTTTTTGCCTTCCACATTTGTATAGGAATGAAAAATGAAAATAATTTCATTAAAATATATAAAATAAGTCTGTATTCGTATGCCAATGTTGCTGTTTATAGAATAGGATTTGACTTTTCTTAGTAGAATTTCAAATTTGATTTATAATGAACTTGAGTCTCTTTTAAACTTAATTTTGACATGACACTGTGTTTAGTTCTCTTTTAGACATCGTACATTGAATGGTACCAACAGTTTAGTAGGCCACTATATATTAAGTTATAACTATAATATAAATATTCTAAAAGCTATTTCATTTATCATTGAATTCTTTTCCCCTTGTAGGATAGGTCACCCAGTCCTAATTTTTCAAGGCGAGGCTACCTGGCCCAGCGACCAAGGTCAAGGTCACGGTCTGAAGAACGGTCAATTAGTCCTGCATTTCCTGAGAGAGAATGTAAGTCTTGATTGAAAATTGTATACAATTTGGCATTTTTGTGATCCGGTCATTTTCATACCAAACAAGATGATGCTAATGTTATTTCATACATGTTCAATCTGTACTTAGAGCTCAGAGTTTGTACTCTACAAAAATTCCATCTTTGATGCCACTTGAGTGTCAGGAATCAAACTTTACATAGGGAATATGCATGCAGCATTTACTAAAGAAATATACAAATTTACTTGAAATTGCTCCTATTTGAAAATTAATCCTGTCAAGTGCAATACATTTGGCTTTTCAATCTAATAGTATTTGTCAAACTTCAGTAAATGGAAACTGTAGAAGATAAAGCCAATATCATTAGTCACAAGTTGAGGGTTGTATGATTGTTAAGATAAGGATGGATCTGGCATGTGTTTTAAAGGTTTGAATGAATATTAGACATTTTGAAATGTACCACGTAATATCTTCAATTTAAAATGTACCACAAAGACTTTGCGACATAAATCTTACAACCAAATATTTGGAATATAAAAAAAAGCTCCACAAAATGAGGCAATGTAAAACCATTTTTCTTTTTTTTTCAGTTTTAACAGCTTAGTCTGAGAGATTTTGTAACGGAAGGGTTTGAAGATGCTCCCCAAGAATAATGGTGCTGAATATTAGAGGAAAATTAGTGACATTGTAGATTGCATCAAGGACTGCCATCCCATTGAATAAAACAATCATGTTGAGAACAGCAATTCATGTGGATCATAAGAGCAATATACATCAGACATGTGACCTTCGTTATTTTGTAATTTCCTTTCATCTTTGTCCTTTTGGAACTTTAACAGTGTTAACCAACTCATTTGATCAGAGTGTGGTGTTTTAAATTTGGTATTTTTGAAACGAACATGAAATTTTGAGAAGTATTGAATGATATATTTTTAAGAAGAAAAATGTCAGTATTTTAAGTAACATAGGGTCTGGAAACAGGGTGTTTGATGTGTTTTTGATATTATGCTATATTTGAGGGTTTAAATGCTGATTAAACAGAAATTAGTTGGGCAATTTATTTTTATGTAATCAACAGATAAATAGTAAAATAATTGCCTAGCATTTTTCATTTTAAACAGCAGGTATTTTAAATGGTCTTTAAGGTCATCAGTCTTGGCTGTGAAATGTTTTATCTTTTTATTTTGTTTTATTACGTGCCAGCCACGCATATCTGTGATATTGTAGTTTTCAAGTAGATCAAAAGTATTTTTAGTTTTCCTGAATGTAAATTTTCAAGATCATAGATTGATCATGTGTATGTTACACCAATATACTTTTTATTTGATTGTCTATAAACATTTAGTGTAAACATAGCCTGTTGTTACTGTGATATCATAAAAATGACCTTTTTTTTCTTTTTTAATAAATCTTGTGATTATTTACAGAAAGAACCCGTCCACATCATCTCTGATATTTGATATCAAAGATTAAAATGGAACTTTTTTTATTGTTCTCAGTTTTTGATAATTTATTTTTAAACCAAGATTAATAGAGGGGGTGAGTTGTTATAACCAGGTGAAATAGAAGTTGAATTGAAAGGGCTTTTTGTAACTATTTTTAACAGGTATACCTTTCCATTTTTTATAGTGTTTAATATTCAGTATTACTATTCAACAGTAAATTATCTAAATTATTATAACCATAATCTTTAGAAGATTGAAATTTAGAATTACATTTTGTAAAATGTAGATGTATAGATGTCTTAATTTATTGTTTTATTATTTATTTTGAAGTCTGTGATCCCAGGGTTCACTGAAGAAGTATAACTGAACTTTAATAGTAGTAGTAAAGCAGGATTAGTTTGATCAAGTGAAACATTAGCTGTTGATTTTCCACAGGGTTCTTAAACATAAGTGAGGAAGTTAGAATCTGATAGTATACCCCAAATAAAAATTCTGTCTACTGGACCATCAGATGTTACCAACACCCAAACAGGACAACTGAGTTTACACTGGGATTTATACTAAATGTAGTGTAAATGGCTGACTAAGAACATTTTACAGTTTGAAAAAAAGTTTCTGTATATTTACAGAAATGTTATACATAAGAATTCCACTCCTACAGGAAACATTTGTATATTATGTAAGTTATTCAATTGTACAGTATTTTGTATGTAACAAGTATTTATACACATAAAGAGCTCTGTTTATTTAACGGAGGAGAAAATAAAATATGGTAAAATAAGCTATTTTTGTTTTTGTTAATACTGATAGTTCTTTACTCTGTATCCCTCTGATTGTAAAGTGTAAACACAGTATTCCTCCCATTGTTGAGTGTAAGCACAGTATTCCTTCTGATTGTAAAGTGTAACCACAGTATTCCTCCCATTGTAGAGTGTAAGCACAGTATTCCTTCTGATTGTAAAGTGTAACCATAGTATTCCTCCCATTGTAGAGTGTAACCACAGTATTCCTCCCATTGTAAAGTGTAACCACAGTATTTCTCCCATTGTAGAGTGTAAACACAGTATCCCTCCCATTGTAGAGTGTAACCACAGTATTCCTCCCATTGTAGAGTGTAAAGACAGTATCCCTCCCATTGTAGAGTTTAACCACAGTCCTCCCATTGTAGAGTGTAAACACAGTATCCCCTCCCATTGTAGAGTGTAACCACAGTATTCCTCCCATTGTAGAGTGTAACCACAGTATTCCTCCCATTGTAGAGTGTAAACACAGTATTCCTCCCATTGTAAAGTGTAACCATAGTATTCCTTCCATTGTAGAGTGTAACCACAGTATTCCTCCCATTGTAAAGTGTAACCACAGTATTTCTCCCATTGTAGAGTGTAAACACAGTATCCCTCCCATTGTAGAGTGTAACCACAGTATTCCTCCCATTGTAGAGTGTAAAGACAGTATCCCTCCCATTGTAGAGTTTAACCACAGTATCCCCTCCCATTGTAGAGTGTAACCACAGTATTCCTCCCAATGTAGAGTGTAAACACAGTATTCCTCCCATTGTAAAGTGTAAACACAGTATCCCTCCCATTGTAGAGTGTAAGCACAGTATTCCTCCCATTGTAGAGTGTAACCACAGTATCCCTCCCATTGTAGAGTGTAACCTCAGTATCCCTCCCATTGTAGAGTGTAAGCACAGTATTCCTCCCATTGTAGAGTGTAACCACAGTATCCCTCCCATTGTAGAGTGTAACCTCAGTATCCCTCCCATTGTAGAGTGTAAACACAGTATTCCTCCCGATGTAGAGTGTAAACACAGTATTCCTCCCATTGTAGAGTGTAACCTCAGTACCCCTCCCATTGTAGAGTGTAACCTCAGTACCCCTCCGGTTGTAGAGTGTAAACACAGTATTCCTCCCGTTGTAGAGTGTAACCACATTATCCCTCCCTTCCCATTGTAGAGAGTGATATCAGTATTCCTCCCTTCCCATTGTAGAGTGTGATATCAGTATCCCTCCCTTCCCATTGTGGAGTGTGATATCAGTATCCCTCCCTTCCCATTGTAGAGTGTGATATCAGTATCCCTCCCTTCCCATTGTAGAGTGTGATATCAGTATCCCTCCCTTCCCATTGTAGAATGTAACACATTCTTCCTGTTTAGAACTCCCATTGCTAACTCTCACTGTCCTTATATTATTTTAAATTTAAGGAACAAAGACAATCCTATCATTATAGATTATGAAGTTTTTATCAATATAATTTCCGTTGTTTACTGTTCTAAAACAAACATAATCTTACTCTTGGAAATGTTTGACCACTCAACTATATACAAGGAGCAGTCTTCTGTTATAGACTCGCCTGAAATACATTCTATACAATTTTATAGAATTTGACTTTTTAGCAAAGGTACCCATCCCGTGTAGACGGTAAATCCATATTGTTTTAACGCACGGAATATGTAGCGTAGAATATTCTTAGTAGCAAGTGTTTCGTCTATATTTTAAAATTCATTCAGACATTACAACATTTATAAGACATTGAGTGTCCAGCTAATCATGATAAAGACTCTATTTTTCAAGTAATTAAAGTTCATAAAATGCTGAACATGGTTTATCGTACATGTCTGATGGTTTCCTCTTGATGTAAGTGGTGGTGATATATATCTAGTAAAATGCAGTACACGGGTAACTGTCTATCTTCTCAAGCCTTAGTTAAAATAACTCAAACAAATCGGTTCCAACATATGTCACAGGTAATGTGTTACACTTAAAAAAACATCAATACAAAAACCAACATGGCAATATAATTATTATTTGAACTCAAATGCCATAAAGCTAGCGCAAAATATGTACGAAAGGAAGATTAACATGGAGACTTGTGAAAATGTACAATGAGAATGAGACCAGGTGTTCCGGAGAAGTAAGCGTCTTCTGCTTCATCGACGACACCCGCCACGTAAACCTTGGTCAATCCAAGTAAGAAAAGTCACGTTCTTAAATGAGGCAAATTAACGAGCATCAAATACGTCAAGTTTCATGTCACACAAAGAAATAGAATATTTCTCAATGAGACCTTGGCGACCATAAAACTTCCCATTATTTTCATCAACTAGCATCTTTTGAACCCTTGTGTCACAAGTTTGTCAGTCAGTTGACGACTTCTAGCACAAAAACCGTCATAATGGGAACAGGCCCTTGAATATCGAATCAACTGTGGCATGCCAATACCATAGGCTGGAGATGCAGGGATATTGCTTTCCCGAAATGGAAAACTCACAAATACGGAATTTGAAATCCTCCCGTTTATCATACAGCTTAATGGAAAGCTGTCCATGTTGATTTCCTTGCAGGAAAAGATCGGAATAAGCAGCTGATGTAGAAGAGTCTGTCGCATCTTTGATTTCTAGTTCTGGTAGATATATACGATGGACTCAGCCAATACATGCTTTTATTATTTAAAGACAAGACGTCATCAATATACCCGAAGGTGATATTGCAAGGTCCTTGTGGCCTGTTTTGATAAGCTCTATAATAAATTCAACCTCATGTGAAAACAAAAAACAAGTCAGCCGACAGAAGGGTGCAGTTGGTTCCTATAGGTATGCCATTAGTCTGTTGGAATATCTTACCACCAAACTCGACGAAGATAAGAACCTCGATCATTTTTATGATTTCATCCTCCTTAATATTTCTTTGATTTGGACGTATTTTGTACCAAATACACTTCAGTATAATTCACAACCATATATTTATACCGCCGTTCATATGTCTTTGAGAAGAAAGTTATCATAACAAGATAACGAAGGCATTCCTTCAGTTTAGAATGGGGTATGGTGGTGAATAGGGTGGAAATGAACAATATCAAACCTTGTTCATTTTGAGAGTAATTAGTTTAGACAATATTTCATTCAATATTCAACAATATATACAATCGACACGTTAGATGACGGACAGATTCTGATCTCAATTATCTGTTTGTGATTTTTCTTATATCCAAGAGAAAGTTGTCGGAAAAAAACAAGACAATACGACAATGGTATGCATGTAAGTCAATGAATTTGTATTTTTTGGAATTTAAAGAATTTTGCGCTATTATTGACCCTGACTCATTCCGGTATCCAGTGGGTGGTTAACTGAAGCTGTAGACATATCGATACTCTTCAATTTTAATTTATTCAGCAACTGTGGGCGTGTCACTGTAACACGGGTTAACACCAGACTTGAGGCATGGTCCCGGTTTCCAATGAGTAATTTACATGTTATCAATATGTACTAATGATATTCTGACACGTACGATGTCGATATTTGTAAGTTCTGGTACTGAATTTAAATATAGAGGATTAGTGTATGTATGCTTAAGTTTACAATTTGGATGTACCGAATGGAAATTGAATCATGCCTACCGTCAGGATACTTGCCACGACAATATATTGGATATTCACGAGTTCATTGCGATGATTAAATCGTGAAATTATTTATATTTATAGAATAATTCCCAGTGTTCCATTGTGTTCAGCACCAGTAACATATGCAAGGAAAAGTCACAAGACATACATCCCTATTGTAAAACGACATCGCCATTGGACACTAATGTAGGTTATTGGCGGGATCAAATATGAAACTTTGATACTGATAAGGATAAGATCATTAAAAATGGAAATGTATTTATTTTATACGATTTTTTCGTGCTTAAACTTATTGATACGTTTATTTTTTATCTTCAACAGGAATATACTAGTATACCACAATCTCCAACCAGTCAGTTGTGCTTCTCTTCTATGCAGTTTTCGCCATCTCTAATGTTTTCTCGATCAGTTACAGGAGAAATGGATGTTCTATGACCAGGAAATGAGATTTCACACTAACATATATATATACACCATTATTTGAAGATTTGGAATCAACGACTAACGGGTAACATGTTATACAAATTCTATAATGTCAATGCAAAACAAAGGACCAGATTGTTCATAATTCATTTTAGCCAGTTCAGCAGTTAATTTACTTAAGTGCATATACCCTCAAAGGGGTTAAGTTCACTGTTGCTGGCTGGATTATTGATAATGGTGCACAGATAAATATTATTAAATATAAATGTTGGTATACTTAACCGTGCATAGAAAATATTTATTAAAATAGGAAAGTCCACTGCTTGAATTGAATTTAATCCCAACGTGTCATTGTATTGTATAATTTAAGTAATCACACCCAAAAGTAGAATTTGAGCACGAGGAATGGATCCAGTTGTGAAATGAAAAAGTCAATATTGTCGACATACAATAGATATCGGCGAGACGAAAGACTCCTGAAAGTTATTTGGGCCTGGATAGTTTAACACTGAAGTAGGTCTGAAATTAAAAGGAACTGCCAGTTTGTATTTCACTTATCCTCTCTTCGCGACTTTTCGTTTCCCGTTGTCCTCGAACCTTTAATGTCAGCTTTCCCGCTCAAACTTCGCTTTATCAATCAAAACTTCCAAAGATGACTGTTTTTACGAAACAGTTTCATTTTCACGCATGCTCAAATTAAAACGCCGATTGGTTACTGGTTATGAAACTATACACGTCATTTTGATTGACATGGGATATCTACGTCGGGGCGTGGTTTAAAACTTTGTATAAATGACAATGATTGGACATTTTCAGTCGGTGATTTAGCTGAAATTGGCAATGAAATATAATACACCTGTCTGTTCAATACCTACACAAAGTCGTTTGTTTAAAAACAAAAGGTCAATCCTGGAAAGGACCAAATCCGATATTGAAATGTTTTGTTGTTCTTACCGTAATGATAGCGCAAGGATATCATTGCTTTCGGATCCAAAAGTTCGCGAACCGAATGCTGTTGAAGCTAGAATTTTTCAAAGTGAAAGGGACACCAAATTGTATATTCTATTTTGTTTGCTGTTTAAGTGTTAAAAAAGGAAAAACTTGGAATACGAAATTATCATATTCTGTGGTTGTTTAAGATTCTGGAGGTTCTATTTCTGACACAGTTCGCGAACTTAAAAATTTCAGTGCACGTTCTGGTATGTACCATAAATGTTGTTAAAATTCTGTTTATTGTTAAAATTGTACTTCTATCAGTAGAACCGTCCTCGTGATTCAAGAGACTTACAGTGTTCTTAAAATAAAAATACTCGATCGTAAATACAGATTATATTATGTCTGAATATAGGACGCGGATGTTGTCAATGCCATACACCACAGGATGTACAGAAACACCAGAATCAGAAAACGATACACCACAGGATGCACAGAAACACCAGAATCAGAAAACGATACACCACAGGATGCACAGAAACACCAGAATCAGAAAACGATACACCACAGGATGTACAGAAACACCAGAATCGCCGCTAGTCTGATATACATGGTTTGGGATTTGTCCTCCTCGATGTCCAGTGGCCTTGTCTTCATTGGCTCCCACGTGCGGTCCCATTGCGACATGATAGCGTCTCTAGCTCCTCCCCATTTCCCTGGTCCTTCGAGGCGGAACTGATACGGCGTACAGGGTCCAAAGTAACACTTCATAGCCAGTGCAGGGTCAAGCAGCAACATTTGAGCTAGAACAAGATTTACAAAACGTTTTAAAATGTGAAAAGACAATATATATACAATGTATATATTTACAGCAATCAAATATTCGTTACATAAAAGTAACCAATGAAACAGTCTTACTTAAATTAGGACGGCAACCATTCAGCTCGGCCAGTTCATCCATATAGGGGATGAAATCCACCTGTATAGTGTGGCGCGTGGACTCCACATAACGGTGACGCATGGCGATCTTTTTCTTCCGTATGTCTGTCCATTGGTCAACTCTGGACGGTAGCTGGACAGTCCCCTATGGTAGTGGTAATATCACAAACAACAGTGTCAATTTGTAATCAGTACCAAGGCTTTAATTAAAATGTGATTTGATATGTGATATTCAGTGGATAAAACAGCTGAAGGAGACAAAATAGGAAGTTTAAGGTACACATCACGAGAGCGATATATATTGACCATCGTTATTTTAGATTACATGTCACGTATGTACACTTATTGTCAACTGACAATAGTACTTGTAGAATAAAAGTTCCACTTTAAGGAAAATTGTTTTGAAAAGTTACTTATTACAAAATCTGAGAGCTGTCTAATGATGTGGCACGCACCGTACGTTCTCCATGTTATCTTGATTCACGCGAAAGTGAAAGCAACGAAAAGTAATAACATTATATAAGCAAATTTATGTAAATAAATAGGAGCAGGTGTATTCTTATTGATAACCCGAAACAGCAGTAAACATGACAAAACAAACCCTTCTCTTATTATTCGTGTACAGGCAATGATTTAACGTCTGTTCCTAGATCAGTCAATTACATTATCCGATAAGCAATTTGGATTGATCGCCGTTAAGGCCTGGGTGGATCTCACGTACACAGGCTAGCAGTAGATAAGAGATCACAGAAACACAAATTTATTACACTACAACACTAACACAAATATTCCATCCTTTTACCATATGACCAATTTGTTCTAATCTCAGCAACTATACCCACTAAGGGATGAAATTATTACTAGTTGAATTGGTTCTGTTTAGAATAATAGAATCATAAAAATCTGTTTACCTTAAATACTCGAGTGGCAAGTCGCGCCTGCATCTCTGACAGTGGCATAATGGCTCCTAGAGGCTGGAAACAACCAATCACGCTCAAGGTCGGCTTCTCAAGGTCAGGAGGGAATTCATATTTATACATCTCGATCTGATTATCCTTCACGTCTAATACAGATTTGTCGATGAACGGAAAACCAAAAACATACCCCGTCCCGAGAATCACCGCATCAGCTTCCTCTTTTGTCCCGTCATCGAACTCCACCTCAGTTTCCGAAAAGCGTTTGATGTTTGGTTTGACAATGATTGAACCGTTAGCGATTTTATTCGGTAGATCATCGTTGACAGTCGGGTGTTGGGCGAAGGCATGATGCTTTGGCTTCAGTGAGTATTTGGCATGATCAAATCTGGCATTTAGCCGGGTTTCAATCTCGAAGTTCACAAGAGGATCTGGAAAGTTGGTTCTCAGGAAGTCCATGACACGGCGAGTATACACCATGTCCACAGGTTTTCCAGAGTGAGCTATTCGATTCATTACCCATGTACCGCGGCGTGTACTCAAAAAAAGCTGAAATCAATAAAAAAGATGAAAGGATACGTTACTGTTCCAAACATTTGTCACCAGTGAAAACGGTTACTTGTATATTTTTGGTTTGAAAATATAGAACTAACTTTCTAATTTGATTAATTCATATATCTCTTGTCTCCTTTGGTTTCAGCCCGCTAGGCCGTTAGTATCGCTGGCGAGTCCTAGAAGGAAGAAACAACAGGATGGTGCAGTTTATTTTATCATCTAATTATAAAGCATCTGATTCAAAAATTATCTTATTGTCTAACTTTTATGCATCTGATTCTAAATTTGTATAGAAGGTTACTGTTCACCGGTGTCGTGTACAATCTTTGTTGGTGTACAAAAGACATTGTTGTCGGACAATTCCGACGAATGGTATACTGGTGGTGGAAACTATCAAACTAAAAAAGAATAGCTTAGCTATAATGAAACATTATAATATTTCATACATCTAAATTTATTGTGAGATTAATTTTCAAAAAGTCGAGAAGGAATTATAAACATGGAATTTAATAATGAAATATGTCAACATCAACGAGCAAACACAATTACTTTCGAGGCAAAACGTGACAACTCCACAGCTACATCACCGCCAGAGTTCCCCACCCCTACAACCACCACTTTCTTGTTCACGTAGTCATCAGTGGACTTAAAATCGTGTGTGTGTGTTATGGTCCCTTTGAAAGAATCCATGCCGGGGAAATCTGGCATCTTCTTTTGGGCGTGATGTCCCGTTGCAACCATAACGGCGTCAAAAACATGGGAAGTGACTTCCTTTGACTTCCGGTCGCGGACTTGCAGCGTCCACTGTCCAGTAGTTTCGTAGTTTTCATGTTTTACTATGCGTATTACCTATGTCAAGCAAATAAAATGTATTTGTTAGTGTTTTATACAAAAATTTAAATGTATGTAAATATATTATTGTAGTGGAAAAAAGCCCAACAACCTACATCCAGTAATTACTCATTTGTCCCCCCACAACTGGAAGTATGCAACATTATTCAACACCAATTTACAACTGGGAATCACTTACATGTGATCATATAACCAGAAGTGTCGAAAAGTTTTAAGTATTTTGGGGCAAGTGTTTCTGTCCATATCTCATTATATGACAGCAACCGACCTGTTACGGAAGTATCCGATTGTCAGTCAACCCACCCTCGGTAACCCCTAATTTGTTATCATAGAAACCGGGATAACTAAAGTGCAGCGGCTGCATCTCTCAAAAATCTTAGACTTACCTCGTTATTGAACCGGATGTATTTCTCTAGGTCAAACCTGTCCGCGTACAACCGGAAGTATTTCTGTACGTAAGTGTTGTGCATGTAAACGGGGTATTCAGCGGGGATTGGGAAGTCACTGTAACACATCATTTCTTTACTCGTGTTGATCACCGTCGACTTCATCACACATGCCTGGTCGGAACGGACCTCTTCAGTATAGTTCCAGAGACCACCTTTTATAGTTAGCAAACGGCTTATAAATACCTTATTTGTACAATAAAGGAGATTTAACGGTTTCGTCATTCTGCAGCATTTGTCAACACCATCAAGTTTCCTTAATGGTTCAGTGCTCAGCCAGAGACAGATAATAGTTGCATCATCTCATATTGTTGACATCTTAAAATTTAGTTTGTTTCTCTTTTAATTAATTGATTAATTAATTAATTTATTTATTTAACTCACCATCATTAGACAGCAAGTTTTCGTAATCTTCAAGTACCTTATGGGAGTATGGAGTCAGAGGCTAACATTTATCTCGCAGTGACATCTTGAACATATTCTTCGTGAAAATTAACAATTTTCTAAAATCCATCAACACCCTGTTGAAAACTGTATGAGAATTTTAAACCAACCGTAAAAAGAATTGAAAGACTTCATAAATAAATAACATTTTTAACAAGTATTGTCGAATTTCAGCTGAATAAATCGTTTTGAGGTAATTGTTCAGTCTTTTATTTCATACAGAGAATGATTGTGTATTTATATAATATGTCCATGTAAGGGCGAAGGTTATGTGATCTGTCCCTGTCCGTCATGACTGAGGGTTACTGACGATGTTTATGAACTTACCTATGTCATTTGTCCGTTCAAAACACGTCGGTTCGAGCCCTTCGTCCAGACAACATTTGATGGCAGGGAGACCGCTAGCTCCGGCCCCTATTACCGCTACTGTCTTCATGGCTCCTTCAATAAACAGGTCTCCTCGTTGATGGTCAGTTAGGTCCTATTGTTCATAATATCGTACTATATGTTGTCATCCTACAAAATGACCTCGGCTTAAAACCCAGTCCTATCACGTTGTATACTGATATGGTACATACCCTCTGATATCAACGTGTGTAAACACACGTGCTCTCACTGCTCATGATAAAAAAACCAGTTTATTTGAATGTTTAAGAGTAACGTAAGAATATCACCAGATAATGTTTTTGCATTGATTTGGGATAACAATCAATACCCATGTTGTGTATTCCAATTACATTTGTATTCGATAGTATAAATGGTTCCACATTTCCTGTGTGATCAGTGTTTCTGACTTCAGGCCAAATTCACGTACTTCGATCATTTTCTTTTTAAATATCGTATAAGTAGGACTGTTATCGGTATCAGAAAAATATCAAAATTGTCGTTAAACAAAAATATCATTAAAATTTTCTTCGTCGTTAAGATAATGGTTTATAATTGACACAGGTGTAACTCTATCATAAAAGGTGTCAGTATTTTTCAGACTGAGAGACTAACAGATGGTTAAGTTAACAGGCAGGCTGTAAGGGTACAAGGTGGTCAAATGATCACACTGACATATCATTAGTTTAACACGTTGCCAAGTTAACGGACGGACATGCCGTGAGGCTAACAGATGGCTAAGTTAATGAACAGACCGTTAGGCTACACGGTGGTCAAATTTCCGGACTGATAGGCCGTTAGTTTAACAGGTTGCCAAGTTTACAGAAGGACGGGCCGTTAGGTTAACAGGTGGCCAAGTTAACAGAAGGACCAGCCGTTAGGTTAACAGGTGGCCAAGTTAACAGAAGGACAAGCCGTTAGTTTAACAGGTGGCCAAGTTAACAGAAGGAAAAGCCGTTAGGTTAAAAGGTTGCCAAGTTTACAGAAGGACGGGCCGTTAAGTTAACAGGTGGCCAAGTTAACAGAAGGACAAGCCGTTAGGTTAACAGGTGGCCAGGTTAACAGAAGGACAAGCCGTTAGGTTAACAGGTGGCCAAGTTAACAGAAGGACAAGCCGTTAGTTTAACAGGTGGCCAAGTTAACAGAAGGACAAGCCGTTAGGTTAACAGGTGACCAAGTTAACAGAAGGACAAGCCGTTAGGTTAACAGGTGGCCAAGTTAACAGAAGGACAAGCCGTTAGGTTAACAGGTGGCCAGGCTTACAGAAGGACGGGTCGTTAGGTTAACAGGTGGCCAGGTTAAGGGACAAACCGTTAAGCTACAGGGAGGTCAAATGACCAGACCGTTAGTATAATAGGTGGTCAAGTTAACGGACGGACAGGTTAACAGAAGGACAAGCCGTTAGGTTAACAGGTGGCCAAGTTAACAGAAGGACAAGCCGTTAGGTTAACAGGTGGCCAAGTTAACAGAAGGACAAGCCGTTAGGTTAACAGGTGGCCAAGTTAAGGGACAAACCGTTAAGCTACAGGGAGGTCAAATGACCAGACCGTTAGTATAATAGGTGGTCAAGTTAACGGACGGACAGGTCATGAGGCTAACAGGTGGCCAAGTTAACAGAAGGACAAGCCGTTATGTTAAGAGGTGGCCAAGTTAAGGGACAGACCGTTAAGCTACAGGGAGGTCAAATGACCAGACCGTTAGTATAATAGGTGGTCAAGTTAACGGACGGACAGGTCATGAGGCTAACAGGTGGCCGAGTTAACAGAAGGACGGGGCGTTAGGTTAACAGATGGTCAAGGTAACAGAAGGACATACCGTTAGGTTAACAGGTGGCCAAGTTAATGTACAGGTCGTTTGGCTGCAATGTTGCCAAATTCAGAGACTGATAGGCCGTTAGGTATCTGAGATGGCCAAGTTACCAGACTGACAGATTTTTAAGTCAGACGGAAATGCAGTTACGTTACTATGTGACGAAGTTATCAGAAGGAAAGGCCATTTGGTTCAGAGATGGAAAACTTAACAAATTGACAGGCCGTAAGATTTAAAGGTGACAAACTATCAGAATGAAATGCCGTAGGCTTTATAACATGTCGACAAGTTAACAAATTGACAGTCCGTTTGACCCTCTTGGCTGTCATTTTCAACCTAAAGAGAGACCTAATGATAGCAAATCTTTGTCAGATTCCATTCCTTAACATTCTTACCAATTTTCAGCTCACTGATACCAGTGGGACTTGAGAAGTTTGAAATGTGTTTTTCAAGATGACAGCCATGGCGGCCATTTTGGACCAACCTGAACAATGAGAACACTTGATCATGACCATCTCAGGATTATTTCAGGTAGGATTCAGCTCAATTCCATCAGTAAAACGTGAAAGAAAGTATAAAATGTAAAATGTTTACACACAGAGGATGACGAGGGGTGGAATACAATGGATATAGGTCAAAGATAGACAGGTGGCCTTGGTATGAAGGTGGCCTTTAAGACAGGTTTGACTATATATGTGTTTAAATACATGAGGTTCACATACCACAGCTTTCACATTACACTATTCCTCTTAATGTCATTTTTTGCTTAATATCACATTTTCCTTTGACAAATGATATTATCAGAGACATACATAAGAAATTGAAAACATGTCTAATGAAAATCAGTGCCAGTCATTCAAAGTCTGATTAGCTTTTATGACTAATAAATATATATCTGTATCATCCAATATTTGAACAAAATAAAAATACAATTCTTGGTTCATATGTATATCTATTGATAAAATTAAGCTCATAATTTTAAGATAACTTGAAATGATGTAATTAGCTACCAGACCCAGATGGCAGGAAACTAGCTATCTACCAGTTTCAGTAATTCGCACAAAAAGAGTATATTAACCAATATTGATTGCTTATTCAATATTACAGACAGAATAGAGTTTACAAGTATAGGTATGTCCTCTACATAACCATGTTCTCAATATTCAATTGTCAAATTCAATACAAAAACATCTGACCTCATGTCAGGAAAGGAAATGCATAATAGGTTTAGAGAAAATCAAATTTTATTGAAGCATTCAAAATTTAATAATTTAATCAAGATTCAAATAAAAGGAAACAACTCAATTAAGAATTGATTTTTTAATTAAAAAAAATACAACAAACTCCATGGTAAATGTACCTCAAATGATTATTACAATACATATGTATGGAATACAAGGTTGGAAACTTCAATCCTTTCTTGAGGAAATTGGACTAAATATTCAGAAGCATTGTGCATCTTTGATAAATTGCTCTATATTGCTCTAATCAAATTTACACAGGAAGTTTATTTTACAAGTTAACACAAAAGAGATGTAAAATAATATAAAATTCAAAGGCTAGACAGAACATAATATCGAGATTGTTATCACAGAATATAGGTAAATACATTGTATTATAAAAAAAAATCAGTATAAAATGAAAAAATAATTATGCTTCATAATTTAAACCAGCAATGTGCATGAAAACATAATAATTAATAAGGCCAAGTCTTTTTGATTGCTAATCACATTCCTGATATGTGATATGTATATCCAGTGATCATACAGCTATATATCAAACCGCTATATGAATTAATTAAAATTAATTTTCAAATATCTATAGAAGGCATTTTGGCATTAAATGATTTGTTTTGCTTCTGTCAAGGATGATTTAACAAGAAGAACTAAATGATGCTGAAAACATTTCAGGTAACGGCTGACAGGCTCCGTAAGTATTGTCCTTTAATAGTGAAAAACATGCTATTGTTTCATTGAAATAAGAATTTTGCCAAGATTTCCAGATTCGTGAAGTCGCCTGATCTCTGGCTCACCGCCAATGTACTTTCCCCTGACAAACAGCTGGGGTACCTGGGAAAAATAAAAACTAGTCAGGAATGGTTTAACAGATTAAAAAAAATTGTTAAAAATACCAACTGACGGATATATGTGATCTCTATGATAACGAAATAAAAGGAATAATAAGTAAGTAAATGGCAAAGCTAGTTGTCTTCAATTTTGTCATGTTTATCATTCTTACGATTATTGATTTTGTTAAACGTTATACAATTCTATATACAGGTTCAAGTAAATTAATTTTCAGAATCGACTGACTGCCTCCCCATTAACTTGCCGAAATGGTTTTATTTACCAGTGATATAGTATTTAGGTGTTTTAATTGATTCTGGAACAAGTCAACATAATAAATGTTGGAAATACAATGTACACAATGATCAGGAGAGGTCTACAACAGTATACTTTGTACAGTTAAGTGGACATGTAGGTAGGTGCACAAAAGTCAAATATCAAGTTAAGATGATATTTATGTACAGTACATTGCAAATCATAATTTAATAATATCTAAACTGGTCCGGAATGTTATAATGTAGACAAATGATAATAATGACAATGATGATAAATAATGATAATGATAAACAAAAAGAAGAAACGTGGAAAGTGAGTGATTTTCACAAGATTAAGCAGGCCATCACTACATACAAATGTTCTTTGAATGCATGTATCATACTGTAGGAGGTGTACCCCTGATATCGCAAATAGAATGACCGGGAGTATAAGGCTTAACCTCTTAATTACAAATCTATAAAGTCGATCGATTTCTGAATGTTGATATCCAGCAGGAAGGATTTTCTTTTCTTTTAAAGCAAACTCGAACTTCCATATTATCTACAGTATAACATAAACATATACGATTACTGTTTGTCAGTACACCCACCGCTCGTCTGTCGGTCAGACAAATTATCTGAAAGTAATCTTCAATTTGGTTACAATCTTGTCGGTTCTCAATTTCCACCACTTCGTAAGTCTGATTTGTTAACTTGTACCCGTCCATGATATCCTTTACAGTTTGACATTCCGGGCTATACTTCTTAGAAAACAATAAAACAGGTCGTTGTTTTATCTTACTGTCAACAAATGGTTTTGCACCTGCCATTTTTATAAAGAAAGTAATAGCACAATCGCCCGCGAATAAGGCGTCCTTGGCTACGTAAAATCAACGTAGTATCTCCTTTTGTACCCTAGCCACGTCTGACCGTACCCTACAAACGCTCTACTGACTACACAGCTTGACTATGCAAAGAAGCATAACTCTGGTATAAAGGTAGTATACCAGTGTTATACCGAGCCGATCATAACGTCACATAATATTTCCAATAAAACAAATTAGTTTGCTTGAATTATTCAATGATCTGTAAATACATTAAAAAATGTAAATTACGATTACATGTATACGGGATACCTACTTTATCTTTCTATTCTACGGTATAGAAATATTCATTAGAATAAATGAAATTTAAGTCACTCGGATACGTTTTGATATAATTAATCGTAACAGAAAAAGAGAGGATCTTGGCTATCTTTAATTTCACACGCCTAGATTTTAAAAAACTATCTAATTATCTGATTGTTTTACTTCTTCCTTTGTATCTGAATTTATATCTTCTCTTGAAAAAATAAAACCAAACAGACCAAAATCTACAATATCGACCACAAACTTCAAGCTAGCCATTTACATATCGTCAAATTTCTCAACCTAATTAATCCAAATGGCATCGTTATATCCTGTAAAAACATAACTATTTATCAAGATGGAATTTCGTATATTTATTAAATAAAGTTATACACCAATTTATTTATAACATGCAGTCAAAATGATGTGTCAACTTCATTTAATTAACGAGAAACGCACACGTATTCGAGATGTGAACAGCGACACTGAATGTTCATAGTCAGGACTATAAAGTTATAGTTGTAATACCACAGTCCATTTTCCTGTTTTTGTTCACTGACCTCTGAAGTAGATAAACCTTTTCCGGAGGTGGCAGCAATGCAGGCAATCTCAGTGAAGAGGAATGAGGAATGTAAAAAGAAAAAAAAATTGGACGCGGTACAGGTTTCAGCACATGCGCGGGAAATACACAACATTTGCTCCTCCCACGTCAATGGAAGATTGTGTTCCTCGTCAGTCTATTCTTTGTTTCTCTTCTTGGTTGAATCAATGACCAACATTTCATGGTCTTAACATGGTGTCTTGTGTGGTCTTACAAAAAATGAATATGTATGTATATATGTGCATATTTTCATAGCATCTAGCATTGAGTCAGTCGGCCACTGTACTCCGGGATTCTGGGTCTAAGGCACATTCGTCGTGAGGACGCTAAATGTCACAACACCGTGTTTACATGGTGTTTCAATGGGAACAAACTAACTGTAATCCTTGTGATCGTACATCTCGCACAATTATATATTTCCGAAAAAGTGGCGATCGCCTTCTTCAAAGATAATCATTCTGTATGAGGTCGAAAGAATTAATTATATAAGTGAAAGAAAACAGCAAGTTTGCGTGGGTAACTCTAAATCCTCTATTAAATCTTCTAATGCGGGTGTTCCACAAGGCTCAGTACTTGGTCCCCTATTATTTATTTTATATATTAATGATTTAACCGATAATCTTCAGAGTTTCTCAAAATTATTTGCCGATGACACTTCTTTATTATACTCGAACCCATCCCCTTACAACGTTGAAACTGTAATAAATGATGATTTAGAACAAATTCAAAATTGGGCGAGAAAGTGGCTAGTAAAGTTTAATCCAACTAAAACAGAAGCATTACTTATCCATAATTCCGAATTAGACTACGCGATAGATATAAAATTTGATAATGTTAGTGTGAATTTTGTAGATAATCATAAGCATTTGGGGGTAACATTTGACCAGAATTGTAAATGGACAAGTCATATTGAGGACATTTGTAAAAAAGTATCTAAGCAGATTAGTATCTTGCGAAAACTTAAATTTATTCTAGGTAGACAAACATTGTATAGAATATATAATTCTTATATTATTCCACTATTAGAATATTGCTGTGAGGTATGGGATGGATGTACTCTCGGTGACGCAGACAAATTAGAAAAACTTAAATTAGAGGCTGCTCGTGTGATTACGGGGTTACCATCTTATACGAGCAGAGATTCCTTATATTCTGAATGTGGGTTAGAACCACTTTGCTTTAGACGCTCTAGAAGGAAATTGCAGCTTTTTTATAAAATCAAAAATAACTTAACACCTGATTATTTATCCACTCTTCTTCCCCCCTTAGTCTCAGAAAATTCACCCTATAACCTTCGAAATGCCAATAATTACTCCATACCAAACTACCGTCTACAACTCACAAAATCTTCTTTCTTTCCCTCTACTATTCATCTTTGGAATCAGTTAGACCACGATATCCGACAAAGTGAAACATATTCGGTCTTTAAACACTCTCTCCGTAAAAACACAGACATTCGAATTCCGCCCTATTTTCTTATTGGTGATAGAAAAACTAACATCCTGCATGCCAGATTACGTAACAGATCCAGTACTTTAAATAATGACTTGTTTCATGCTAACTTAATTAATTATAAACACTGTCAATGTGGACACTATATCGAAGATGCTCATCACTTCTTTTTTGTATGTAATAATTATGCCTACCAACGCCTACAACTTTATCGTGAGCTTAATGATTTCATTCCACTAGACCTCCACCTTCTATTATTTGGAAACTCCGAGCTGACTAACCAGGAAAACGAAACTATATGCCAATCCACCCAAAGATTTATTATAAATACAAACCGGTTTTAAATTATACTCTATAGTAAATTATAATCGTTCCTTCCCAACTCGGGTGACAATCGGTTGAGATATGTTATTTCCAGAAGGATCAGCATGGACCAAGGAGAAGGACATCGGTGGCACGGTTTTTGATAGACATTGACAAGTTGAACGCTAGGAAGAGTGGAATAGTATAAAGAATGTGATTGTCACCTGGGTTGGGTTAGACCATATCGCTATTGTTCCTTTTTCACTACATTTGTAGATGTACTCTCTCTCTCTCTCTCTCTCTTTCTCCCCCCTCTCTCTCTTTCTCCCCCCCCCCTCTCTCTCTCTCTCTCTCTCTCTCTCTCTCTCTGTATATATAATTGTATCTTGTAAATTTCGAATAGGTCATCTTTTGCATTTATATGTGTCTGTTATTTATCTTGGAACGGGCTTTATATAAGTTTGTAAACTTGTGCCCAATCCATTTGTATATACAATTTATGCAATAAAATATGTTTAAATCAAAAAAAGAAAGAATCGCAACTACTTCAAGTATTTGAGCATTGTCTTTCCAGACGGGTTGTACTAGATACGACTTGGCCATTTTTATGGGAATGAAAATGCTGAAAAAGATCTGTGACTTAGTGATGATGACAATGTAATTGTTAATCAGAGGTTTAGGGATAGGTTAGACCTGTTGCGAGGTGCAGCGTTTTTCTGTGTCCAGCGTTTTTTTGTGTATATGCCCCCTGTCTTCTGCCTGGTGAGACAAAGTATTGCCAACAAGGACCGCCAGTATACAGAGTCAAGCTATAGATATATAAACAAAGTTACCATGGTCAATTGAAACAGTGGAAACAGTATATATATTTACAACAAACATAAGCAATAAACGATAACATTTTTTCATTACATTTATTCACCAAACAAATACCATGTTTTTTGTCTTCCATACATTGTGTGACTTTCACATAAATTCACAAAACACAATAGTACTTTTAAAGCCTTTTGTTGGCTATATGTTACAGCACACACACATACCTAATAACTCTTCGCGTCAGGCGTCATCAGAGCTTTATTCCTCTATCTTTTTAATGCAATGTATACGTGTATATAAGCAAAAATATACGAGTATTTTAGGGGAGAAGCATATCAGAGAATTTGATGATCCATTTGAACATGGAGTCCAAATCAAACAATATATTAATGCGAATGGCATACGACGACCCTTTTGTATGTTGTTCAGTGAGGTAGCCACCAACTACTACAGGGAGAGCCCGTCTCAAAATGTAAGCATTTACTATCAATTTATCAAAAGCATCAGAGGACCTACAAATCGTTGCTGAAGTCTTTGTTTAAGTATTGCCGAAAAACAACACAGTTAAATGATACACATTAATAAACCGAGACGTATTGATCTGAGTTATACTCTTACCTTTGTAGAATACGGGGGAAATGCATCTATTACACAAGGTCGTGAAAATTGTTTACTTTGTTAAAACAGTTTTAATTGACTTAAGATTAACAATACGGATGGTAACGAAATGTTAGAAAAGTCGGTAATTAATGGTGTTTGTTCATACTTTAAACACTCATAAAATTCGGATTCTAAATAGTCAGATAGCAAGAGAAAGCCAGTAAATACTTGTACAATTGAACCTGAATGTATAAGTTGTATATATTGTATGTAGATCAAATTACAAATAAATTGGTCAAATTTAGGTAATACATTTATATGACAAGGCACGCACAGATTGGGTACATATTTAATGTTATTGATTAGCAGTGTCTCGTTAAACCTAAAAATAAGAACATACACGATTTTTACATAAAAGGTATTGATGATTAAGAAACTGAACTTACATGTGTATATATGTAACGAAAAATGCAATCATAAACTAGCAAAATCACCGAATTCGCACGAGATATTGCAATGTATCGGTATGTGCGAGTAGCCTCCCTTACAATCGAGAACGTATTCTAGAGCTACCTTATACATGGGACATTCTCTCTGTTAATAATCAATTTTTGAACGAAATTTACAATTACGTAGACATGATGGGAAGACTCAAACATTAAAAAAGAATAAACAAGCGAACACAAACAAATGTTATATAATTATATTGCAGAAGATTCGTCATATATACATGTAACTATATAGTGAAAGTCTCCCATGTATACACACACGTCATGACAATGGAGTATTATAAACGAAAGCATACTTTATATATATTCCTTTTTACGAGCTTCAAAACCAATCAAATTCCTCAGTTTATGAAGACTTAAAACAATAAATAGTTTTTTTTTATTATTTTTTTTTTTTTTTTTTTTGTAAATTCAGGATGAAGTAATTTTTTATAAAGCGTTACTCGGTATGTTTACAGCTTACTTACACTCATCGTCCTCTTGAGAATACATTTTTAAAAAGATCTATTCATATCTCTAACATCAGTGACGAACATTCGCCTAAGGTGGCAGCGTATCAAAGTTTTACTGTTAAACAAAGACAAATCTTACATTACACTACAATAAATAAAGTACAACAGACAATCGTGTATAAAAAAAATCATAGTTAAAAAACTATTCGAGGAGATCGGATTATGGTAGAACATCATTCACATCACTAGTACTTACTATCTATCACCGGCTAGTGATCTGGCTGTCTCGTGATCTCACCACACGTGTCACTTTCTAGTTTCGATAAATATGTAAATCACCATATTGTTTCTGTACTATTGCGCAATCATTCCTCTCGTAAACTTGTTTACTGATATTTTTTTCAACTTTGTCCCTGTCTTACATCACATGTATTATACGTTAATATCGAGATTCACGTGACAGACCGTGTTGTATTAGTTGTGAAAAATGGTATAAGGTATATTGTGTTAATTAAGTTGGTTGTCTTGACAAAGCCAGAGAATCCGTGCTTAGCCATAATAATATTATGGTAATTGTATATTCTAGCTCCCAACTTCAAGTTCTTTGATCTATACAATGATTTCTTTAATTTCTTTAATTGAACAAAAGACACACAAATGAGCAGCACCTTTAAATACAGCTTTAGAGTTACATAAGTCGAGCCAAGCAATTTCATACAGCTGCTACCCTGGGTTAGATATTTTTGTCGCATTCCACTGACGTACGTTTTCATAGTTCTACTGTAATGATATAAAAAGAGACATTTCTGATTTCTGAACACCAGCCACATAGATTTCTCTCTGCCAGCCCAAAGGGAAATTTATCTTAACATATATGATTTTAATCTAAGATTTTTTTTTCAAGAAAAGGAAGACCGCGTGAACATGACATTAAAAAATTGTAGTGACATTTTAAAAATCATTCAGGAGAGCGAAGGCAAAACTTTCAATTCACTCAGCCCAAGATGAATTCCATTTTTTTCATTTATTCCTTAACCAATGAGCCAGAGCAGAGAAATTTGCTTAGATTAATATATTTCTTTACATACTGAGTAATCTTGAGATTTTCTAAACATTTTTTTTCATTATCTATATTATATATTTGATGATATATTTGAGTAATTCTATAATTTCACCTGCCCGTTCATCCATCAAATTACTACGACATTTATGAATACGCTAATAAAATAACGTTTGAAATTGAAATGTCATGGTATTATAATAAAATGTCATACAGCTTTTGTTGACACCATCATTCTTTTGGAATCTTGACCTATGAAAACTTACAGTTCCATATGACAAACTAAACTGGGTATTTATTTAGCGAGCGCTTCAGATATTGATCATTGTTAGAATACCAAGATATATCAAAGGTTTTATCTATTATTTATTTCAGGACCAACATGTCTCTCTGAAAAAAATATTTGGTTTGATCCTAGTTAGGTCCACGGTGTCTTCCATTACGCTGTCTGTAACCATATCTCCCTCCGCCATAGCCTCGTCCTCCCTGCGTACATTCGCCTGCAAATACAATCAAAGTTCTGAAAGTATTAAAAGCTATTGCGAGCAACGGAGATTTTTTGTGGATCAAAATTTATGATCCAATTCTTATGTGCTAATGTCAGTGAAATTCTGCGACTGATTGTTAAGTTGTACATAATATTGTATCAAGGTAGTCCATATCTCACCTCTTTATTCCCAGTACTCTCTTTCCTACTTTCTTCTCTTATAATAAATATTCTAGCGGAGGCATTGAAATAAATAAATGACCTCTGTTACGCATGTATATATATATATATATAAAGAGAGAGAGAGAGAGAGAGAGAGAGAGAGAGAGAGAGAGAGAGAGAGAGAGAGAGAGAGAGAGAGAGAGAGAGGAGAGAGAGAGAGAGAGAGAGAGAGAGAGAGAGAGAGAGAGAGAGAGAGAGAGAGAGAGAGAGAGAGAGAGAGAGAGAGAGAGAGAGAATGAATTACTTAACAACATGACAAAGAAATATATTTCTCTGTGTATACGATACACAAAGTTTTTATCTTTTTAAATTATATATATATAGACGTGTGCTAATAATATCGAATATTTTCGAATCTTCAACTGGAGTATACGTAGAATGTAGCCTTCAGTCGTTATTAAAAAAAACTCAAGGAATTCAATTCTCAAAATTTCTGAAGACATGAAGTTTATATGATTTTACTGCTGAATTGAAATTTGGATTCATAGTTTTAACTACTATAGAGTCACAGGTATCCACATCGTTTTGTTAAGATTGCTGACACAGATATAAAATGTATGGAACTTATTACTACGGTGTCATTGTATGTAAATTTCAAAAAGTGACACTCTGTCATAAAAATGTTCTACACTTGTTCAATCATATCCCGTTTTATATATAAAAAAGTGAGTTCACAACCAGCTGTGTTCTAATCTGGTATCAGGTGATGTACATATACAGTTGCATATAGCCAGTTTGAAACCCTTCGATGTGGATTTCCCACTATTTTAGATATCTTAAAAAAGTTTGAGATGCTGAGGTTTTTTTTCTATGACGTTATATGGTGTTTAAAACAGAACATTTCACTGTCAGTTAAGGACATCACTAAATCCAGAATTTTAACTATTATTTGTGCCTTTTAGTAGATTTATGTTTGTCTCACATAGTACTACCGAGTAACGTATTTCTGCATTAGATTGATTAGTTCTTGCGAAGTGTACCGTAAATTTACTTTTTTTGGGGTAAATATTGAATTTTTAAAAATCGCGATGCGCATATGCATTAGAACATAACATTTTTGGAAGATCATTATCAGACTGTTAAAAGATCCTGGAAGATTCATAGCTACAGAAAATCAGGATATTTCCATTACTTTATCGTGATTTTATTTTACCGAATACTCATGAACTTGGAAGGCTTTTAAAAGCTTACCCTAAACACTTTCAAGTGACTGTTGGTGCGAAATGGAAAATGAGTTTTGTTGAAAAAATAAACAGCACATTTTCAAGCCAACTGTGACTATAAATTTGGAAAAAAGCCATAAAATATTTCAACATTTTCAGCTACAACATAATTCCCAAACCGCTACTGTAACGATTGTATTAAGCAAACGGGAGGGGTTTGGCAGTATACTTTGTATGCACAAAGAAAATTTCAAATTAAAAAGTGAGTTTTGATGTAAGAAATGTTAAGTTAAAACATGATAAATTTCCAAAGAAAAATCCAACAGAATTTTAAATGTTCATTAAATAGGTATAACACTGATCTTAGAACTCTTAGGCGTATATATATACCAAATAAGTAAGTCGGGATGTACAGACGTAATAGAGCCTGTCAATGTAACATAGTCTTACAGGTACATACATCTTGGCAACATTTCCTCAGCAGAATCGTAAGACCGCGATAAAAGTGGTTATGTAGGAGAACAGAACATTTTTGATATATTCTAGGTTTACAGACGAAGTCGTGTACCACAGGCTAATAATTCTGTTTACTTAAGGGTTGTAATGTTTTTCGAAACACTGAACGTAAGCTGAAGAAAATTCACCGGCAAATCAAACACTGTGATAAACAATGTTTGATTCCAAACCATTCAGATTGCTCATCATGGTTGTTGTGAGTGTTGGATAATGTTGCTTGATTGTTTAAACCATGGTAGCAACATTGTTGTATATATTAAGTAGTATGATCATGTCGAATCGTCCTCCATTTTAAGTTGGTACATTGTCGCGGATAACACAGTTCAGACTTTTCATATAATTTCGATATTTTCTTCATCTAATAGATCTGAAAAAGAACATTTGAGGTAAATTATGTTTTATATTTGCGGATGCGCATTATTCTTACAGTTACAATTGAATGACCGAGACCATTTCGCTTTAGACCTCTTGTCTTTCCTCCCTTTGTATAAGTGTGTTTAGACTCGTCCAAAATGACGCTTCAAGGGACACTTTGATCAGTTCCTAAAATGCAACATATCCATACTGGGTATGAGAACCGGTAGGTGTTTCTGGTGTGATTTGGTGTAAACATCCCCGACTACCCCAAAAATCATTACGACAGGTCCAGCAAGACGCTTTGATTTCTGATGCCTAGGCGTACGCAGACATCAAGTGCCCGGTTGAACAAGGCTAAATAGTATGCTAATGAATATATCTATAAGAGCAAACTATTTGTTAAACTTTTAATATTGATGTTGAGAAACTTTAACAGAAATGTGTATTAGTGTTTATAGATCAGTTAGAATGATATGGTTTCATTAAAAAAATATTTACACCTCCCATGTTAAAATCTGTGGCAAAATTGCTATATTTGATGAAGAAGCGACCATGGTCACCGGTACAGGTAGTCGTACTTTGAAAACATATCTAAAGTGACAGAAATAAGCGATTGTGTTACCACAATAACATGCCACCAGTTGACAAGTTTACTGTAATAGTCTTGATATGTCTCGTCTCGATATTCCACAACCTCTCACAAAACAGTTGTATATAAGTACAAGAACCATTATTGTTGTATGGCAGCGGTATAACAGACCAAGGAACTCGTTTTACCAGAATGCTGTATGATAAATGACATTTATGTTTTAAAACACGACTATAACATTTCAGATTGAGATGTTTTGTACAGAACCCATGATGTTTATAGTGTAGAAAGTAGAAACTTCAACAGGAGCAACAGGGTGAGTAACTCTTTGTTTGCGGTGCCGCACTACATTTGATTGTTAAAGGTAAATGGTAAATTGTCATAGTCCGATCCACTCAGAATTTCATTTTAAGTTCAAATCGAACCATAAAGGAAGCCAAATGTTGAAAAGAACATTCAATATTGAAACGCCCCTTAAATTACATACATAAAGTAGAAACTTTTGTCAACAGAAGTTCTCACAAAACACCCACCCTTTAATCATAGCATCTACTAATGAGACGTTTGTAAGCAGATGCTAACTGCACTTTGTAGAGCAGAATTTACTGAAATAGGACAAACTGTTGTTCAATGCAACTTAAGTTGATTTCGTTATGATCAAACATTTTACTTACAGTCCGCCATTCGCTCTTCTAGAAGTGAGATCTGCTCGCTGAGAGAATTGATCATATAGCCGACATCGTTATATGGCTGTTCGTACGGGTCGGTTGTGGTGGTGGTGGTAGGCGTTGGTGTTGTAGTCGTCGTGGAAGTGGTCGTTGATGCGGATGTGGTTATTGTACTGGGTGTAGATGGCACCGTACGCGTTCCGATGGTTGCCTGTTTCACTTCCGCCACAATGTCGATGGCCTGTTCATATCGACCTTCCAGAAGAGTCAGATTGCCCCGCAGATCATCCTGTTGATGTAATTACGTTATTAAAGTAATAATGCCCTTTCGGAATCGGATTTTTAAAACGTTACTCGCATTTTCTTTAAAAAAAATATGTTTTAAACATAATCATGCAAAAAAGATGTAAGTGAAGAGTAAAACCTGATTGTCATGAATAATGGGAATAACACTTAAGCGGTTAAGTGTCCACCCTGAGACCGCAAGGTCCATAGAACGAGCCCAAGCGAGGACAGGGCATATTTTTTAGTACTCATTCCTATTACAAATTTGGTGCCGTGACCAGGATCTCTGAATCGATTTGGGAGGGTGTTGTGTTAATATTGTTATGCATTAAAGTTGTCTGGGGAGAAGCCAATTTTCTCGTCCCCGTTTACAAATGCATCCTTGTAACCGATGTGGAAGCAATTGTGTCATTAATTGAAAGGATGAATGCAATAACCTGAAGTGCGTAGTCTAACAAAAAAAGACATGCAAATATTGCCGAAACCTCGACAAGTCTCTTCGTTTAATCTATATTTCCAAATTTAAAAAAAGAATAAAGCTTATCCATATGGACAATCCTCTTTCTATATTATAATTATGATAACACATTGATGCCATTTGGAAGTTGCAAATTTACAAAGTGCAAATAGACACAAAACGCCACTATAAAATTGGTGCAATATATGTCGACTTTATCAGTGTGTGTTTGTGTGAGCAGGGAACGGTTAAGGCATAAAATAAAAATATTATTTTCAACAATACACTATAAAAAGAGACATTATCAATGACACAGGTATATCAAATGTTACCCGCGTGCTGTTGATGATCTCAATGCCTAATGAAACCCGTTTTAGAACCTAGATTTAATGACTAACAGTATCTGAAATCGATCCTCCAACATAACAATTTTATAATGATAAGTGATTATAGGCATACATATAAAAGACGCTACAATGCAAATTTTTTTAATTTAACATCCTTTATGGTGTTATTTATTGGGTGAGAAATAATGCGAAAATCCGGAATACCTTTACATAACACAGAACAATGCACTAGGAAACAGTCTGCATACTTCTTATGTTCAAATATTCATATATACAACACCTTGGCTTTTCTGTAAATTGTGAGTGAAGAGACGGTGCGTTACCTTCTCCTTTTCAACGAAAATTATCCTGGTCTGTAGATCGTTGACTTTATTCATCATTTCTTCAAATGCTGGGTTACACAGAGGACAAACTGGAATATAACGACACTGCTTCTTAGTTAAGCAAGAGGTTATCGTGTGACATGGAACTATTGTTCGGCAAGAAGGTGCTTACACATATATAAGGTAATAAATTGCATTATCTGCTTCTCGAGCGTTTTGACCGCCGCCGCTGGCGATAACGACAACAAAAACAACATATACAACATATATCAACATGGCCTATGACAGGATCAATACAAAGCAGGAAATGTTATAGCAACTGTTGTTCTGTACGGAGATGAACATTGCATTCAATGTATTTTCATAATTCTCAAACGTAATATAGTAAGTCGTTAATGCACTTTTGACCACACGTTTCTACTCACAAGCGCAGTTTCTTCCTTCTGTTAATCGAAAGCCGTCGTAACAAGAACATTCATAGTTTCCGTAAGTATTTTTACACAGGTGTTGACAGGTGTGTGTTTTCATCAGACACTCATCCACATCTATAGAAGGGAGAAACATGGATAACAAGCCAGATTCGTGAATAAAAATGCAAAGAAATGCTGGAAAGTATTTTTTTCAACGTAGTACGATTACTTCAATAACTTGTTTCTTATGTTTCAGTAAGTTGATTGAAGTCACTATCCTTTATATCATCCGCTATAGAAATGTATCTCTAATAACCATTTATCGAGGCAAGACTCACTAATGACATGTCTTCCGCTTGCTAGGCTTAGTTTAATGGTACCATAGACATGTACAGCCGGATATAACCTTCAGCATCATGTAATACTGTACGTACTCAGAAGGCCAGATGACTTTTCCATCTGTGCCAGTATTGAAGCCTCGGTCAATACTTCATTACATTTTACAGATTCTGATTGTCAAGCTCCCTAAATCTTTTCTTTCTCTTGAATGCTTTTTCACGTCTGTTCGATAACACGAACCAAGAAAATCTAGGTGAAAGGCGAGTTGTGAATAACTTTATTTCCTTTTTTTCAGTCACAAGAAAGTCAACTGCCAACGTGCTTTATATTGACAACCGAGACAGAAAAGAACTCGGACAACGAGATGAATATTCACAGTCGAGACAGAAAAACCCCAAACAGCGTCAATATTGACAACTGAGACAGGGAAGAACTACTCGAAGAGTGTACAAAAGACATACCAGTGAATAGCACCTTAGAAATAAAATAAAGAGCCTAAAAGAAGCAGACTGCATTATACAACTGTTTCGTCCTTAACAACCTTCAACGTGAATTTTGACAAACTTGAACGAAATCGAGATTTGTGATGTAAAAGGAATTAAAATGACGTAACATGTGCAGAAAAAGGAGGTGTGGTATGAATTAGCATCTGATTAAACAGAGAGTCTCAAACACCATTGACAACGACGACAATGATTTAGTCACAAACGTCACGTTGTGAGACAAATGAATAATGTTTAGTAAAATTTTAGGAGCTCGATAAGTTTATGGATTCAAATTCGAATCCAATTACGATATCTAATGGCTTGAGTCATTAAGTTTGGCCTTGGATGAAAGTATCAATTTGTGGTTCATAAAAGGTGTGTTGATGTTATAACTACTGTACGACCTTATGTTGTAAACGAATAAGACGTAGAAATGACACTGAGTATAGCCATGATTTATGTAATTTGTTTATCTAGTTTTGTAAGACAGATAATCTGTCCTTTATACTTTCATAATATCTATATTATTCTCAGTTTTCCTTTGTAATTATTAAACTCACCATTAAACTGTATAGCGTTTAGACATACATTAACAGTGACATTATACTGCCTTCTCTAAAAGTAGAAACTCGAGACCCACAAAATCTCGTTTGATACTAATAACGTAAATAAGAGATTGAAAAACATTTTTTTTCATGTTGATATGAAATAATAAAAATGGTAAAACGATTTCTCGATTGCCCCTGTTGGAACCTCGTTATAAAGATTAATTTCTCGGATAAAAACCTCTTAACTCGACCCTTACCGACTTAAGTGGCCATTGTGCCACGAGTGGTTTAACTCTTCACAAACTCAATGTATTCGAGTTAATGCCTTTCATCAGCCCACGCTTCACTTGTGAAGTTGTAATCAACTATTTATTATCAATCATTAATTGTAAAAATATTTAGAGACCCCGTTATGCAGGCACCATGTTGATATGTTTTCGCCAAAAGGAGGACTGTTATTTAATAACAAGAAACCCACACTTTCCTTTTTAAGTCACACGTAGCCAGACAGTTAATTGAGCTATAAATAAAATCTGTTGAAATGGGGAATATCAAATTGAAAACAAACTCTTTAACCACTCTTAGTTATTTTAAGACTGCCTTCCTCAGCATTACCGTAATTATGTTTTGGTAACCTATAAGATTGACTTGTCCATAATTCTTTGATATTTTGTTAAATTAACAGGGTACAATTGTTGGAGTAAAATACGTATAGATATTTAAACACAACGTGAAATCGGCTAAAATTTCAGAGCTCATCCGCTGTCAAACTTATTGCGATATATACCGAGCTACGGGAAGTAAGGAATTTGCTAAGTCAACGAACACCTTCGAATCACGGTAGTTCTTCCACAGGTGATACATTTAAACAAAATATCGATATTTTCTTATCATTTCTCTAATGTGTTTTCTTGTGAACTGTTTGGTTTTACCACGTGGTCCCTCCCCAACACAAAGAAATATTAGTAGCGGGAAAGCCATTTCATGATAGATGCTTTTACAAAAAATGTACTTTACGCCAAAATAATTCAATATTCCAAATAAGGATAAATATTTGAATTATGGCAATAATCTTTCTTTTTTAAACTAACGAAAAAATATATATGTGGAAAGTTAACTTCATTTCGATGACTTAGTTTAGCCTTTTGTGTTGCTGTTTTCATAGCGATTCGAAATGTCTACAGCTGTGAGAAAGCCCAAAAGTACAATAAAACAAGGTATACTACATAAACTTGAACACTTGCGTGGACAATAAATCTTGCAAGCCCTCCCATTATCGACATTTTCCAATAAAATAAACTTTAAACAGAGATTGGGAGTACCTTAAAATGGACGGAAAACGCTGTACAAACTTCTGAATTTGTATATTTCTGTGTAAATATATCCTGGTAATACCCTTCACGGCGATATTTCCATCGAGATCAAACAATATCAATGTTAAGATGAAAGCAATAAAAAGTTAATTCTATTATCTGATTTTGAGTGTTTTATACACTTCAGTTTCGTTTCTGAGCCATCCGACATTCACAGTCGATTTCCAATGTCCAGTTTGACTACCCAATTTATTTGGGAAACCCCTTTCACATGTAGAACTAATTACATCACGTGACAGTTTGAAAATGAGGCAGTGCGCTTGTGTACACACATGTGATGGTGGAATAAAACACAGTGAAACAGTATACGTAAAACACGTGTTTTTCGACACCCGAATTAGTTATGGACGAATAGACGTTTGATAACTCAAATACGAATACGAAAAATGTTAGATGGATAATCAATATTTCTGAAAAAATCTCACATCAGCCGTAAACGTATGGTAAGCAACACGCAAAGTTTTAACCTAGACCACTTGCTCAGCTGTCAGTCAATTCAGAAGAATACATGCACCTCCCCGATTGCTTCCCATCTGCCATAGTAAGCTCCTGCTCATTTGGCCATCCTTCACTTTGTGGATGACATTCACGATTCAGGATTCACGAGGAAAGCCTTTCTTGTTTACTGAAGTGGTGTGTTATCATGTATGGCACAAAAATTTACATATGCAGACTGTTGATCAACGGCGAGAATTTTTCCTTTTACAATACCTCAATCAAAATTAATATTAGTATATTTCAGCAAACAACTAGCATTCCACATTATGTGATGTACTTTCAAGAGGATTTAAAAGTTAAACGGTACCCCATACTCAGATTCTTCAAAAAATTTGTGACGTCATTGAAATGCATAAAATGTCAACAATGTATCTTTTGTAAGAATAAACTTAATGAGACGTAACACCGTTTTTTTCTGTATTTTGAATTGCATATGATCAATTTTAATATCCCTTATTTTCTCATTGATTTCGGCCTTAGTATTGCCAAAGAACCGCTCCTTCGATGAGGAAGACGCAGCTGGTTGTATGGCGTAGATTTTGTTCACGGCAAATTAAAGTAGCTGGATCATTACATCCTCTCAAACTTATGTTGCTGCTATGAAGCATTTAGTACTATTAAATACTGATTTGATACCGGTAGTAAACTTTAAACCCAAGCTATATTTGGTACTATGATTTACCTCGTTCACAAGAGGATCCTGTAAATTGTTTCAGACATGCACACTGCTCCGGGCCAACACATGTTCCACCATTTTGACATCCTCCGGTGCAAATTGCTGCAATATTCAACGGTATAAATGTAATGAGTTTGTTTCAAATAAATTCAAATGTCCGAACTCTCATTCACACCCTAAACAAAGAGTTCAGGTACAACTTACGTTCCATACATCCAAGATGGCGGCGCCGACTTTGACGCTTCCATCCAGGGCAACATATTCGCACGGTATCGTGGATCATTCTCCGATAGAACACGGTTCTTGTGGCCGTCCGATAAAACATCCTGGAAAGGAACAAATCATAGTCACGTGATCGAGGACAGGTTGCAGACATGTTTATTTCGCCATGTGTGTCATTTAGGACTATTTTTAGCGTTCGTTAGTCGTCCGCACTGAGACCATATTATGGTTTTTAGCGTTTGCAATTTGAGATGACGTCCTGTATGCTTATCTTCATGTGCCTTTATGACCTTTTTAATTTGTATCAAAAAAGGTAATTAGTATTTCAATGTACAAGAAATTACGAGCCTCTCAGCAGAAATTAACCATTAAGCCTATCGGGACTGGTGCAATACTGTAGTTAGCATCCATGACGTAATTTTATAAGCGGGACTGGAAATATCAAATTTTACATCATAAGTAGCTATCATCGTGTATATAATGGATCGCTTGACCTAGTAATAATGTTATCATGCTCGCAGAGGAGTGAAAAGGTCTTCCGGTATCCTTCCGGTGTCACTTAAGTAACTGTACAGACACTGATCACTTTGACACAGTGACACGCTAGGGGTAAACCGGACACCACAGTGGTCACGTGGGCAACCAGTGTGTCTAAGATGAAAAAATATATTGTACTATAACAGAGAAAAAGTATGCCGAATTGGATATAACCAAACAGCAATACAAACGAACTGATTTGCCATGGCGAATTATTTTTATTGTTTTTCAAACTTAATTTATTGACAAATGATTTCAAGTGCACTGTCTTGCATTTGTAAAGTATTTGTCAGTATGGACAGATAATGACCTGTAGTATTAACTGGTCTGTACTTACTTCTTGCCCTTACATGATGTACCGAGCCTTCGGCAGTTGGAATGATAAACAGGTTTCTTATACGTCTGTTTCATAGGAACGATTTCATTGAACAGCTTCGTCACTGGACACACACGGCGTCTGTAAGATACAGATTACATGCGAACGTCATCGACAATCGGATGAAGATTAAACATAGGGACAATGACCCATAGGAGGTTACGTGTGCATGACCTGCCAAGAAATCGTACAATATATTCCTACAAACTGTAAACAGCTATTTTCAAACAACTGAAAACTATATCATAAGCCGTTTTAACAGCTATCATTCACATCATACAGTGACAAAAATAACTGCAAGAAGAAAAATTGTATTTCATCAGTAATAAACATAAAATGACTATTTTTTTTTCAATATCAGATTATAAAACGGCCAACAATTGTCTGCACTGTTTCACTATCGAAAATAACTGAAGGCAGCATTTGATAATACAAAAATTCGTCGGAGTGCTTAAAGACAATTTTTGTCCGTGTTTGAAAATGACATACCAAAATAGGATATATAATTAATTTAAGAAAATAGTGAAGTTAACTTTCAAAATCCGTGTGAATTGAGTGATCAACATCGTCTGTAATGGCTGCCTAGAGGACTGGTGACCAATACCAGCATATAGTAGAGTATTCGCCAACCCGTGGGCTATTGTTACCAGACAAAGATACACGATACACTCTGTACGTGAGAAGTGTCCCGTACGTTAAAGTTACCAGATAAATGTACACGATACACTGTATGTGAGATGTGTCCCGTACGTTAAAGTTACCAGACAAATGTACACGATACACTGTATGTGAGATGTGTCCCGTACATTATACTAACCAGACAAATGTACACGATACACTGTATGTGAGATGTGTCCCGTACGTTATAATTACCAGACAAATATACACGATACACTGTATGTGAGATGTGTCCCGTACGTTATAATTACCAGACAAATGTACGCGATACACTGTATGTGAGATGTGTCCCGTACATTGTACTAACCAGACAAGTGTACACGATACACTGTATGTGAGATGTGTCCCGTACGTTATAATTACCAGACAAATGTACGCGATACACTGTATGTGAGATGTGTCCCGTACGTTATACTAACCAGACAAATGTACGCGATACACTGTATGTGAGATGTGTCCCGTACGTTATACTAACCAGACAAATGTACACGATACACTGTATGTGAGATGTGTCCCGTACGTTATACTAACCAGACAAATGTACACGATACACTGTATGTGAGATGTGTCCCGTACGTTATACTAACCAGACAAATGTATACGATACACTGTATGTGAGATGTGTCCCGTACGTTATACTAACCAGACAAATATACACGATACACTGTACGTGAGATGTGTCCCGTACGTTATACTAACCAGACAAATGTACACGATACACTGTATGTGAGATGTGTCCCGTACGTTATACTAACCAGACAAATGTACACGATACACTGTACATGAGAAGTGTCCCGTACGTTATAATTACCAGACAAATGTACGCGATACACTGTATATGAGATGTGTCCGGTACGTTATACTAACCAGACAAATGTACACGATACACTGTATGTGAGATGTGTCCCGTACATTATAATTACCAGACGAACACTCCTTGAATGACGAGTAATACTTTATGATCCGTTTTCGATTTGTAAAACTTCACCCTATCAATTTGAAACGTAACATGCACGATTAAAAACGACATAACGTTCGAGAAAAGATGCTGTGCGAGAAGCGAGCTGATAACATGCCACACAGACTAGTCCTGTGTGTGTTTAGAAGCTTAAACTAACAGCATTCAAATGTAAACAAGAGAAATATCACAACCGATGTCATATCAAACCACACATAAAATTGCCAGAAAATACGTTCTCTTTTGTTTATAATTTCAAACATTGGACAAACGTGTCCTATATTGTGGCTCCTTTTTCGCCTCAATGAAACTGAAGATTTACTGACATGATTGTGTTCCCCGTGTTATTGCACTTATCTCGCTATGAAAAAGTGTGAAATCAAATCTTGTGATCAAAGAAGGGTACAACGTTAGAGATATGTAATATGTTTATCGTATTTATCTAGTGAAACTTAGACCCGAGATAACCGAAGCCAGCGGAAATGTTACACAAATAGTTCTGACTCTTAGGCAACCACTCTGTACATGTCTGTTGTGTAAAAAATGTTGTATTTAAGACAGTGAAATGGTGAAGAAATTTTCTGATTGCAATAACAATAATATACACAAATAAAAATATATTAAATACAAACATCCTAATCGTGTCGTAATTAAAATGTTCTTGAAGTGTTTTTTTCTACAATAACTTCGTGTAAAAAGAAAGAAATGAAAATAAATTATGTCCGTTTCACTGTTTATTTATAAACCCCGACTGTGTACACTTAGTGCTGATAGGGATGGAGCTCCGCTCCGGAATAAGGATGGTTTAACGTTTCACGTTCCAAATGCCTCCATATCGAATCGAACCTAGAACTGAAAACCACAAGGAGGATTGCTTTCTCGGTTGCTGAAGGATAGACTACATAGCATTTGCACTTTTGATTAAAGGCTTATATAATCCTATTTCACTGCGGGCTATTTAACGAAAATTGCATCGTAATGTGAAAACAATTAATTACGGTTTAAATGCTTAAGAAAAATTCTCACGTGTAAATAAAATCTTAATTCAAACATAAATTCGATGAACATCTGGCAAAAATATGAACAAAAGTAAGATTTACACGGAGACTCCTAAAACGTTGTGCAACGTTAGGCTATCTAACGAACATCAAACACGTCAGCTTCATATCATACAACAGAACCACCAGGTATACCAACGAGCATCACACACGTCAGCTTCATATCATACAACAGAACCACCAGGCGTACCAACGAGCATCACACACGTCAGCTTCATATCATACAACAGAACCACCAGGCGTACCAACGAGCATCAAACACGTCAGCTTCATATCATACAACAGAACCACCAGGTATACCAACGAGCATCACACACGTCAGCTTCATATCATACAACAGAACCACCAGGCGTACCAACGAGCATCACACACGTCAGCTTCATATCATACAACAGAACCACCAGGCGTACCAACGAGCATCACACACGTCAGCTTCATATCATACAACAGAACCACCAGGCGTACCAACGAGCATCTAACACGTCAGCTTCATATCATACAACAGAACCACCAGGTATACCAACGAGCATCACACACGTCAGCTTCATATCATACAACAGAACCACCAGGCGTACCAACGAGCATCAAACACGTCAGCTTCATATCATACAACAGAACCACCAGGCGTACCAACGAGCATCAAACACGTCAGCTTCATATCATACAACAGAACCACCAGGTATACCAACGAGCATCACACACGTCAGCTTCATATCATACAACAGAACCACCAGGCGTACCAACGAGCATCACACACGTCAGCTTCATATCATACAACAGAACCACCAGGCGTACCAACGAGCATCAAACACGTCAGCTTCATATCATACAACAGAACCACCAGGTATACCAACGAGCATCACACACGTCAGCTTCATATCATACAACAGAACCACCAGGCGTACCAACGAGCATCACACACGTCAGCTTCATATCATACAACAGAACCACCAGGCGTACCAACGAGCATCACACACGTCAGCTTCATATCATACAACAGAACCACCAGGCGTACCAACGAGCATCAAACACGTCAGCTTCATATCATACAACAGAACCACCAGGTATACCAACGAGCATCACACACGTCAGCTTCATATCATACAACAGAACCACCAGGCGTACCAACGAGCATCAAACACGTCAGCTTCATATCATACAACAGAACCACCAGGTATACCAACGAGCATCACACACGTTAGCTTCATATCATACAACAGAATCACCAGGTATACCAATGAACAACAAACTCGTCCAACTTCATATCACAAAACAGAACCACCAGGCGTACCAACGAACAACAAACTCGTCCAACTTCATATTACAAAACAGAACCACCAGGTGTACCAACGAGCATCACACACGTCAGTTTTATATCACAAAACAGAACTAGCAGGCATACCAACGAGCATCACACACGTCAGTTTTATATCACAAAACAGAACTAGCAGGCATACCTATGAGCATCAGACACGTCAGTTTTATATCACAAAACAGAACTAGCAGGCATACCAACGAGCATCACACACGTCAGTTTTATATCACAAAACAGAACTAGCAGGCATACCTATGAGCATCAGACACGTCCAACTTAATATAGCACAAAGAAATAAAATGTTTCTCAATTAAATTACTATGACGACCATAAAACTTATCTAAGATATACATAAACCTGCATATCTGAAAACCATATGTACAAATTGTCTGCTAGTTTCTGACATACAGCACGAAAATTGTGATACTATGAAAAGGGCTTAGAAATTCGAATCTACTGCGACGTGCAAAAGACGTAGGTTGGGGATGCAGGGATAACACGTATGTTCTCAAAGACACGGCTAACCATGTCTGTTACCGAAAACACGGAGATCATTGTCTGTTGACGACACAGAATGCTGTCTCTTCACAAAGACACATAGAACAATGTTTCTATACATATATACAGAGAAAATTGTATCTCGCAAAACAAAAGAAAACACTTTCTCTGGATAAAACTTCAGAGAACACTTGCTTTTGACAAGGACACGGAAAACAATATATGTTGTCAAATACACAGAGAATACTAACCCTAGACAAAACTACCATGAGCTCTATCTGCTAACAAAGGTACAGTGAACGCAACCTGCTGACAAACAAAAGGATAAAAATGTCGTTGACAAACAACAAAGAAAGCTGCCCGTTGACAAACAACATAGAACACTGTACACTGACAAACAACAAAGAAAGCTGCCCGTTGACAAACAACAGAGAACACTGTACGCTGACAAACAACAGAGAACGCTGTCCGTTGTCAAACAACATAGAACACTGTACACTGACAAACAACAAAGAAAGCTGCCCTTTGACAAACAACATAGAACACTGTACACTGACAAACAACAAAGAAAGCT